GGATAATATTTTGGAAGATATTTATAGTTTGGCTGGAGAAATTGACATGCTAGAAGAGAGATTTTGTAAATAGCTTCACTTTTACCCTGTTTGGAAGGTCTATAAGTGAGGGGGTGTATTAGATTTAAGGGTAGTATTAGCCATACTATATAGAGGTTAGCACTCTAGCTACCTGATATTACTTGATTTCTAGGCATATCTAGGTTACCCCAGCACCCCCTATACCTTCTAAGCGAGTCAGTCACACACACTCTTCAATCAATCAATTCTGCACCGTTACATCTGACACTTTCGGTGCTGCTTTTCGAGGCGGGTGCAGAAGAGAACAGTGCAGTGGCATTGGAGAAAACGGTTGTGGTCAGCGGGAAGTGCTTGCCAAAGTGACCCAGACGGCATGCCAAGCACTGTACGGATAGTCGACAGCTTGAGCGTACCGGAACAAAGTTTATCACGTATCTTACCGAAACTATACGCTTTATGCAGGTACTCGTACCCTTCGGACCTTATGAGCCGTGCAATGCCAGCTTGTGCAATACTCCGACGGCAGAGCATGTGATCGTATGGGAAATGTGTCGACTACATCCAATTGGTCTGGACTCGTCGACTCAATGACAAATCCCTCACGTACGGCGTCGGATACTGGGTGCTTGGTCACCAATTGGCCCAAAGACGACTGCGTGCCTACATACGGGGGAGATACGTACGCACGATAGCGACTCTCATAATGTGGGAAATTGAACCGGCACCTCAACTGGAACTTGCTTGCCGAGTATGAGCGGTGACGGATGCGTCGCTACCAGCCCCGGCACCAAGGACGCATCACGTTGCATCCGAACGACCACTAAACACACCAAGAAATTACTCCGTGTGGCATAACAAAACCACAAAGTGCAGAGCCCTTCCACACCTTCCTCGGCACGTAACGCTGGCGACAAATATCAGTCGAACGACGGGTCATCCGTCCTATGCAAACCAAGCCAAGCGATAGGACAACAGGTGAGCAACATGTAGTTTCTTGACCGCCATTACCACCAGAAGGCCTAGATGGGAAATGGGGGTGTTAACATGAAGTCCAAAGTGGAAGCTAACTCCTCCTCCGCCAGCAGACTATCGGAGCTCAAGTGGCAGCAAAACGGACGACGTACGGAACATGGTATGTCCTCATACGGTATCGAAAACGCTACTGAAAGATACAGCCCTGATTCACCGTACAGTTGGATTAGGAATCTTTCCTCTTGGTGCCTTTGCACAACCAAACCTTTGCTCCAAAATATCATCCAATTGACTCGTTGGAGGCATTATTTCAACCACGTGAACAGTTTAAAGAGCGAAACGGATCATATCGAGTTTCCTCGGCCTTTTTCTTGTTCGCCTTGGCATTCCTCGTTTGTTCCAGACGGAGATGCCAGAGCAGGGCTCACGGGGGAGGCTGGGATGCCAACACGCCTTTCCCATTCCCCCATCATCCATCATCCATCCCCAGTCCCACGCTGGCGTCCATGGATGACTTCCATGGGTATCCTCCATGTCTTGTCTCCATGCGTTCGCTTGAATGGATGCCCTGTCACCTCTTCCCGCTGCTTTGGCTGCTTTTGAAACCATGCTCAATCCCAGTTGTCTGTCCAACCACCCTGCTGGTGTGCCTGGCAGACAACAGCTGCCGGCACCTCTCTTCAATGTAATTTGTTCCTCTTCACCCCTTTCTTCCATCACACCTTTTCCAGACGTCTCGAGGACCAGGGTAAAGAGTGCCGGATTGCATGGTCCAGTACACGGGGGTGTTCCCTTGCAAGCCAGCCAACCTTCACCATGCCGCAACAATTCCCTGACAAGCGCCATCTTAGGCTTTTTTACCCCAAGCTTCGAAGAAGCTTCAGAAGCTTCCATCGTAGGGTTGCTGTACCATGAAGCCCAGGGTCCCTGCGCCGGCTGGTGTTCCTCCACTGCGCTGTCTTCCCACCAAGCCTAGTGCAGGCCGCTCAACGGTCGCGAACAGGTGTATCCTTGCCCCCGGACTGCGTCTTTGGAGCCTGTTTCTTGGGAATGCCCCCAAAAGCCATCCTGAACTTCAAGCGCCATCTACAAGAGGCGATGTTGGAAAATACCGGCCATGATCACGGCCAGGCTCGGCTTCCACAATGTCGCTGTACAATGCATCTTTGTCAGCATTTGCCCTGCTCTTGCACCCACACCTGAGTTGCCGTGGATAGGTGTGATTCGGAGGGAGCGGAAACTGCAAGTTATAACTGTTCCGTTACGACGCAACATCGCAGAAGGTCCCGTCTGCATATCAGTGGTTCCCTCCAGCTGTTAGTGACAGTATCCCTGTCCCATTGTACGCGTGTGCTTTCGAGATCTCATCGCTAACATGTTCAATGTTTTTATTCCGCGTTTTGTGTTGCTCTGTGCTGTCGAAGACAGTAAGTCGCTGTTCAGTTTTGTGAAGGTAACCTCATAAGGCTCCTCACCCGTGCCCTCGTGTCAAATAAACTATACAAACCCGGAACGCTTCCCATATGATACGTAACTTTGATCTCGGCGAGTGTCACTCTCAGCATACGTACCTCCTATCGGTTATTTGAGCTTTTACCCGTCTCAGGTGGACACATAGCATCGCGTGCTTTCTTGGAGCAATCTACCCGACGTACGAGCTCATTGTTTCTATCCAAACGTGAGCGTACCTGTGTTCACGCCGGTTGTCGAACGACATTCAGTCTCGAACCGAGTACATAGACGTCAAGCCAAGCTCAGAAGAAGAAGTGATGAAAGGCTTCCGAGGAGATCGAATGTCATCCAATTCACGTGTTCGCGTCTAGCAGCGTGTCTTTTCTTCCCCACAGACACCCCTGTGGGAAGGAGCGGCTAGGCTGCAGGTGCAGGTGACCCTTGCAAATTTGAATTATTGGCGCAGTTGGGGACCGGCCGGCGATATTTGAAGAAGCCATTTTTTTTCTTCCTCGGTCTTGTCTCGACACGTACCTCGAGCTTCAACTTTTGTCGCAGACGTATTCTTCCTTGCACCAAAATCAAGTTGCAGAGCTAGAAACAAAACTCAGATCTATCCTCCAGGACCATCGGGATCGAGCGCGCATCCATTCTATCGAACCATCCCTCTCGGCCCCTCCGTCTTCTTCAAACAGCTTCCTAAGCTTCCAGAGTCCAGACCGCCAGACTCCCACCAGGTGAAGTGAAAGGAAATACCTTCCAGGTTAGCCAGCGTAGTGCTTCCACTCCAAACCAGCAACCGCTCGACTTTCCATCTTCAACTGGTATTTTCAGGAACCTTCTCCAGGTACGTGATGTCAGTTGCGACAAACTTGCGATGGCATATCCCCGCTGCTGTGCCTCTTTCTGTGTTCCGCCTGTTGTTTCCTACCCAAACCCTATATGCGCCCGGGCGCGTCTTACACTATGCCACCATCCCCACGCTCCAATTGCGCGCTCCCGTCTTCACTCCTCGTCCAGGCACGACCTGGAACCTGGCTGTACTTTTAGACGCCATTCCCGTGGCGTTTCTCCAGGCTCGGCGGCATGATGCTTGTCCCCAACCCTAATCCCGGCCCGCCTGCCATGCCGTTCCGCAAGCTCCCCGTCCATAGCCCCGAAGTCCCAACACCAGGTACCCAGCTTGGCTACAACCTGCGTACATCTGGGCAACTCCCATCCCATGCTTTGCTCTTTCACGTGGAGATATTTGTGATATCGTCTTCATAACTTGGAGCATAGCTTTGGGTTCCCGGGGATCCTGGCAGTGCCTATCAACACGTCTTGTTCAGCATACTGATTTCTAACTGCCGTGTAACTTACAGCGCCTCCGCGATCATCCTTGCTCCGCCCACGAACGGCCTCCATCCGAACTTGCTCTCGACGGCAACCCGTTGCCCGTAGTGACAGGTCTACAGCGTCGGCCACTCAAAACAACCATTCATACAATATCAGCTCTATACAACATCACCATTGATCGCGTCCGCCCCGAATTGGTCGCATCACTTCGCGCTATATCACAAAATCCACTTGAGGCGGCCTCTTTCGCGCAGAGTCACACCACACCATCCGGTTCTTTGCCCGGGCTTTCCACGCTCCGATTTAGTACAGGTAATTCAAACCCACAGCGGCCCCAACTCATCTGATACTCGGCCAAGGAGCCGACACAGTTCAGATCATCAGCAATCTAATAGGTATTAAGCGCTTCCGGCGTTGACGTCGAAAGGTGACGTATTTGCAGATACTAACATAAAGCGTGAGCAGCGCGTCACAGCCGAGTACAGACCCCGGCTGCCCCCAAAGTTTCGTTGAAACGTAAGGTACGAACGTACATGTATGTAACAAAGTTCACCTCAGCGTCCACCTGCATGATACCTTAACCCTTCTGCCCTCGCACGTGGCTGCAGCAGGGGCTGTCCACCACCACTGGCCCTGGCAGATTGCCCCTGAATTGGTTCCTCAGGTCGCAGCACGAATTGAGGACTGCATTCAACCAAATCGAAGCAAAACAGACACTGACCTAAATGGTCACAGAGCATTTACTTTGAGCGCCTATTTTTCGACGCAAGAGTCGCAAACTCAAGACTTACGGCATTGGTATGTGTGTGTGTCTTTTTCTCCTCGGGCCTTCTACACCGGCTTTGCGGTGGTCCCCAGATTGCCGTACCGTTTTCTTGCAGGGGCTGCGCAATCCAAGGCAAAGCCGTTTCAATCTCGGCAACGTTTCCAGTCTAGTGCCGCCCTTGGACATTGCATTGAGCTTGGAAATTTCGGTCTAATGTCCAATGCCGCTGCCACTTGATTACTATTTTTAATAGTCGAGAAACCCGCTCTTCAAAGCGCATTCAACAGACTGTTTGCTAATGTCTTTCTTTCCCCAGCTTTGCTAATCTTCACGCCAAAGTGTAAGAGCCGTCTCCTGTCTCCTTGTCAACAAGTATTACCATCCGTGCATCCCGCTTAACTAAGGTTCACGGCAAAGAAACAACTAGAGAACTGCCCAGGCTGCCCCTACATTACCTTGAGGTATCCGTTCGCCGTCGCGTCCTCTAGCATCTACAATCAGGATCCCTTCAGCTGCCGAAGGCAAGACAAAGCGTTGTGAGTACTCAAGGAATCCACCACCACACGCGGTCCAGCTGTCACCAGGCCGGTCGCTCAACGTTCCCGCCTTTACACATCCGTTGGCAAGGATATCCGTCTGTCAACAGAGCACAGCGTCCAGGATGGCTTCCGACGACTGGTAGGGCCATATGTTTGTTTCTGTCCTCTTGCTAACCGTTCCCTTTTCCAGACGCATCTACGTTGCCCTTTACGCAAAGGGTAAATCACTAGCCATGGGATTGTCAATGGCTCATCGTCAGGCCCCGGGCCAGTATAAGGAAGAGCCCGGCCACGATTCGGTAAGTCACACTTTGCTTCGTCTTCACACATTTTCCCGTCACGAACATTGCACTATCCACCAGATCTCGTAAAACGTGGCGCGTCTGGGAAGATGCCGTATTTCATGATCAGTGTCAGGCGTCTAGTGACGCTGTTTTGCGGCAGTCTTTGCACCCCAACGTGCCCGTGGCAGGGGCTTCGCGCTGCACGCGCAGTATCATCATGTCGGATATGTGCGCAAGGACCGCCATCGTCGTGATAGACGTCGACATCGAAACATGAACGTTTGACTTCAACACACCCCTTATTGTTTTATTCCTTGTTACCTATACCGTTGCAAAGTTGCCGCATTTGGACAGGGGTCCTGGCCCAAGTCAGGTATCCCAGGATCACAGATGTTCCAGAAAAATCGGGTGCCTGTCGAAAGCCTTCTAGGTGCGGGTGCCATCGATTGCTGGGCAGGGCTTCTGGGAATTGCAGGGGGTGACCTGTTTCACCACCAGCCAGGGCGTCGGGAAGTATGCGACAAGGGCTGTGCGTCGATGCCGGTTTGCGCAGTGCGCTATCATCAACCCCCGTGCATCTCAGGCCTTAGGCTCGGGTCTCACGTTTAGCTTTTGCACTCCCATAACTTCCCATCACGAAGCGTGCTCTGCCGGCTTGGCCTGGCGGAGGTGATTTGGACGAGTGCGGCGGTGGAACACAAGCCAGCGAGTCACCGCAGGAGGTCCTGAGCCGATGGTGGAAGCAGTACGCAAAACACAGAGACCAAGCTGGGCGCTGTCGGAGAACTGCAGAATAGCGCAAATGTCCTTGGACAATTCGCGATCATTTTGCTGATTCTTGTCGGCTGTCCGCCTATCTGCGCCTTGCCTGCAAGCAACGCATGCGATTTTGCACCATGCACATTTGCCGGGTGCTCACAGCGGATTTGCTGCTAGCTGAGTGGTACCTAGAACCCCCCAGAGCAGCTTTCCCGGTGGGGGTACCGGCCAGTGTACAGAGTCGCAAACGCGGCATCGCAGTCTGCTCGAGATTGAGGCCTTCAGTTGCTTCCCCCATAACGGCGGTGTGGTGGCTGGGAATCTCAAGCGCACAATGGCCGCTCACTGCCCAGTGTCATTCATTCTCTGACGACATGGCGGCCGCCTATCATCAATTGGCTTTCTGCATGGCACGTGGTCACTCTACAATTCTACAAGTTGGGGGAAAAGAAGGTCCAGCGATCCGCTTCCCGAGACGCAGGCTGCGCCAACGCGTTCATTTCAAACGCCTACCGTATTAGTCAGTTCTCACACGTCTCGAGAAGCCTCGTGCGACGGTCTCGCCATGTCGAGCGTGTCACGAGTGATAGCGCTTGGCCGTGATCGAGTCTGTTCAGAGTCAGTTGAGTTCTTGGCTGGTGGAGCCTGGAGGCGATACACGGCCGAGTGGTCCCGGCGCTCTAACTTTCACACTAAAGCCCCTAGAGGGGTGGGGCCGGAGGGGAGCAAGCTAGCCAACCGTTGACAAGTCGACGCGCGACGTCGGGTCTTTTCATCGTGTTTTTTTCCCCCTAGAGAGGTCCCACCGAAAAATCTGACGGGGGCGTGATGGTTAACTCCGACCGACTGAGCGCGATGGACCACAATGGCACCAGGAGCCAGAGTTGCGACTCGTGCACGGCCATCGGGACACTGTCGGTATCTGCCGCACATAGTGAGTGGACATAGAGTATTTTTTCCGCGTGCGGCTGCAAGCGCAAGCGTGCTCTGTATGCTGTACGGCGGGAGAGCAGATGAAGCGGCTGTTGTCGAGAGTTTGGTTCACATAGGTGTTTCGCTGCCAACCATGGGCTTTCGCTCCAAGGCGACACCAATTCCGTTCCTTTGTGGCTAGTGGCTTTCCAATGTTCTCGAAGCCATCCAGGGTGATTCATCAGGACAAGGGCCTTCTGAAGTTCTGATGGTGACTGGGGAGAATCGAAAGGGTGCATGGATTCTCCAAATGGCCAGTCAGGGCAGGGATCCGCGCGTGGGATACGGGACCCGCATGCACACCGCCCATCCTTGCCCATGCAAACGATGGAAGCAACGTCGAGAGACACGCCAAAGACACCTCCAGTTGAGGAACTCCAGTGAGAAAGCGCCAAAGTCACCAAAATTTGTTCACCATACGGCCAAAGAGCCAAGTCGCATCCATCGAAAACCATCATCGTCGGACTGCCAGAACGCCGCTAGGGGTTTGCCTCCAGTGGCAGAGAGTGGCTAGCTCCGATCACCGATACTTTTGTTGGGCAAAGAGTGGTGCTACTCGGCCTCTGCAGTCTCTTGTATCCTCGCCATCATTGGTCACTTCATCTAAAAAGCACTCGCCCCTTGTTCACGTTTTCAGACCATGCGCTGTCCTACCACATCCATGATCCATACACACCTTGCCGATGTCTTCTTCATCTCACCGGACGGTCTCTGGCACTGGGTGATATGGGCCGGTGCGCTTGTGTCTCGTTCGGGGCCGTCAACGGCGTAGTTCGCTGAAGAAGAGTTGACAGAAATGGGAAGTTTCCCAATGGCTTTTACGCTTCAACCGTGTGTCTGTATCAGACGCGAGAAGAAAAGCACAAGCCTTGCAAGACCAACACAGATTGAAGGGCAGAAATAAGGTCTGCTATGCACACAGTGCTGTATCATAGACGCCACCGTTACGAAACGGACGAAACGCTACGGTACATCTGACAGATACTTGGCCTGCAATGCACACCCACCGTCTGCACCTTTTTTTTTTTTTTTTTTTTTTTTTTTTTTACAAGCGCAAAATTAGACGGTGTCCGTCCATCAATTTCCCGCAATCTGTACTCGTCCATTCCTTTTGCTCCGGCCTTCACCTTGGCCGTGGCCCACCTGCTTTTCCCTCGACATCGATTCTGATCCCTCATCCTGGATCCCCACAGTCGCCAGCATTTTTCGCAATTTCCCCCTCACATCACCAGGCAGCGGTGTGAGTTCGCAGAGCAAAACCATTTGTCGCACCCTTGCCCGCTCCAGTGGACAAACACGCTCACCTTTCCTTTTTGCGATATCCGTCACAACAGTTCGGGTTAGTGTTTACTCTGGCTTCTGCACTCCTGTCCGTCGGTCAGCCCGGGGTAGTGTTCCTGGGTGTGCGCAATACGACGCTGCCACTGAGAGAAACCCAGTGGGAATCTCGAAACTTCGGGTGTTGATTCCGATACCTCGTCGCTCCACTCGTGGTCGCGTTGATCCTGGGAGCTGTGGGCTGCAAGTTCGCTGCCAGTTGCGGTGCCAGCCAGAGGCCCCCCCGCCACGGTCGCAGAGACGGTCCCAGACAGTCCCCGTCAGTCCCCGTCAGTCCCAGTCGCCCCCCTCCAGCCAGAAAGCGTTCGGTTCGGATGCCGTATGGAAGGAGGGCCTTGTCCTACTACAAATCCCACACCAAATTCCCGAGGCTAGCCCGCCTCACCCGTTGATCCTCGTCGTCGCTTTTTTTCTGACGGGGCCCCTGAAAAACACCAACATCCCCAGTCCTTGCAGCTTCTTCTGGTCCTCGCAAAGAAAAAAAAATATCCCGAGACGCGTCCACCGTGCTCCAGAACACATGGTTGTTTTTTTAACATAGACCTTGTATTCTGAAAACTAATGGTTGTCTCCTCTATGCAGCATCACCCCCATCACCAGCAACAGGGTCCTGTTCCTCCCCATCTACAACACTCGAGACCCTCGAGCATTGTGCACCAGCATCACAACCAGGCACCTCAGCAACCGCCTCAACACCAGAGTGCCTATTCCTCGGGTCACTCTGTCTATCAGCAGCCGCCTCAGGCCAACAACACTCAGGATCATCTGCCTTACTACCCGCATCCCAGTCCCTACAGCACCCCTGGCGCAACAAGCGGATATACATCCGCAGGTAAGTCTCTTCGCCCTCCTGGCCCTGGCTCCCCCTTCTCTCTTTCACGATGCTTACACGATCGCGCAGACACCGGAGACATGATGGCCACGTCGATAAGGCCTCCCTACCCGCCCATGACCTCCTACCATACCCCCCAGTCGAACTCGCCAGCATCGGTCGCGTCGCCTTCGGGGCATGATCAGCAAAGGAGCATCTACGGACAAGCCCCTTCGCAGCTACACCAGCAGTCCATGTACTATGGCGCTCCTCAGCATCCGCAGTACTCGTCGATGCCGGCGCAAACTGCGCCCTCGCCGTATGCGCAACACGCCCAGCAGTCCCACCAGTCGATAGCCTCCCAGCCCAGCATGATGATGTCTCACACCGCGCCGCAGCACCAGACAAGCCACCAGGCGACGCTGAATGCTCAGACAGGAATGGCAACGGTCAGCCCTCGCCAGGGCAAGATTGAGACTCAGCACGGCATGAACCATCAGATGCAGAGAAACAGTGCCCCCGTACCGCTCGCTGGCGGCGCCCCGTCGACTACTCCTCAGAACGGCACGACGCCCACTGGATCGGCATCTGGCGTGAACCCTAACGCGGCTCCCGGCCCGATTCCCGCAACAACACCACTCGTCGTTAGACAGGATCAAAACGGTGTTCAGTGGATTGCTTTCGAGTACTCTCGCGACAGGGTCAAGATGGAATACACAATCCGCTGCGACGTGGAATCGGTTAATCAGGATGAGCTGTCTCCCGAGTTCAAGACCGAGAACTGCGTTTATCCTCGCGCGTGCTGCCCCAAGGAGCAGTACCGTGGCAACCGTCTGCAGTACGAGACTGAGTGCAACACAGTCGGTTGGGCGTTGGCTCAGTTGAACCCGCCCCTCAGAGGCAAGAGAGGGCTCATTCAAAGGGCGGTGGACAGCTGGCGTAACAGCAACCAAGATCCGCGACTCAGATCCCGCCGCGTGCGGCGAATGGCCAAGATGAACCACCGCAACAAGGCCGGTTCAGCAACCCCCCATCCTGCCCACATGGCCGGTCCCACCGGCCCTGCTGGCATCTCGACACCGGCAGCAATGGGCTCCAGCGGCGCTGCCGCCATCAACAAGCCTGGAATTAATAATATGGGTACGTCGATGCACCATCACCATGCCCACGATAATGGAAATGCTCAGGGAGGAGGAGACGAAGTCGGTATGTTTCACCAGATGGCCTAATGCGCGAGTTGTTGCGATTCAGTGTGATACCTCATTTCAAACCGATTGTTTAAAACTGCGCCTGCCTTGTTTGGTTTATGTTATGGGTCTTGGGATATTTTGTTTTTGTCTTTCTCTTTCAGACTTGTTATATACCGGCTCGCCAACGCAAGTTGACGAGCTCTGCACTTGGGCGATACTGGAGATTTCTGGTATAAAGAAAGATCTGTACATTACGATAGTTGCGCGTTTGCTGTTGTTTAGTTTGTTTTGCTGGTTTTCGGTCGTCGTTCAGTCGTCTGGCTTCTGGCAAACGTTTTGCATTGCATTTACCTTGCAATCGCATACCCATCAGCATCGCTTGTCACATATTAACCAACACCATCATCACCCACACATCTACTTGGCCCTCTGCGAAACAGGGGGGCATTCCCGAGTGGCTGGAAAGCCCCGAATTTGCTGTTACTTTGTCTTTACCGCGCATTGCCTGGGGGTTGTTAGAGATCTGCGAGTTGACGTTGCCGCGCTGGCTTTTGGTTTGAAACAGCATCACACTCAATCGCACACTCTCTAGTTGCAAGGCTAACTGGTCCATGCCGTCGGGTCTGGCCTATCCAACACTGGGATCAACACGCTAACTCGTATTTCTTTGCTTTTTTTTAGGCGATGGGGAGTACGGTGACGACCAACAGCACCACCACCACCATCATCACCAGGCTCCCTCCCAGGGTAGCTCTGACGAAAGACCAGCCCAGGTTTTCTCCAACCACGGCTCGTATCCCAACGGTGCGCCATACGGTTCGTCCGCAATGCCTTCGATCCACGACACCCTCAGTGGCTCTCCGCATGCCAGCGGCACCGGTCCTGTCACCGCTCGTCGCACAACGACCCCCGGCCGCGGCACCGCCCGTGATGATGAGCCCGAGGATCTCTTCCCCGACATTCCCGAAGCAAAGAAGCGCAAGTTCATTCTGGTCGAGGACAGCGACAGGCACAGCCGTCTCCGCGTGAGAGTTACTCTTGACGGAGTCGACACGCGCGAGATTCCCGACAGTTTCCGCAAGGGAGCTAGCGTCTACCCTCGCTCTTACTTCCCTCGTGAGATGCAAAGCCCACCTCCGAGTGCCACTGGCAGCAAGTTCTTTACCGATGACTTGAGCGACGTGGAGGATGACGGTACCACCGATACGGAGGGCCGTCGCGCAGCAAGGGGTACCAAGCGGAGCGGCAGAGTCATGGTCAAGGTGCCGATGGGCGAAAGCCAGGAGGGCGAGATCGCCATCCCCCGGATGAGGAGAGCGTTCCGTGGAAAGGAGGTGCGGCTCAACGACTTGGGCTATCGCATGGCCTGGCTCCAGAGCAGAGTTTTTGCCGGAAGGACGGTATTCTTGCAGCGTGCTTGTGAGTCTTTCTCTTTCGTTTTCTTCCCTTCCCTCGTCTTGCTTCCTAATTACACAGAATGAATACTAACGATCCCATCTCAAACACAGTGGACTGCTACCGAAACAAGACCCGAACTGCCATCGAAGGCATGATGCAAGACGTCAAGACGGCTGCGCCGCATTACGAGACCCGCGTTGGAAAGCGCAAGTGGAACGAGCGCATGCGATACGGCGAGAAGAAGGAGGAGGAATCTTAAGGAGCTCGCCTTCACTGTCGCCCGCATCGCATCGCATCGCATCGCATCGCACAAACATGACCTTTTTTCAACATCAATCAAGACAACACCACTCCAAAAGACAAGATTTACACAAACAATGTTTTATGATGAAGAAGGAAGAAAGAAAGCGAAGGATGGAAATGGATATGGATATGGAATGGAATTGATGTATGGATGGATGGGATCAGTCGATCGATCGATGATACGATCGATTCCGATTGATCCTTCGGCAACCTGACACCTGACACCTATATTATGTATATGACAAAAACACAAAACGACAAAAATTGATGTAAAGCAAAGAATCGAATTGATGGTATAATTTTGGAATTTTGGAAAGGAAAAGAGAGATGATGCTTCTTGTCACTGCTAGCAACCTTGTTGGATGTCTGGTGCTGTAGTGTACTGTGTTTCGGTCTACCTACTGTGCACTGGGTAAGAAAAGAGAAGGAAAAGGAAGAAGCACAACCACAAGGGTACGCTGTGTATTTGGTTGTTGCCTGTCTGTTTGGTGTTGTTTTGTTTAGAATGAAAATGCAAGTACCATGAACATCCACAAGGGGTTGCTTGCTTGCCTTCGTACATGTTGGTTGGTTTGTTGATTAGTGAACAAAGCATGCAGTTTTGGAGTAGTAGCTAGGTGTTGGATAGAAACCCTAGTAATAATGTAGGTGTTATATACGCTGTTGTTTAGGACATGAAATCCAGTTGTTTAAGTGCCGTTAGACTTCAGACATTGAGTAACGCCCATTTACATGAGCCATCTAACGCGGACGGATGGATGGTTTATCCAGAAAAACCTAAGTGGTAGTGAAGCAAGATGGCACGAAGGTCATTGACTACTACGTAGTGTATGTACTGGCAGACTTGTTGGTTGAGCAAGTGGTGATATCCTCCGTCGTCTGTCTTGTCCTTTCTTGTCTTGCCCATTCATCTTCGTATTTCTCATTTCAGTTAAGTTTTGTATTTTGCTTCTGTGTTATGTGTTCTCACTTATTGATTATCAGATCCCGCGGGTATTTCAAACCACCACGACGCCGTTCGTTATCCGTCCGTTCGCCACCTGGGTCGATTCCGTCTTGAATTCACACCCTACCTTACTTATCTGCATAGAATAGAATAGATCGTAAAACACAACTGTACCTACCTACCTACCTAACTAGTTACTTCACTTATAGGTATGTCCTCCGTCACCTCTCTTTGTTTCCCGTCCCCGTTCCCGTTCCCGTCCATGTCTCCGTTTCATCTTCCCCTTTCTTCCTTCCTTTCTTCCTTCCTTCCTTTCTTTCTTCCGTGTCTGCAATCCACGTGTGTGTGGCGTACGGTCCATACCGCACCTCCCTTTCATTCCTCCTCCGTACGTAGTAGTCTTCTTGTTTAAATGCGTGAGTGATGGAAGCCCGGGACGGCCCGTCTGCTTGCTTTGTTGATGGCTGTTGGTTCCTGTGAGTTGTTGCCTAGTTTGTGTTAGCTATTTGCTGTTGGTTGTTGGTCGCTACCGCAACGAAGGAAAGAAGTGAGCCACAAAACAAAGAAAGGGAAGAACGTGGCGTTGAAGGGGGAAGGTGCGGCTCAAGGCAGAGAAAAGTGCGGCTCGTCCGTTGACGCCTGCCTGCCTGCCCTACAGTAGTGAAAATACCGACGGGCGAGGTTGCGAAAGAAAGGAAAGGAAAGCGAAACAAAGGACGGGAAGAGCGATCGATACAAAACTGCAAAGATATTTTCTGTGTTATCAGGATGTTCCGCACATGCCCAACGTCGCCTGCCCCGGAATATCTACTATTTCTTGCCTGGATTCAAAATGTGTCTAACCGTTCAGCTGGTATCATCATGGATAGCATTAGTTAATTCCGATTACTAGCTAAGCACTGCTTACGTCAAGGGTATATATAACATTTCTGAGTGGGTGAGGTTGGCGAGGTCGGTGATGCGACCGGCTACTCTGCTGTTTCCTCACTCCTTCCTCTCTTCACCTCCTCTCCCATCTCTTTGGTATCTTCTTGAAAAAGGTAAGCTCTCTGCCGTTGCCTCCAAAGGGTATCCTCCAAAAGCCTCATGAAAGAAGTAAAAGAATAATGTACTAGTAGGACCTGGGAAGAAGAAGGCCCTCACTCACTAAGACTGGCTGCCGGAAACCCTCCGCTACGGGCGACACATCCTTTCTCCTTTCAGATCAACCCCATAAAGCTGCTGGTTCTTCACTTAGCCTCCTCATCCTCCAATTTCAGTTCCTCAACCTTGAGCTGCTCCTCGAGGGTATCTGTTGTAGGAGTTTCGACCTCGGCGGCAGTGGTAGCAGCAGTAATAGCAGCAGCAGCAGCACCGTCCTCAACGAGGTCAGGTCGCCAAACGGCCTCGATGATGCTCATCCGGCATCCCTTGGGCCTTGTGACGCCCTGTGCAACAGTAGCAAATCGTAAGTCAGCAAGTTATTTCGAGGTAAAAACCGTAACGTCGTACTCATGCGGTGGGATGAGATACCCGCGACTGGACCTACCTTGAAAACAAACCCATCACTAGCAGACTTGAACAACTCCCTGAACTCGGCCTCGGTGCGCTCCTGCGCGTTGAGCAGCGCCAGCATGACCAAGTCCATGCGACGCATGACGGTCTCGTCCCAGGGGTTTTCCTGGCCGGCCTCGAGGAGGCAATGGTCGTTAATGATGACGCGGGCGCCGGGCTTGAGGGCGGGGATCAAGTTCTTGAGGAGCTTGATGGCGTAGGGGGTTGAGTAGTTGTGCATGATCCAGCGGAAGAAGTAGACTATAGGTATCGGTTAGTAATCGAGACTTGGCAAGAGGGAAGATATGATACTCACCATCAGCATCCTTGGTAGGCTGCTCTTGGAAGAAATCATGAGGCATCAACTCAATCCTGCCAGCAACCTGCTCGTCCTCGCAAATCGGCTTGGGAGCGCTCTCCACCGTCTTGGCCGTATCCTGGACCACAAACTTCATGTTCTTGTACTTCTTGGCCAAATCCACGGACACGAAACCGTGCGAACCACCCACGTCCACGAACTTGCCTCCCTTGGCGTCGATCTCGCTAAAGTCGTAGCCGCCACCTTCGACGTCGAGCAGGTACGAGACCTCGTAGCCCTCGCCGCCAGTAAGGCTGGCCATGGCCTTGCCCATACGCCGCGCGCGCGCCGGGTCCTTGCCGAAAGTGACGAACATGGGCTCCTTGTCGACCGTGTCGAAGGCGAACTGGAAGCCGGCACGGGTGAGCGAGGTGGCTTCGGGGTGGGTCTTGAGTGCCTCGAGCACGTGGGCGGCAGCCGGGAAGATGTCCTCGCCGTTGAAGGCAATCCAGGCGTGCAGATCGCCGTCCTCGGCAAGCACGCGGGAGGCAGCTGTGTGGGCGATCATGCCCGGGGTGGGCTCGCGGAAGATGCCCTTGGTCATGGCGAGGCGGAGGACGCGGGCCAGGTTAATGGGGTCCAGTGACGTCTTGGATTGGAGCTCCGAGAGGGTGATGGTCTCGGTTGGGGGGAACAGTTTTGCTGAAAGCTGTTAGAGATTTGCAAGAAGGGCAAAACAGTGCAGTTAACCATAGACTTACCGATGCCATAGTGAGTGATAACTTGCAAGGCAAGGACGTCAAGGAACTACAGAGCGTGTCAGTTCAACCTCTGTTACCGAAAGTGAAGAACCGTGAGAACAATTCCCGCCAACGTACCTCCCAAACACCCCATCTAAGCGACTCGCGGGGTCCATGTGCGAGCAAGCCCAGTTCTCTGGTAGCAAAGATGATTTCCTGTCTGCTCTTCGAAATCTCGGCGGGAAGTTTCGGGAAATCCGCGGGAGCATCAACGTCGAAACTTGGCATCGGGAGGTTGTTTTCCTTCATGTACGTCTCCAGCTTTTCCGTTTCCTTTGCAATCTTTTGCGCCAACACAATCATCCGCGAGGTTGACGTCGGCTGCTCCGGCTCATCGGGAGGTGGGGTATGAATTCCAGTGGTGGTGGACTGAGGCTCCTTGGGCTTGGAGGATAGTGATGAAGAAAGGGCCGAAAACGACAAGCGGTTTTGCTTCTTTCCGTCCTCGTCGGAGCTGGGTGACGGGCTGTGGTTCAGCCAAGAGCTAATCTTGAATTTTCCCATGGTGACAGTTCGGTTTCGCTTTTCGATGTATGTGGTGTTGCTTCAGAGTCGAAGTTGAAGAAAGGTCCAAGTGACACACGTAGTGCTCCAACCGCAATAAGTGGATATAAGTATAAACAAGGGAAAAGCTTTGCCGGCACGGTGATCCTGGTTCCAAAACCGACCCTTGACAAGTGAAGTGCCTAGAAACATGAGATCAGCCATTCACTTCTCTCAACTAGACAAACGGGGATGGAAGAGAGGCTCATTGAAGCCACACGTCCGTAGGAGGTTGAGACGGAATGAGTGGGCCACATCACGCTATTGACTAGTTCCCCAAGCCGTACATGACAAGAAGCACGGTTAAGGCCATACGTATAAAGAGACATGTCTTTGGCATTCCGCAATTGCATGGGTTTGAGATCCAGATGCCAAGCAGGGGATGATACAAAACAATCAGGGGCTGCCGGTTGGTGGTATAAAAATGCAACACGGTATTGGGTGAAACAGGGCAACAAAACAGAAACGGGAAGGTAGAATACCTGTGAGTAAGAGCCAACGTCAAGAACTATTACTCCTGACTGACTCACTTCAGAAAGAAGGACGTTGTTTGAGGGCCGTCGTTGAGGGTGCAGTAACCTCGGTGCAGCAGTGGTATGTACCGTGAGGACTGCTGCTGTATGTCTGATGGCTGTCTTCTGTCTGTCGGATTCTGCTTGGCTTGGCCAGGATATCGACGTCGAGTAACACTTTGGACTGGCTTGGGTTACACCGAGGTCACCGGCTCCGTCTCGTTGGGAAGCTGATTGCCTACCGGGCCGGTCGCACGGCCGTATGACTTGTCTGTCAAACCGCACTGCTGGTATCAAGTCCCGGGACGTTGGGGACGTGTTCAGTTGGCGTGGTGTTGGTCGAAGGGATGGAGGGGAGGGAGGCGTGGAGTAATAACTGGGCTGGTCCCAGGCTGTCGGTGTTGATCCGGCCTCAATATGCGTATCCGGGAGAAAGAGAAGAAGAACCAGTGAAGTTTGCCGGCGAGACTGCGGGTATAAGTCGCACGACAGTTCTTGTTATGATGAAGGCAAAGGCGAATAGGATCAGACGGCAATGAACAGGGCAGACCCAGGCTATAGAGACGGGCTTCTACATGGCTAGAGGCTAGCTAGCGGAGAGGAGAGGAGTCGCTCCGGGAGGAGTCCATGAGGAGCCGTGGTCCATGGTCCGTTCTCCATGGAGGAGGAGGCGAGAGACTGGGAGAAGAGGACCCAGAATTCCCAAAAATGGCAAAGCTGCATCGATCGATCGAATGGCGGTCACGCACGACACGACAAGGCCATGCCCACCATGTGAGCAAACCATCCCTTTGAGTTATTACCAACGGGGGAGCGCATGCAAGCGGGCGGCTCCATCAGATCCATTCTCCCGTCTTGTAAGTCTCCATTCGCCATCTTCTGGCATATCCATCTCCATATCCATCCACATTCCTATTCATAAGGACCGGACTCCGGAGAGGTAGGAGGGGTACTGTATATACGGAGTTGCTGCCATGGGCCGAGGTTATGCAGTATCTCGTCCAGGGACTCGTATTACGAACTCTGGAAACATAGCCGAGGGATGGCGTTGGCTTTGGCGTTGCTCGAGCCGAGTGTGGGAGAGGTGAACGGCGGCCACTGGCTATCCAAACCGTCGGAACAGCGCCCCCCCCCAGTCTTTGAGCCACTGGGTCAGGTACAGGCGCTAGTACAGCCTGGGTACAGCCTGTGAGGAACCTCAAATCCAGAAGTGGTGGACACTGGCGGCCCGTGGCAGAAACGTGGGGAGTGAAACCTCGCTCGCCCCTGGAGTTGGTTCCTGTGGTTCCTGTGATTCCTGTGATTCTTGTGCCTGGGACCTGGCGCCTGGGACGGGATTTACGGACATTGGACCGGCTTTGGAATTTGGGACCTGGGAGGTGAGACCTGAGGAGTGCCCTGACGTCTCTAGGGACTTTGGCCTGTATGACATGTTGTGGTAGATGAGCTCTCACAATGTTGAATATTGAAGCAGGACAAGAGAGGACTGTTGAACACGCAAACGGTGCCAAGGTGAACAAGTGCAGTGTGCAGTGATGTCAATTGCTATGACTGTGGGTGAGGTCAGGAAAAAGAGAGACGAACAGGTCGGAGATGGATGCGGGAACAAAGACATTTGATTGGTCAATGGGGATAGTCTTCCTTCTTCCTTCCTTCCCCCTGTGTCCTGGACAACAAGGTTGCCGCTTCCTTGATGCCAATTCCATAGCAGTCAATCGGCGTCAATCGGTATTGAATGATTTTCATCATGGCAGGGACCTCCAGGACCGCTTGCCTCAGCCTTTGGGCAATGGCCGTTCCCACCCTCAAACGCCTTGACAGTTGCCAAGACTTCCCGAGAATTGAACTGACCACAACTTTTTGACAAACGGACCATCGAAACGAAAGACGAAAATCAAGAAACTCAATTATATCATCAAAAAGAGTGCTCCCTTGATAGTCTCAAGCATGCTGATGTCGAATCTACAATCATTTTTCTTTCATCTCCTCATTTGGTGGAGATATAGCCAAATGAAGTCTTATTCTTTTCGTTTCAAAGGTCCGTTTGCCAAAAAGTTGTCGTCAGCTCAATTCTCGGGAAGTCTTGGCAACTGTCAAGGCGTTTGAGGGTGGGAACGACGAGCAGTGTTGAGTGGAATACTGTGGACGTTGGCGGATGACCTCCCTCAACTACGCCGCAGTGTTCATGTCACGGTAGTCGAAACCGCCATCAAGCCATCAAGCCATGTCTCAGCCATACGTTCTGCCTGACAGCTGTCAGCACGGCATTTCAAGGTAGCTTTCCGTCATCTTTGACGAACGTCTGGTCGATCAGGGCAAGTCAAGATTGAACAACACTGGTGAGCCAAAAGCAGCATATCCTTTGAGAACTAAAATCACTGTGATAGTTGTATTCTATCACACAAAAAGCCCGCATCGGACAAACACAGCACATCACAGCACTCCAAAGTACCTACCTACATACTCGGTTCCAATATCACAAGGAAAAGGATGGCAGATGGATGCTTCTTCCTTCCGTAGGTTGTTCCCGCTTTTAGTTACGGCTACTGCTTCCGACCCAATGCCATGGAGAGGGTATCGACTATCGGAAACCCGTAGTGTGCTTCCTCCGGTGTTATTGTCCACGAACTCCATACGCGAACAGGGAAGCCTCGGCTGATCCATGTACTGTAGTCAGTCCACCGGAAACTCCGATGGTCACGGTGCGGTGGGACAACCAGACAGACAACCCACAGGCGAACGATGGGGAAGTAGTCTAGAGAAGAAATGGAAGAACCCGAGTCGGAGATCCCTCTCTTGTGACTTGTAAATCGGCCTTCATTCTTGCTTGACCTGCTGACCTGTTGACAGTCGATTCCGTCTCTCCGTCCTAATAAACCCGTCAACGACTCCCGGGGAGTCTCCCCTCTGCCCATCGCTTCAGCTCTCATCGCCTCTCATCGCCGAACCTGTTGACGACATGCCCTGTGGACTAGGGGGGGGTCCGGAAAATCTTCCACTTGTGACGGTCACCAGTGAGAAGCTAGTCTCAACGCTACTGCTGCTGCTGTGGGGAAGCGAGAACTTGCATTTTGCGATCGTGTTCGGCGGCCGTTAACGACCGGCCTGACCCCCGGCGACCACGGCATTGGTGCGTTACGGCGGAGTCGATCCCTCCTTTTTCTTTTTTTGACGAATTGGTGGGTTCGTCATGATCTCGAACGAGCGACCGACGGACGAAAAGGTCCAATCCAATGCCATATCTTCATTCTTCAATCACGGGCAAGCGAACCTCGGCACACCACACCATACCATACCACACCATACCGCTCCTGGTGAGAAGGGGCATGATAGGAAATGCGGCGTTTTTGACCTCCGACTTGGTCTTGTGCTTGGGGGTGCCTTGGCTATGTACATTTCCCTGGAGTTTTGGGGGAAAAAAAATAGCTAAGTGAAGAGGTCAGCAGTCAATATTGTGCTGCACGAGAAAGCGGAGCATTCATTGAATGTGGCATGAAGAGCAGAAACGATGGGCAAGCGAACGATGGGACCCTCTACAGGGGCTTTATTAAGTTAGAGTTTAGTGTGGCTCTCGGCGTGGGGCCTCACTCACGTCTTTGCTTTCTTGTCTCTCTGCTGTCTTTCTTTCTTTCTTTCTTTCTTTCTTTCTTTTGTTTCCACCATGTCACTTACTCGCACTTTCTGGCAACTTCGCTGCAAACGTTTGGCCACAGTATAGATAGATGGGTAAATGAATTCGCAAATGGAATTTTGACCCAAAAAAAAAAAAAAAAACGTCGCTAGTGGTATCTTATACGTAGGAGAGAGGCACAAGAGGATAACGGGGGAAGAAAACATAACCAAAAAAAGAAAAAGCCATCCTAGTGTAAACCCCCATCCGTCCGTCCGTCCATTCCAATCCCATACATCTTCAATGAACCATTGAATCATCCATCCAACCGACGTGAACCTATCCAAAATACCCCTTTCACTTCCCATCCATCCGCCCCATCCGTTGATCCATCCCATCCCATCCCATCCCATCCCATCCCATCCCATCCCGACAAAGACTCACATGCCAGTTAATAACTCCGCACCGTGGGCTTCTGCCCATAAATAATATGCAACGGCATATACAACAAGGCCGAATTATCATGATACGCCCTCCGAACCTGAATCAAAAACATCTCGACCTGCTCTCTACTCCACCTCAATCCTCTCGTGAGCGGGCCCAACGCAATAGCCTGGATGCCATCCAGCAGAATCGTGCGCCAGTACAGCCCCACCGTTTTCAGGACTTTGTTCTTGGGCCAGGTGCCGATGGGGATCTGGAGGATGCGCTCCGTGACGTTCACGAATCCGGCCTCGCGCATCATTTGCGCCAGGTTGCCGCCGGCCGCGGCGTGGAAGTCGACGCCTAGGGCGGCGAGACCTTCGTGGACTAAGGCCCAGTATTGAGCCATGGGGTGGTCGGCGGGCATGGGACCGGTCATGGAGACGGGGAAGTGCACGACTTCTTGCATTTCGAACCAGCCGCCTGGTCGGAGGTGTCTATGATGGTAAGCATCGAGGTTAGCGAGGCTGGAAGCAAGAGGGCTGATTATGGGATGAAGGAGGGGGGAACCAACTCTAATGTTCGCCTCATTAGACGGGGCCAGTCCTTGATGCCCATCACTGTGTGGCGAGCGTGGATGTAGTCGAAGTAGTTTCGTGGGTGTAGCCATCTTTACAAGTTTCATGTTAGTTCAAGATCATGGGACGTCATCTCTCTCCTGAAGATGGTTTCGTCAACTTACGGGCTCCTGTGAATTGGTTAGTGACAACTCTTTAGTAATATAAAAGAAGGCATGGGGGTAACATACTCAACATCATCCACCATAAACCGCACATTAGGCGGCACCCACTCCGGTTGTATTGGACTTAGATCTACGCCGAGGATATTGGCGCTCTCGAAAATGTCACCCACTATTGGATGATGATACGTGTGTCAGCCTTTCTTCTGATCATAGGGGAAGGGGGGGTGCCTGATCTCGAATCTCAAAGAGGGCAGACACTTACTCTCAATGCACCAAAGTCCTGTCCCAGTTCCAATGTCCAAGATTTCTTGAGGATGGTTCCCTATGGGCGCGTAATATAGCCTTCCGCACAGCATCTTCACCATGGCATGTTTCATGTCTTCTCGTTGTTGCCTGTTCACTCTGCGTTAGCTGAACCGTGTTCAGGTAATGCTCAGAGTATCCCCACATGATGTCTCTAGACACTCGTCGGATCCGCATAATATCAGAAAGATTTGAACGTACTCAACATCATCATTGGGAAAGTTGTATCGTCCCTCCCGGAACCTGTGATAGCGCCTCCCATTCTCATAAACATAGTCGCGAATACTCTCGGCTAGCGACGTCGAACATGTCGTGTTGGCGTCTGATTCGTAACCCGCGTCTGAAGCCATATCGTCATGGTCGATGGTGATATTCCCGTCCTCGGCCGCTTGCTCTACAGCTGCTCTTTCTTCTTGCTCAACGTCAAACTCCTCGTCACCATCTTCTTCTCGGCCCCGTTTCGTCGCTTTCAAGGCCGTGTGGTATGGACACGATGATAGCAGCAGTCGACTCGACCTCTCGCCTGGCGAGCTGGGTTCACCCGAGGGAAACGGGGATGCGCCGTAAAGTGAAGGGGAGTTTGTCGTCGATTTGGAAAAGACCGTGTCCGCACGAGATATGACGGAGTCGGTGCTCTCCTCCAGATCTGGATTATGGGTCGTTATTGGAGCATCGTCGGCTCGAGGAGACTCTGGTGGTGCGGTTTCACTGGAGGCGAGGATGACTGCTGTGCCCGCTTGCGCAACCGTGTAAGCGGGGGACTCGTCCACCACCACCTGCTGGGCTTTCGTCGAGCCTTTGTCGACTCGTGACGAGATCGATTGGGAATCTGGCTGGACCAAGGTGCCATCGTCGCTGGCGGATGAGCTACACTCGTGCGTTCGGTTTTTGTTGGGGGTCGAGACACCAGGCACAGCCGGGTCACCCTGTATGCGCTCCATCCTGGACGCCGAGTACCTACACAGCAGGCGCGAACCTGGAAAAGTTCCTCCCTTTTCTCGTTTCAAGGGCGGCGAAGGGGACTGGTGGATTTGGACTGCAGGACGGGGATAAACCCAAGACAGGGACAGGCTACCTTTTGGGCCAAATGAGGTTGCAGCCCGTTATATCGCCTTGACCCTGGCAGAAGCAGAAGCAGAAGCAGAAATAGCAGCAACAGCAACAGCTCCTCACGCCCGTTATGTCTGTAGGTCTCAAGTACGGGCTATGTGGTCTCGAGTAACACGCGGACCAAACGGGAAGCGTTGATTGCTCAGCCAGGATTTGTGTATCGCCGTTAGGACAGAAGAGCCTGTGTCCCACCAACGGCCAGCAGCATGCACAGCAAATCCGTCCGTGAAGGGGTCCGAAGTGTTGTTTGGCGTACTGTGTAATGGTTCTGTACCTTGGCACGAGCAGTCGTCAGGAAGACTGGGAAGGAGGAAGAGAGAAGCCCTCAGGATATGAGAGACCACTTTTCACTGTGAAACAGACCCAAAATCGGAATAAAGACGATGCGTAGGATAGGCCAGCCGTGGCTTGTAATCTGGAAACGGGAAGGAAATCGGGATTGCTGCGGCAGGATGAAGAATCGTTCAGACCGAGATCCAGGTTCGTACGGTTGGTGGCCAGTGGTCTCAGCGTATGTTCCACACAAGGGAAGCCCAAGTATGTGACACAGTACGTTGACGGGGATATGAGCACTGATTTGCTGTCCAGAAAGCAATCAATAAAACTGGCAATCGAGGAATTCGTCGTGGATGAAGCCGTATCAGCTTAACCCATAAAGTATCGCCCGAGTGAGTGACGAGTCTGTGCTAATGAGTATGGACTCGAATTGGAGGATGGTCAACTGCCGATGAGCTCGTCGTCCGCGTGGTCTTTGGGATGAAGGCGAACAGCTGCCGAATGCTTGCACTCTGCTCAATGGCAAGCAAGATGTGAAGGGGTGAAGTTGGCAACAAAAACCAAAAGGGCAAACAAGATGAGTGTTATGGACCTCTAATGACTTCCCGGTCCTAGGTTAGTATGTAGTCTGGACCCCCTTGTGTTTTACACCAGAGCTTAGCAGCCAGGTACAGAATACGCAGTACCACGCTGTTAAGGGATGGTGAAAACTGAAGATAAGGTACATAATGCAATCGATCCCTGACATATAGCGTGGAATGCCAGGATAAGGGGGGTTTGACAATTCTTCCCATTCTTCAACTCGTCAACCCCCACCCATTTTCGAGAGCAAGTTCCTTGTCGTCTGTTTTCCCCTCTGTTTAAGGTGCTTATTAACCATCAGTACGGTTTCATCCCGATGTAATAGATCCGGCTTGCAAAATGGTGGTGTCGTCAAGTACGGTGATGCGGTGGGCGGATGAAGTGACCCGGACAAGCCACAGCGTACTGCAGAAAAGCCACCAAAATGGAAGGAATAGACAGTCAATTCGATGCCGTGTTACCCCAGACCAACTTTGAAAATACACTGAATGGAAAGGCCGGCACCGCTAGTTGCTTTCTTCAAAGGTGCTGTTAGTCGAAATCATCCACTAACGGCAACCTAACTGGATGGTGCCCGTATACATCATGGCCCGGTCTCGATTTGATGGTGAATAGGCCATGGGGTACAAAGATTTGTAGCGTTAGTGTGTGATTCGGAAGAGACAGAAGGGGTCCATGTGGATGCTGGCGGAATCCTTCCAGATTCCACGTCGTGTTCCGCACACCAGCTCTGGTCTTCTCGAGAATGGCATTCAAGCCACAGAGTTGTTGCTCAGGCCAATCCCAGCCCAGGAAAGCGGGGCCTTGCCTAGCTTCAGCCTCAGTCCAGCCCCAGCTTCCCTTCGTCGTTCGTCACTTGCATTCGCTGGACGGACTGGAGCCGTGCCCCACCCGACAGGCAGAGCAAACTGACGTGGAGCTGGAGCCTTGTTCCTACGTACCGCTGTGGTTGGGTTCTGCTAGCAGTGACAGCCCCCACGCTCCAGCAGCAGCTACCTACCGTGACGAACCACAGCACTACGCCAACCGCTGGGGACTGACGACACTCACGAGTAGTCTCCAAACAACAACTGCCCCTCAACATCAACAACACGAAACCCCGTCGCGAACCTAGTCGCCGCCCAACCCAAGATACTCGATAGTCTGACAGCCCATCCACACATCATCGATACTGCACATCATGGCGGAGCCTGCGTTCAAGCCGGAGAAGGACTTCTCCAAGGAAGTCGACAAGCTGCTCCCCGAGGCCGAGCAGTTGGCCAAGGTAAACGCAATACCCCATCGTTGCCACCGCCTTCAGACCGCATACTGATAATGAAACAATTTATTAGACAGACATCCATGCGGCTATCGAGAAGCTCTCTGTCCTCGAAAAGCAGACGCGCCAGGTAAGCGCCCTTAGCCACATACCTAAATAGTCCCCGCTCCTTCAAGCTGACCACGCGCCGATGACAGGCTTCCGACCTCGCATCGACATCCCGCATCCTGGTCGCTATCGTTACCCTTTGCAAGAATTCAGGCGACTGGAGCTTGCTTAACGACCAGACCCTCGTTCTCTCCAAGAAACATGGCCAGCTCAAACAAGCCATCACCAAGATGGTACAGACCGTCATCGATTTCCTCCCCGAGACCCCGAACCTGGAGACTAAGCTCTCCGTCATCGAGACGTTGCGCACCGTTACCGAGGGCAAGATCTTTGTCGAGGTTGAGCGCGCCCGCGTCACCAAGATTCTCTCCGACATCAAGAAAGAGCAGGGCGATCTCAAGGCTGCGACCGATATCCTGTGCGAGCTTCAGGTCGAGACATTTGGCTCCATGGACAGGAGGGAAAAGGTGGAATTCATTCTGGCTCAGGTGGCGCTCTGCATAGAGAGCGGAGATTGGACACAGGCGGGCATTCTCAGCAGAAAGATCAGCACCAAGTACCTTGCGCGCAGGCCCAAGAAGTCGCAAGAGCAGCTCGACAAGGAACAGAAGGACAGGGAGGCCAAGAAGGCCAAGGGCGAGGAGGTTTCCGAGGAGAAGGAGGATGATGTCACCGACCTCAAGTTGCGATACTACGAACAACAGATCATTTTGGCCAAGCACGACTCAAGGTACCTCGACGTCTGCAAGTACTACCGTCAAGTGCTGGATACCGAGGCGGTAGAGGAGGACCCCGCCAAGTTGCAGGCCGTAAGCTCTTCAGACACACCGTATTGCGATATTCTTATACTAACATGGGTTGACAGGTCCTGCAAAGAATCATCTACTTCATCATTCTCTCTCCTCACGACAACGAGCAACACGATCTCCTCCACAGAATCCAAAAGGACCCACGAATCGCACAGGTTCCTCAGGATGCCGAGCTGTTGAAGCTGTTCACCGTTCACGAACTCATGCGCTGGCCCGAGGTTTCCAAAATCTTCGGCCCACACCTCTGCAGCACCGAGATCTTCGACTCGGAGCCCAACCAGTCGGCCGACGACAAGGCTTTCCAGCGTTGGCAAGACCTGCGCAAGCGCGTCATCGAGCATAATGTGCGTGTGGTGGCCAAGTATTACACGCGCATTCGTGTGGATCGCCTTACCAAGCTGTTGGATTTGACCGAGGACGAGACGGAGAAGTATATCAGCGAGCTCGTAACGTCCAAGACGGTCTATGCTAAGATCGACCGTCCGGCGCGCATCGTGAGCTTTGCTAAGCCGCGGGATGCGGACGATATCCTGAACGAGTGGAGCTTCAACATGAAGAGCTTGCTAGGCCACCTGGAAAGAATCGACCATCTGATTACCAAGGAGGAAATGATGGCAAGAATCCAACCGGGAGCAAAGTCGTCAAAGAAGAGTACTAAGGAGAAGGCGACGGCGCGCTAGAGAAGCTCAAGCCTCCTTACTCCTCTAACCCCAATTGTGGTCAGAACCAGACAGCGATCATAGGGCGAGGCGATAAGTCGCCGAGCCGAGTTACTCTCTCGCCGCCATCTTCCCGGCAGAGACTTCGTCGGCACCTAGCAAGGCTGGGTGCATTACAGCACAAATAATCAGCTTTGTATGAATAGACATGACTACTATGGAGCAAAGGGACATAATTATTTCGTCACTTATATCCCGATCGTTAGGAGCGCAGTCTACTGCCAGGCAGACGAGTAGCCCAGCATACAAAATAGCTCCAGTCTTTTGCCAAAGTGGTGCCGTAGGCTGTTGTAGGTTGATTGAATTATCGAACCCATAGCCGCATGTGAGAGGATATGAAAGGACTTCATCGTCCAAGCTTCTCGAATGGACAGTGAACTGTGCAATACTTGAGCAGCTGCCATGAGGCTCTGCGTGATGTGTATCGTTGTGAATGTGCAGAGTTGACCGGGCCGTTAATATCAGGCCGGGCCGAGCCACGTGCCCGGACCCCCGCTCCGAACCCCCGGCAAGATCGGCATGCATGTTGGCCAAGACATCAACCAATAACCAAGGCAGTAGCCGGCGCTGCCATGTCATCATGATGCCATGATCCGAGCATGCCATGCCAGGACGGGAACAATGGAACCCGCCAAATGCACATCATGGCCACTGCCATTGAGATTGAGCAGCTTTGAACCATTCGATGTTATGATCTGGAATTATCCTCTCGAGCTGATCTCTACCTATGTAAGTGCAGTCTTCACAGTTCGAAGATTGTGATATACTGACACCATCAACAGTATACCACCACGATAATCCCAGGTGTCACCCGCAAAGGAAATAGATAGCCTAGAGTGTCACAAAGGTACACGTTGCCGTTGCCCAAGATGGTCATGACAGTGACAACATCAACCGGAAACCGGGTGACCATGTACTGCCTGGGCAGCCTCACATTCGTCCCCAGCGAGGCAGTCAAGGACGAGGAGACGCATAAGCAGGTACTACAGCGGCTGGCCGAAACCGATGACTTTGCGACAGCCATCCGCACGTGGTTCCACCTATCCGACGACGTCAACGTCCCCGAAGCCGATGAGTACGTGTACCATGCGATTGCCAGCGTGAAGCTGTCACAGGTCCAGAGGGCGGTTGATGTGGGCGGGGCAAAGGGTATGCATGGCTGGTATAGGTTGGAGGGGGGTGATTTGGTATGTGTTGCTTATGCTGATTTTAATTGGGCCCCCTTTTGTTGTTTACTTTCATTCATCACATCGTATGAGGGCACCGAACTCAATGACTATCATTACCTCGCAAGATATGTATCCCACCGCTAACCCTCACCCACCCCAACTCTCCAGCTTCCTCCACCACCGCAAGCAGACATAGAATCCTACATCTCCATCTTCCTCCCCTCCACAGCCACAGCCTCGGCCCTCACCGCGTTCCAGTCCAACGCCAAACGCTCCTCCATCCGCCTGCGCGCAGCCACCTACCTGCTCTCCAAGCGCTACATCGCATCCGACGACCATCCCCTCGGCAACCAGCTCATCATCCCCAAGACCAAGAAGGACAGCAAGACGCCTTTGCCTTGTAACCCCTACTTTGATTTCTGGGCCTGGTCATGTCGGAACTTGGAATGGTGCGGGCCGGTACCTATTTCTTCATCTTTGCCCCACAACAACAATGGAGAAGAGACCCAGCAAAATGAGAACGACGAGAAAAAAATCATCCTCTCCAACCCCCGCATGTCCCACCACATCCTCCCCATCTTCATGCACCACTTCGGCTGCGCCGTCCCCTCCCACGAATCCCTCTCCCTCCTCAAGCTCTTTGCCCGGGGGCGCCCCATAATCGACATGGGCTCCGGCAACGGCTACTGGACTTTTATGCTCCGGCAATACCTCCACTCTCTCGGCCCCTCCTCCTCCTCCTCCTCCTCGCAACAAAAAGTCTACGCAGTAGACAACAACCAATCAGAATGGCGAGTAATGTGGATAGACGACACCATCATCGCCGACGGCGTCCGCTGGCTTTCTTCCCCTGTTCATAAAGGAGGGAAAGATATGGTTCTGTTGCTGGTGTATCCGATTGTGGGTGGGGAGGGCAGTGCCGCGGGCGGCAAGGAAGGGGGGTTCACGAGGGAGTTGATGAAAGCGTACAAGGGGGATACGATAGCCGTGGTGGGGACGCAGAATGGGAATGGGTATACGGGGTTTAAGGGGGTGACGATGGATGAGTATATGGAGAGGGAGTGGGGAGGGGAGGAGGGGTGGAGGAGGGTGGTGCAAGTGCCGTTGCCGAGTTTTGCGGGCAAGGATGAAGCGTTGTTTGTTTTTCAGAGGGGGGAGGCGTTGGGTGGTGGGGGTGCGATTGGGGAGGCTGAGGGAACTGGGAAAGCGAAGAAGAAGAAGAAGAAGAGTGGGAAGAAGAAGGGGGTGGAGGCGGAGAATAAGCATGGGAAAGATCAAGGGGAGGGGAAGGAGGAGGAGGAGGAGGAGGAGGAGGAGGAAGGTGCTGATGAGTGAATTAGTCGGGGAGGATATGTGGATGATGGGGTCCTTAAAGACCATGGCGTTAGCAAATGAAGAAGGAGTTGAGATGCGCTGAACCGCTTGAAGAGGAAAAAAGTGCGGTCATAGTAACAGAAAGGTTGAGAAATCAACTGAAAAGAAACAGCCTTAGATGATAGAAAGATAAGAGATATCACCGAGCGATAGAGGAATTTCAGAAGAGGATAGATAGGTACCTCTATGTTCTGCCCACGTATTATTATTCGTGACTGCCTGCTATGTATCTTTCCTCCGAGACTTCTTAAAGATTCAATACCATTAGCCTCACATCCCAAAGAAGCATAATACCAATCAAGATAGGTATCCCTCCACTAAGACTTCAACCCATCCCTCTCCTTGCCCTTCCCCCTACCCTCCACCCCCTCCGCCCTCTTCTTCAACCCCTCCATCCACACATCAAACCCCCTCATGATCTGATTCCCCGCCGCCGCCTTCACCACCGGCGCCAACACTCCGTAAAACGTCTCCCAGCATCGATAGGCCGTCTCGGGCTCGTCAAGCGTTCCAGAGGGAGGATAAACTTGGACGAACTCTTGCACGCGCTCGCACCGGAGCATCCTGTTTGGCATAAAGAGAGTGGGGCGGGTCTTCCAGGCTATGCGGAAGCCGGTGCGGCGGATTTGGAGCTTGTTATTGTTGTTGGTGTTGGTGTTGGTGTTGGTTTGGGGGTAAAATATCGCCTTGGCTTTGTCTTTTCCTTTGGGGTCGGTGGGCTTGTCATCAGCCTTGTTGGTGGTGGCGGGAGTTGTCATTGTTGACTGCGTTTTCTTCCACAGGAGGAGAAGAGCCATCAGATCGTCATCGTTTTGACTTTCACCACCACCACCACCACCATCACCACCGCCACCGCCACCGTCGCCGCCAGAAGAATTGTCCTTAGCAACCCCAAGCCCAGGCTCAGCCCCAGCCCCAGCACCAGTCCCTCCAGCACTAGCACTAGCACTAGCACTAGGCAAACTCGCAGCCGACACCGAAACAGACGAGACATGCGCCTCAACAACCTCGTCAATCCGCTCAAGACGACTGACTTCGAGCGCAGTGTTGCGGGCACTGCTGTCCTCTGATAGAGGGTCCATATGGACGTGGAAAGTGAATTTGGTGCCTAGGCGGAGAAACTCTGGGCCAACTAGGTTGGGGAGAGCTTGGTGGTCCCCATCCGGCTGAGCGTCTATGATGCATTTCCGGCAGTAGCGATTCCATGATGGGTACTCTGACGCCTTCAGAAGAACTTCAAGACAAGTACGCGGCGCGGCCTTGATATGTGTCGAACAGGCTATGGTGAACGAGCCGGCTCCGGGCTGGCCGTGGGTGGGAGTGGGAAAGGGGCCGAGGCAACCGGTGGCGGCCGTGTCCGGCGGGATCGGGGGCGAAGGTGAAGTCATGTTGAAGTTGGGAAGTTGAAGGGATCAATCAGACTGAGACGTCAGCACCGACAACTGGGGTTCGAAGCCGAACACACCAAGACGAGGTCGTACCCAAGGGGGTTGTTTGATGTTTCGTCCATCCCATGTAGCTTCAGCGCAGAAGATGTCAATGTTATGCCATCACGCAAAAACCGGTTGCCTGCAAGATACGGGCGGCCGTGCATGAGAGGGGTTACCGTCGTCCCCAATTCTTGATCACATCTTTTCAAGTTGTTGTGCTGAATGAGAGTCCAATGGCTGGAATGCACTAACAATTACACGTGCCAAGAGGGGTACATGACCCGACCCGACTAGCGCCCGAGGTTTTCGCTTTTTTGACGACACAAAAACAAGAATGACGACAACACATGTTCCGAAACGGCCATTCTCCGACTCGCCTGACAACCATGGACACCTGCGGAAGCGAGCGATGAAGTTTTGGGGCCCTAAGAGCGGAAAAAAAACGCAGATAATTAAGAGTCGCTATCGACAACAGAAACAACAGCCCAAATTTGCAAACACCGCGAGAGGAGTCATGCCCCGGCCTAGCAAGCGGCGACACCTCTTCTCTTAATACACATAACGGAAGTTGGGGTTCTCCTTGTCCGTCAGATCCTCAAACGCATGAACCATCTTTGCGTCACGAGCCTCTTGCACACCGGCGGCAGCGAGCTCATCCCGCTTCTTGTTCTGGTGTACCAGATAGAACCGCAGGCCGACGATGACGACGACGAGCAGGCTGTAGCAGCCCAAGTGTGTTGAAAAGGCGAAGAAGTACCGTGGCTTGTCGGTGTCCAAGAAAACTTGGGGCCCTATTCGGTACGAAACACCGTCAGCACACCATACTAGGAGACGAGACAAAAACAACTTACCAATGGCATTTCCGGTGGCCCAGATGATAAAGTTCAAGGCAACGGCCACAGACTTCTTGGTCTGGCCACCCACGTTCCGCGAGAGCATGGACAAAGCCAGTGTCTGAGCGGACCAGAAGGACAGCGTGATATAATAGCAGATGACCAGCCCAATCTTCTGCGTCTTGGAGTCCGTCGGCACCGTCATGAGACAGATGGTGCCGATAAAGGACGGAATACAGAAGCCCAACATCGTCAGCAAGTTCTGGTTCGTCTTCTTGACGATCCACACGGAGCCCAGCAACACCATGATGATATAGAAGCCCAGCACCATGGCCAACAACTGGGTCTCGAGCAGCGAGAACCCAAAGCTGCTGATGATGATACCCTGGAAGCTACCAAGGCCGCTGGTCGGGAGCGTCGTGCACAGCTGGACGAGGGCATACCCCCAGACCTGCGGGTCCTTCAAGGCTTCATAGACCTGCTCCTTCTTGAACTTGCGGTTCTGCACGCCCGTCTGGTTAGACCGCACACGCTCGACCATCAGCCGCTTGTCCTCCTCGGAGAAGCACTTTGCACGCATGGGCGAATCGGGCATCCACCAGCCGACAAAGAGGCCGTACAGGACCGAGACGATGCCGTACGACAGAAACAGCCATTGCCAGGACTTGAGGGGGCCGGTCTTGATCAGCGAGAAGCAGTAGGCCAGCAGACCGCCCACGATCTGCTGGGCGCCGTTCATCATGTACCAGTAGGTCACCCGGGACGCTTGCTCCTCGCGCTTGTACCAGATCGAGGAGAGGATGACAAAGGCCGGCTGGCAGGCGGACTCGAAGAGACCGAGAAGCGTGCGGACGACCACCAGGCCGGTGAAGTTCTTGCAGAGCGCGGTGCAAGCTAGGACGACGCCCCAGGCTATGATCATGAAGCTGAGGTACTTGGCGATGGGTACGCGGGCGATGATGTAGTTCTGGGGATACTCGACGATGAGGATGGTGATGTAGATGCAGGTGGTGAGCCACGAGTACTGGAGGAGTGACGATTTGTTAGTGGCAACGATCACAGGACAAGCTAAGGGGCTTCAAAACGAGACGGCTGTATGGACATACTTGCTGACCATGGAGACCAGTGTCTTCCCTGATGCCCATGATGGAAGAAAAACTCAGGGTCCCCTTGTCGATGGCCTGGATGAAGTAGGTTGTGATCATGATGGCGAGCACTCGTTTGTCGATCAACCTGCGTAGGCGACTATTCTCCTCTTCCGAGATCTCGAAGGCTTCATCGGCGACATATTTGGCCAATTCTTTGTCGACCTTGTCGTATCTTTGCTGGTTCCCCTTATCCAGATCTGGAGAGAAAGTTCTTTCAACCTCTTCCAAGCCGTGCTTGTCGTCGACTTGCTGGATGTCCCTGTGTGGGCTGGCCACGTTTGGTTCGTCGTGTTCCGACATGTTGAATTATGGATCTCTGATGTCTGGGAGAGGAAGATGACTCTTGACCTCCAGAACAGGCCAAGATTGAGATGGAGATGAAGACGCAGAGAGGTGGGAGAATAAAGGGACGGTAACATCGTGGAGAGACAAAGAATCTGGGGTCTACCAGTCTTGCTGGTCCGACTTCTACCCCATGGGGAAGCCTGTCCCAACTGCAGACTAACAGACACCAACCATACGATTTCTGGTGTTCGTGATCATCCTTTCTCCTGTTTGTTGCCGACTTTCTCTTCTCACTGGACGGTCTGCTGCAATTCACGCCGGTAAGATGGGTTAAACCTACCCCGAGCAGGGGTTTACTTGGAAGTTGGCTGGGTCGTTTTCAGCCCCCAAGGGCAGCCGTCTCGCCATCGTGGGGGTAAGGATGGATGGGGGAAAGTAGTAGCGGTCTCACTACCGCAACGTTGCTTTGACAACGGTTATCTTTCGACTATTGGGGTTCCTTATATTGAACTCAATGGCCTATGTCTCGCATGAGCTTTTCCCAAGGCGCTCTTTAAGATCTCTCTTAGGGAACTCACTGAGGTCGGAGCATTCCTCACTTCGCCAGGCTGCCTTCCCATCCTCAGCTTGAGATGGACTGAATGTAACAACCAGGATATCACCTCCCCAACACAAGACCACGAGACATTCCTGCCCTCGGTCTGAAAAGGGGCTTCCCCCGACTCTCGGTCCGGTGTGCCCCGGACAGCACACTCGAGCGCCCTTCCCGCAAACAGCCAGGCGATTTCCCAAGCCTTCCCCGCACGCCATGAAGCCCCTTCCGACGCTGTTAGCGTAGCGGCTGACGAGTCACCTGCGGCGGTCTCGGGGTGATTCCAACCGAGCTCCCCCAACCCTTTCAGTGCAAGCCTCTGCCATGATATCCGATGGCGAGACATCAAGACCATGGAGATTCTCCACCAAGCAGGAAAGATCTCGAGAATAAAAGCGAACAGGCAGCTCGGTTAATCCGTGGTTATTGGGTGGTTTGCACCAAGAACTTGCCAGCCGGTTTGAAAACCTAAACACCATCCAACCATCACGACCCTCAGTCCTCCATCTCACCACACTGACACGGCGTTGTCATTGTTTCCTACATATCAGCCAGCTCAGGCCTCACACCAAATTCAGCCAAGATGCCAGCAGAACTTCACGGAGTCAAGTCTGCGGACATCGACTCCAACATCAGATTATTAATCGACGCCCTGGTCAACATCAAAGACAAGACAGGCGAGTTCCTATTGACTCTCGAGGATGGCCGTGTAATCGACACCAAGGGCTGGAACGACTGGGAATGGACGCACGGCATCGGCCTCTACGGCATCTGGCAATACTACGAGCTCAAAGGCGACCCAGACTGTCTCCAAATCATCGAGGACTGGTTCGCCGACCGGTTCGCCGCGGGGGGCACCACCAAGAACATCAACACCATGGCCGTCTTCCTCACGCTGGCCTACGTGTACGAGCGCACGGGGAATCGCACCTACCTGCCGTGGCTCGACAGCTGGGCCGAGTGGGCCTACCACGACCTCGAGCGCACCAAGTACGGCGGCATGCAGCACATTACTTATCTCGAGGTCAACGACCAGCAGCTGTGGGACGACACGCTCATGATGACGGTGATGCCGCTGGCCAAAATCGGCCTGGTCCTCAACCGGCCGCACTACGTCGAGGAGGCCAAGCGCCAGTTCCTCCTGCACATCCAGTATTTGTTTGATACCAAATCCGGCCTGTTCTTCCACGGCTGGGAGTTCGACGAGAAGGGCGGCGGGCACAACTTCGCCAACGCCCGCTGGGCCCGCGGCAACAGCTGGCTGACCATCGTCATCCCCGAGTTCATCGAGCTGCTGGACCTCGGGCCGCAGGACCCCATCGGGGCCATACTGCGGAGCACGCTCGAGGCGCAGTGCGAAGCCCTAAAGTCTCTGCAGGACGCAAAGTCCGGGCTGTGGCGGACGCTGCTGGACGTGCCGGAGAGCGAAGGGTCGTATCTCGAGGCGAGCGCCACGGCCGGGTTCGCATTTGGCATCCTGAAGGCGTTGAGGAAGAAGTACATTGTTGGCAAGGAGTACGAGGACGTGGCAGTCCGCGCGGTGAAGGGGGTTTTGGATAATATTAGCGACAAGGGGGAGCTGCTGAATACCTCGTTTGGGACGGGCATGGGGAGGGATTTGCAGCATTATAAGGATATCCCGACTACTAGTATGCCGTATGGTCAGGCTATGGCGATCATGGCTCTGGTGGAATTTTCGAGGAGGTTCATCTAGGGAGAGGAAAACAAAATTAAAGGTCATCGATAGAGCCAGTCGAGGTCACTTTGCGTTTTATGCAGCTCCATCAGGTGGTTAAAGGCGTTCGTTCATCAGCGTCGAGGATTTGCGCAGAGTTGATACAGGACACCACTCTACAGCAATGATCATCAAAGCCTTCAGCCTAGGTCAAAAGCAGCAACCACGGCATCACGGAGCCCAAAAGAAAACTTCCCCCAAGCAAAAGGAGTAACACAGCAAAAAGAAAAGAAAAAGGGAGCCGGTAAATGTTTGAGTGCCACTGCCCGGAATCGAACCTGGGACCTGCCATTCTGGCTCAAGCTACTGACCTTAGTCGCACAAAGGCGAGCGAGTCGTCCTGAGCGTGTGCTACCACTACACCACGGGGCCATTTACCAGCGGTTGGGTTGTTGGTTACCGAGCCGTGAGAGGATGGTTATTATATACCTACTTGTTGGAAGCAGCGACACATTCCTTCCCTCGCAGGGAGGTTATACACGACAGGAGGCCAGGAGCGAACCAGGACGCCTAGGATGTTAACAGGTCTACGGGGTAATGCTGCCTTTTAATAAAGACTTAGCGAGCCCACGGTTGTTTATGTTGCATTACACAAAGAATCAGCACTAGACCATTCTCGAACCTGGCTCCTGGGAAACTTCATATGCACAGACTCGGGGGACAATTTGAGACGGCCGACCTTCCCGGTCTCCCGGTCGTGCCGGTCTCCTTCCCGCGGCGGGAGATTGGAGGAGCAAAGTATGGGGTGTTCCATGCTCCTCTTTTGCAATCCTTTAAGCCTGAAGTGTGTTCCCGCTACGACCGAGGTGGTATTAGGCGGCCAAAGCACAGAGCGAAGATGCAGATGTCGTGGATAATATCGGAGGAGTTGACCAGATATAAACAAAGACACTATGAGTTTTCCCACCCGCCAACTCGCCACTGTGAGCTCTGCAGTAGTTTTCAAAGCTAACCACGTCGTCAGCACGGATACATCCTAGGAAAGAAGCAGAAGGACCCCTTAAGCGGTCGAATGATCGGCCATATTCTAGCTTCGTCTATCCCCAACCTCCATCGTTTGCGTAAGGCATGTCGAGGTGGATGCCGTCCAAGAATGAATATCTCTTCAGGTGTGTTCGACTCCCCTCTGCTATAAGAACGTCACTAACATAAACAAGTGAATACAGCCTCATCCCGTCCTCGGACTCATGAGGCTCGGATTCTTAATTCAATGACAACTCTCGGACTTTAAAGGAAATTAATTGCTTGCCCGAGGTTAATGGTCCTCAAGTTCATTGGTGTGAACTTCAAAACAGCTGCAAAAGACTGCAGGGATCGTAACAATTGCCGTCCCAGAACCGATATTCCTATGCAGAGTATCATCGTCTATGTCTCGGTACCGCGGCCTATACCTTCTGGAAGCCAAATAGCCAATTCGCCACGCGGTCATTGCCGTTGTCAAGTGCGCTTAGACCTTCACCAACTTCGCTTCCTGTTCCTGTGCTTAGCTAAGTATAGGATAGAGGCGTTTCCAAGAGGCAAAATCGGCAAGACGGCTTCACGGTAGATATGCCTTTGAGTCCAGAAAACGTGGAATCATGCAAAACTCGGAAAGAGTGGTTCTTCGCTCGGACTTTTAGAAATCGGAACTGGCCGTGAACGAGTACGAGCCGAGAAGCCGCATCAAAAACACATGAAGGTTGGGAGCATGGTGGGGACCGAGAACATGATGTGAATATATAAAGGTTTGGAAGACAGTCTGTCTGTTGATCTTGCCTTTATCAGTGTTCCCTTCACCTCTCCAGCATCTCAAGTCGACATCCTCGGAAGAGATCAGGCCCGCCATCATGCATCTTACGTCCGCTCTTGCCCTTTCGGGAGCTCTCGCCAGCACGGCATCTGCCTTGAACCTTCCCAGCTTCAACCAGCAAGCCATTGACTCCGGCGCGGCTCTCGCTTCCCTCAACAAGCTTGCCAGCGCAAACGCCTCCAAGAACTTCAAGGGGTCATGCAAGGCGAACAACGTAAAAGTTCGACAGGAATGGTATGTATCGATACACAAAAGCTATCAAAAGGAACACACTGACACCATAATAGGCATACGCTTCCTCCTGGCCAGCGCAGGCAGTTTATCAAGGCTGTTCAGTGCATCCAAAAATCCCCCAGTGTCTTCCCCGACATTGAGGGAGCTGTAACGGGCTATGATGACTTCACATGGGTCCATTTGATCAACACTGTCAACATCCACTACTCCGGCTTGTTCCTCAGCTGGCATCGCCTCTTTATCCATCAATACGAAAAGAAGCTAGAAGCATGTGGCTGGAAAGGTACCTACGTTCACAACGACCCCCTTTTACCACACATACCCTTTCACTTTTCAAAGACCTAAATCTAACAGTCTTGTTACTTACAGGGGGTCTCCCTTACTGGGAATGGGGAATGGACACCAAGGACATCACCAAGTCCCCCGTCTTCGACGGCTCCGACACCTCCATCGGCGGCAACGGCGAATACATCCCTCACGAAGGTCTCACAATGCCCATGTGGCCCGACCGGGGCACCACCGACCTCCCGCCCGCCAACGGCTCCGGTTGCGTGACGAAAGGTCCCTTCGGGGGGATGCAAACGCACCTCGGGCCCGTAGCCCTTCCCGATTACGGCTCACCCACTTACTCGTCGGCCGCCAATCCAGCCGCCAAAAACACGCGCTGCCTCAAGCGCGACCTGAACACGGCCGTGCTCCGGACCGAAGGTTCCTTCCGCAACTCGACGAACCTGATCCTGTCTTCCCCGGACATCGACATCTTCCACGCCGCCCTCGAGGGCGACCTGCGGTACAACAACGACACGCGCTACGCGCCGTTTAAGGACGCCAAGAGCGTGCATTTCGGTGGCCACTTCTCGATCGGTGGTGATCCCGGATCGGATGCCTTTAGCTCGTGCGGCGACCCGGCCTTTTGGCTGCATCACTCGCAGATCGATCGCATGTGGTGGATCTGGCAGAACCTAGATTTCGCCAACCGCCAGGGCGTGTTCGGGACGCACACGATGTTGAACCAGCCGCCGAGTGATAATGTTACGGTGGAGGAGTTTTTGGATATTCATCCTGATTTCCCGTCGACGCAGATCAAGAAGCTTATGAACACTGTTGGGGATGAGCCGTTGTGCTATGTTTATGCTTGAGAGACGAAAAAGAGGAGAGATGGATAGAGATACCCGATATAATGAGAGAACAACATGAAAACGCTGCACATGCCAAGATAATACTACCTAGATAATCAAAGAACAAAATCAAATGCCTCAATTTGAGCATGATGTAACGACAACGAACACAATTCCTGGGATCTGGTAGGCTTGGCGAAGTCGTTTTGAAGTTGAATGTTTGTACCTGGACGGACAATCCATCCTGATACAATTTTGGGGTATCCAGGAAGCGGGCTCCTACCACCAATACCTGAACCCGTCCAGATCATCTACAGTGTTACTAGCTTTAAATATAGTTGGCCTGGGTCTTTGATATGCCCCTGGTCTAACTCTTTACTCATCATTCCTTTCACATCCATAAAGGCAAGAACCCGGCAGTGATTTTCAGCTGTCCTCGGACATGGCCATCTCCTCTCTCCGAAACAAACAGCCGGCAATGTGTACCTGACATCCATGAGAAAATCCAAAATTGGGTGCGTTACACGGCCGTTTTTTTTTTTTTTAACATCAGTTAGGGAATGTCTCAACGCCCCCTCATGATCCCGATCCGGTCCTATGTTGGCCACCATTAACGGCCGCATCGAAAGTCACAAATCCATCTCGGTATAAACCATTCGGCCATACCATAGGAGAGAATACGGGCTTCGCTCCCATCATTGTCACATTCAAATGAGAAGTAGTCAAAGCTCATCCAGAGCAACATGATCTGAACCCTGTCGTCAGTTTTCTTCTGAGCAACACCCAAGTTGGGCTTCTTCTATCTCCAGATTGGTTATTTGTTCCGGTGGTACATGGCCTCATCACTAGACATTTTACACTCCCAATGACACATGGGCTCCCACACATAAAAAAAAAACAAAGCAAACCCACTGAGAAACTAACACACTCCTAGAAAATACGCCCCGAGATAGATGACCATAAAGAAACCTAGGCGTCATTGCGTCAACATAAGCGAAAGACCCAGCAATATCCCATCTAGTAACTGTATAGAGTGTACAACGCACGCTGAATGTATGGCAGAACAATGCCCAATGAAATCGTCACCAATGATGCTCCAGGCACCAAAGGCAAAACCTAGTAAAACCACAAAAGAGAAGCAGAAGGGAAGGGAAATGGGTCAAACGTCAAAAACGGCCCAATCTCTCAGCTGACTCCACGAACCAGCGAGCGAACACTACTCGCGCTTTCCAACTCGGTATCGCTCGGTCGTGCCGCCAACTCCTTGTGATGAATCATCGTGTCGACAACAGCCGGCGGTTTTGACCTATATGTTCCCAAGCTAGCCAGAACGGCCACCGCTGCCACCGCCACCATGAGGAGCATTTGAAACCTGAAAGCGTCCGAATACACCGTCTTGACCAAAGCTTGCTGTTCGGGCGGAAGCATAAACACGGCCAGCGGGCTTCTGTGAAGCTGGTCAAGAACAGTCGTAGGAAACCTGCCAGCCTCCGTGGCAGGGCCGAGAGATCTCTGCAATATGTCGTTGAAAATGATGGTGCAGATGCCTAGACCCAGTGACCCTCCAAGCACTCGCACCTGCGCGACGGCGCCTTGTGCGGCGGCCAGGTCCCCGTGGCGAGCCTCGATAGCCGCGATCATGGTACAGGCGGCGAAGCACAAGCCGACGCCAAACCCGTATATGGCCGTAAACCCCAGTATATATCGGATGTCACCTCGCTCCGTCGTGTTTGAAAACCCATAGACCAGACCCAATCCGATCACCTGAAGCGAATTTCCAGCCGCAAGAGTATGGCTCGTGAGGTTTCGTTTCTTGGAGATGCTTCCGGCTAGAGTAGATCCGAAGGCGCACGATCCCAACATTGGGAGGAGATGGATACCAGCTCGAAGGGCACTGTCGCCGTAGATGACTTGGAATCGCTCGGGGATTTTGATGACTAGGGCAATGTAGACCAGACCCGTAAGAAACGTGACTCTACACCTTTTAGTTAGCGCAAATTGCTTGCGACCAAAGTGTTCCCTTGATGGGCCAGATTGAAGAAGGGGCATGAGACGTACATGATGGTTGATAGATAAACGCGGCCGGTCGCCAGTCGCACGGGGAATATTGGCTGGATATGATGATTCCGCCCGTAGAACAGATACGTTTCCCAGACCCCCAAAAGAATCCAGCTCAATCCAGCTATCACCAGAGACCAGATAATAACCGGGCTAGACCACTTCCACACGTACGATCCAGCTTCCTGTACGCCAAACACCAGAAGAATCGAAGCTACAATCAGGAGAAAGTTGCCAATGAAGTCGATTTTGCGAATACCCGCCCATCCTTCGTATTGTCGTCGTCGGTCGTCCGGCCAAAGAGAGTAGATGCCTATGAGCGCGAGTGCGCCGCAAGGGACACTGTGATAAAAGCCGGTTAGACAAGAGGTAGTTCACCGCCAATTTGAGGTGGGAGGGGTAGACCAACTTGATCCAAAAGATGCCTCTCCAAGTCCAACCAGCCGAGATTCCGCCTCCTAGCAGTGGGCCCAGGACGTATGATATGGAAAGGGTGATGCCGACCAGAGCGCCCACCATCTCGGGTTTGCTGGGCCCTTGTTCAAGGAGGCAGACCTGCGCTAGGCTGTAGAGACCCGAGCCACCAATCCCCTGAAGCGCTCGCGCTGCGATCCTAGATGGTAATAAGGCCGTGTTAATGCTGAAGCAACTTGGACAACGTGGTTGGGGATCTAGCATACAGTTGATTCATCGACCCTGCAAGGGCACACCAGACTGAGAACCCGGAAAAGAAAACCCAGGCAATGGCGAGAAGGTTTCGTCGACCGTAGATGTCGCTCAGTTTGGAGAAACCGACGGCGAAGCCTGATATTGCACGGGATACAGTCAGCGAGGTATTCATAAGAGCACTCCCTCCGCACATGAAAGCACCGTGACAACGTCATTTCCTAGCCGAGAGCATTAGTGGATTGGTACTCACTCATATACGTTAGGAGATATCCTAGAATGGTCCAAGGAGCATCTTGAGCATCCCCCAAATCCAGCGATATCGAAACCAAGGCAGTCGAGACGATCGAGGTGTCCAGGCACGAGAACATCAAACCGGCGCATATGCTGTGAGTGAAAGAAGTTAGCCAAGTTTAGATATAATGTGAATAAAGGTTGGTGCTAACGTGAATGTGAGAAGAACTCGGCGAACTGGTGACCTTGATCCATGTTGAACTGTCCCCGAGTGTTCCTCTTGTGTTTGTTGGTGTTGTTGTTTGCTCTCGTTGGAGACGGTTCGGTCGGTCCTGTGAATCTCCTCGGTGATGTCTGAAAGAGAATGGACGTCATTGTTTTCGTTACGGTCATGGCGATATGATGGAAGAGTCATGCTGAAAAATGTAAAAAAGACAAAAGAGAGGACTTTCGAGATTATCTCTGCGAAAAGAGTCAATAAAGAAGCGGGATCGCTGTCGTCCTCCTCTGGCTTGTTGTGAGTCTCTGTGGCGGTGGTGTTCGCTGGCTGGTCGGGGAGCAGGGAGAACAGTTGGTCATCCCGCGAGCCGGAAGTGATGTCAAGCAGGAAGACTAGTGTATTCGGGTGGGCGTCAAGCACTTGTGAAGATTCTTTTTTGAGATGGAGGAAAATTCGTGTCTATGGTGTATGATGCGCGTGTATGATGTCTTCCTCGTCAAGGCAAGTTTGATTTGCTCAGAGTAAAATCGTGGAAGGAGCAAGATAGCAGTAGCAGCCCGAAACGACCGACTGTGAGGACACTTCGAGTTAGCGTCTCCGTGTTGAGTTCCAGCTCTTTCAGCCCTCTAACATCTCTCATCAATACTCCAGCCTAATCGGCAAATCAAATATGAGCAGCTGGACACCACAGAAAGCTCGTAGTTATTGTACTGAGTCATATTTGACCTCCGATGTCCCGATCGTTGTCCTGCGCCCTCATGTCGACAGGCATCACCAGTGCAAAGCCAACAAGCAGTGTAAGAACGGAAAAGGGTCTGAGACATACCTGGGTATATGATGGACCTGGTTCAAGGTGGTAAAGAGTAAGATGATGATTTTGTGTGGTGTTGAGGTTTGATTCAGTTCACTTTCTTTCCTCCCACTTATGTCGTCGTCACTTTGCTGAATCTGCCTATGTTTAAAGAGAACTCGTTCGAGGAAAGTTTGACGAATCACGAAAGGAGTTACATCACAGAAGAAGGAAAAGAGAAACGAAGGAAGCCGACCGGTGCTCCCAACGGTTGGTTTTGCTTCGCCTCACCCTAGGCTGACTGAGTGACTGGACTGGCTCTCTTCAAACCAGAAATGACTGACCTCAAAGCCGTCACACAGATGATACCCGGCCGATGACGGGTGTCGTGCAATGTGTGACGGCACATGTATAGACAGGCTGGGAAACCCCCTCCTTTTTCGTTTCTCATAGATGCAACTTTCCTTGTTGACTTTGCCCGATGTGGGTGCAAACCGTAAAGGTTCCCGTTTTGGCCCTGACGAATTCTCCTGCTTGATTGCCCTTTCCGAGTTGAAAGGATTTTCACTGCATTTTCCTTCCACAAGGGTTGCCCACCCAATATAGGCCTTGATCCGCAGTTGGACTTTCCCATTGCAAATGGCAGTTCCCCCTAGTCAAGTCCTTATGGCACAGGAGCTCTTCCCCAGGAACCAGTAAAGTTCCGACATCGAATTCCGCTCCCTATCACCACTCGTCCGTTGCCAGCACAACACAAACCCGGGTTTAATAAAACCCGAGCCGCGACTCAACCGAACGGGAGACTTTTCACTTCGCATTCTCCTCCACTCCTCTTCTCCCCTTTGCCTCCAGGCGCCCGAGTCACTGTAACATGAGGACTGTTTCCAAGTGCTACATGCCCAACTCACACCAAGTAGGACGACCAGCCGGCAACGGACTGAAGTCTGAACTAGCGACCAATAGACATATCAGGGACAAGCGAGACACTTGTCTCCTCTCTGTGCAAATAGGGAAACGGGCGCCCAGGTCGTACGGCAGGCTGAGAGAGGGCTAGTGAGGCAAGATTTGATACCAAAGCGTGTAATGTGTGTCAGTGTATGCGACCTGGATGCATGTCTCGATCATTCTGTGTGCGGACCACCCACCAGGAAGGATACCTAGCTCTGAAGAAGTGTAGTGCAGCAGACGACTGGACTGGTATGGGATACACTCGCCTTAGGGGGGGCCCGGAAGGTTTTGATCTCCGGATCTCTGTCTCTCACTCACCCACTCAGCTTCTGAAGAAGGGCTGAGCGGATGGACATGGGCTGGTCTGGTCGGTGGCTGACAACCCCCTGCCTTGCTGTATGCGTGCGACCCAAGGCCTGCATGTCTTGCAGCGTCAAGAAACGGGTCAAGGCGGGTAGATGCAGGATTTGTGTATATGATATGCAGAGAGTAAGCCTAGCAAGAGCCGTTGAGCGGGACTGCGGGATGACGAGGGTGGAGAGCGGCCAGCGGAGGTTCAAGGGGGCCAAACAGGACGGTTCCGGTTCACTCAACTCAACTCAACTCAACTCAACTCAACTCTCAACATGGGTGTAGGTACCTGATATATCAGAGAAGCTGAGTGCATCGAGTAAGTCTCTTTTGACGCTCGCTCTTCAAAGCCTAATACTGTACTACCACGGCACTCCCTAGCTTCAGACACGCAGTTGTCTATGCGCGTACATCACCCATTAGAAACATCCTCATCTCGATTGCGCTCCCCAGTTTCAGAGGTAGCACACAGGGAGACAACAGACATGGCCCTACCTTTCTACCTAACTGGTATTCGCACCTAACAAACAAACGAAAAAAAATAGGCGCGACATCGAAGAGTCTAAAGCAAGCTTCCGCCTACAACGAAGGATTGGCTTCCATAGAACCATTTCACGACAGAAGAAACATGCTGCTGCTAAAACCATCAAGGCAAGCCATAACACCACAAGATCCAGCAGGAGCCCCCTTCACTCTACTTCCTTTGCTACTCCCTTTGCCTTTGGTGTGCTCTACTACACTAACCTTGATGATGTTCCGCTCTGGAACCTACGCTAGACAACGTTGCATCTCTTCCCTTGCTCGCCTCCCCTCTCCTCCTCCTCCTCTCTCCCTCTCTTTCCCATTCTCTTCCGTCTCGCTCTTACACTTTGGGCCGGCCTTGGTGAATACCAAACTGAGACCTGTGGAACGAAGGATGGGGAGTGGGTGTTGGGATTATCCATACATGGATGGGCACCTAACTACACACATAGATAATACTTGGACAAGACAAGCTAGACATGCAGACAGAGAGGTAAGCAACTAGGATGGTAAGTACCTTAGTTAAAGATAAGTAACATGTATGTAGGAAGCTGTTGATACCTAGTCCAGCTTGAAGGCATTGACGTGCGGTCTTCCTGCCGCTGACACTACCGTTGGCGCTGGCGTTGTCGTAGTCACACAAACGAAAACACAAACAACGGCACTGCCCAATCTCGCATGGAAGCCGTTTTAGAATTCTTCTATTATTTTGGCACCTTACTACCCTGGCCTAATAATGCTCCAGTCTTTGCCCTATTCTTCCTGTCCTCCTCACTCGAAATCACAGCTTTTCCAGCCCTTCTTCACTGGTCCCCAGAGAGCACTACCTACCTACCTGCCTTACCTACCATACCCAGTCCTCACTTGCGTCACTCTACGAACCGACCTACTAACCTACCTTACCTACCTGCGGAGCCAAAGGTCCTTGGTCAGGTAAACTAAAATTAAACCCAGGTAGGTAGGTATACTGACCTGAACTCTCGTTTCAACGGAGCGTCCGGTCTTCATCACCTTCATGTATCCCTCCCTCCCTCCCTCCCCGTTTCTATGTCCCCTCACCTACAAGCAAGCTAGCAGCTTGACAGTCAGAGAGCCAGATAGACGAGTCCTCACTCCTCGTGCACTCCTCACTCCTCAATAACCCAGCAGCGGACTTTTCACTCGTGCGTGCGTGCGTGCCTGGATGGATGAACCGAATCTGGTGTCTCATCATTCTCTGACTCAAACATACATACATACATACATGCATACATACCTCCCTGTTAACGTACCTACCTGCTAGACTTAAACTGAAAACGATGAAGCAGGTCGAAGTTGGGCAGCAGCAGCAGAGGCAGCAGCGGCTGTAGTGTAGTACATACACCTGCCGTTGAATGATCATGTCCTTCCTGTCTTGCTTTTACCCGTCCGTTCGTTCTCGTTCGCGTGTCAGGTTCATTCAGGTATGGTGCCAGGCGGCGTTCTGGTCCGTTGGCTGCTTACTCTGTTAGTTTCTGTTTCTCTTTGCTATTTAACAAGGAAGTTTCTGATGGTCTGGACTCCTTATGGGTTATAATAGGGCCGGCCGTTGGCAAGATGCCGTGCTTGGAGCTTGAGGCCCATAAGATGGAGGTAGGTTAACATACCTCTAGGTATTCAACCGGTTGGTTGAATGTTTGTTTGTAGTTGTAGGTACTTTGTTGGTGTGATGCAAACAAACGGATGCTGATCTGGTTAACATCTCAATATTCCTCTCTCCAGTCCCCTCTGGCTTCACCTCTTATCTATCGTTGCCCTAGCCCGTCCTCCATCAAGTCTCGTCATGGCTTACATCACATCACGCCTTGCACCCGCTTCCTCTGACCTCCCTTTTCTCCTCCTCCCTTCTCAAAAAACATGAAATGGAAAGCTGTCATACAACGTTGCAACTTCACAAAACCATCCAAAAGATTGTATGTCAACTAATACAGAGCTCGGTAGTGGTGACATGGTAACCTGTACGTGATATTTGCAGGTATAGATTGTTGCTGAAAAAAATGGGTATCGAAAAAAGTACATGAAGCGAAAAAGGCATGATACATGTAGGTAGCCTGGTAGCTCCACAAGATGTTGATACAGACAACGAGGAGAAGACAAAGACCAGAAAAACCCAGTAGAACAAAATAAAATAACAACCCTGAAAGACACTCTCGCTGGAGCTTCACAGAACACCTTTTTCCGACCCTCACCCCACCGGCCAGCCGAGCCTTCCTCCTTTATCTTTCAGCCCTCCCCCGTCACAATACCTCTCACTTTCCATCCATTGGGGGTTCGTCGAACCAAACCTTGACCAACTGATCCGATCCGCCTGCTCGATCGAGAACTCATTAGGTATTAGAAACCGTCAAGGATCTGACCAAACCAATATCGAAAAAGTTGGGTATAAATATCGCTGTGATTCTTTTTTCGTGCCCGGTCGTTGCTTGCGCCACCACCAACACCTCCCAAGAAGCCGAGATACCAAGAAACCAAAGAACACTCGATTCTTTCACTGCTGAACCCCCTCACCCCCCTCAAACCCCTCCAGTATCTTTCTCGCCATATCAATCCTCCTCCTATACATCCTACTCTCCGCGCTTGCCCTCCCATTCTCCGTCAACCCCAACACACACTTACCCAGACTCGCTACCACTCTCTCGACGAGGAACTTATCCTCGCGCAAAAGGGCCTGCAGAGCTGCGGGATTATTGAGATTATTGCTGATGCCCGTCCTCGAATCCGATCGTTGATCAGCAGCGCTCTCCGTCTCGCTCAAAAGCACACTCGAAATACTCCTAAGCTCCTGGTCCGGCGTCAAGTAAACAGTTTCAGGTGTCGAAACGGCAGTATTAATAGAGGTAGCCGGCACGACTGTACTAGCGGTGTTTGTTCTGTTGCGCTGCTTGTTCGGCACCAGGGGAAAACTGCGATTTGTACCTGCCGAGCCGATGGAGGAGACAGAAGGTCGGTGTTCAACACCCCGGTGCACGAAGAGACCACTGTTGCGGTTGTTGTTGTTAGGGTCGGAGTACTGCTGAGTGTCTGGACCACCTCCTCCTTCGTGGACTGACAGGAATGATTCCCGATTGGGGCGGAGGGTACCGGTGCTGGAGCTTTTGATGTTGGATATTGTTGAGCCACGGGCGCGACTGTCGACCCGCATGTTGCCGGTCCCCGTGTATGTGCTGAAGGAGGCGCTCTTCCGTTTGCCAGCACTCTCCGGCTCTGCTGTGTATTCGTCCTCGTAGGGGTACTCCTCGTACACCTCCTCGCTGATGGAATCGTCGGCTTCGTAGTATCTCCTGGGGCGCCCTTCTTGAGCCGTCCGGAACGTTTCAATCGTCGAAATCGAGTTAACGCTGCCCCGCCTGCTTCGAGAGTGGAAGTTGATGCTCCTACTATCACTACCACCGCCGTTCATGCGCGTGTTTTCGTCGGTAATCGGGCCGCGGGTGGTTTCGACCGAGTCTTCTGACGTGTAACTGGTTTCACTGGTTTCACTTCCTCGCCTGGCCATTGCTTGTTGGCTTAGGGTGCCCATAGCGCTGTGTAGGAAGAAATGTTCGTAGTCGAATGCATCCTCGCGGTCTTCATGAGAGATTTGGTGCTGAACAGTATCGTGATAGAGCGATTCACCACCAACGCTCATCTGATCGTCGTCGAGCTCTTGCGCATCCTCGAATTCCTCGTCCCCGTTTTCGGTAAACGCATCAAAGTTGTCCTCTTCCTGAAACATTTTCCTGTCCGCAGTTGCTGAGGCCGGCTCGGGAAAGTGGTCGATTGCTGAGTCAGAGGTGCCTGAAATGTCGCCCTCCTCGTACGACTCGTCTTCTTCACTATCCAAATTTCCTCGCAGATGTCCATAGCTTCCTGGGTACTCTCCATCGAGACTCGAGTCTTGTTCGCCGTTCCATGGGTTCCTTTGCACAGAATCAGGCGTGAAGATTTCAGCAGAGTTCCTGGCTGAAGGCGTCTCTGTAAACCACTGATCGACTTGAGCATGAGTAAACGGGCTAGGCGTCCTAAGGCTTTGTACGCTCCGTCGTTTAATGCTGTCGACCCGAGCCTGTTCCCGTAAACTAGAGATTTTACCCTTTAGATCTTTCATCTGGTCTTTGATATCTCGCATTTGACTCGTGGGAGCAGGTGTGGAGAGTATATCCCTCGAGCTTCCGCTGCTATGGTCGCTACCGTAAGCCGTCCCATGGTAAGAATGAATGGGACTCTCGTCGTCACCTGGGGCGGTTCCATCCGGTCGTAAGGTCATCCCCGTTAGTATATTGTACGTCTGACGGTGGGCGTCGTCTTCCCAGCCTCCTCGGATGGCCTCCGCGCTTTTCGATGCTGTTATAGGCTGCCTGGAATTTCCTCCGTGAGAACTCATGGCACTGTGCGATCTTTGAATGGATATCCGATATGGCAACCCATTCCGCATCGCGATATCGCTAGTCATTCGCGTATGACCAGAGTAGTTGGCCGACGATGAACGGGACCCGTTGGTCCGGTTAGAGGCAGATGCCGTTCGTTGAGGGGGTGAGGGTGTGCCATCGGATGAAAGTGAAGGAGCAGTATAGTGTAGCGAACTCCGCGCGCGACTCAGGTTACCCTCCATAGTCTGGTTTAGAGTCAGTTTAAGTACATGATATATGGGACGAAATTACGAGCAGTGACGTACGGTTAACCTCTTCTTCGCATTCGCCAGAATCAGCTCTGCTCTTCGGCTCAAGGCAGTCGTCGAGTATGTGGACAACCTGTCACCATTCTCACTCCCCGCAACTCCCAGGCGATTCCGATCTCGAGGTATCGTTCCCTCAACATACGAGGATGCCATGCTTTCCTCGTCGTCACCCTGAAAAACACTATCATCTACACTAGCCGCATCGTCAATGTTGATGTCGGCAAGGAAGGCTGGCCGGTCCTCCATGGTTATGGTCGTTATCGTGCTGGTGCTCTCGGTGCTCATTCTCCTCTCTTTTTGCGTGGTCAAACTTGGCTTCAGCCTCTTTGCCAATCCCGACTGGCCCGTTACGGGTGAAGCTGACCGGAGCACGGCATCGATACTGTCGTTCCTCCTATGCGTAGCCGGACCTCTGTGGCGGGTTGGCGAGGGCCGGCCAGCAGTGCTCTCCACCTCGGTAACTTCTCCGATGTCCGAGAGGATGGTGCCATTTCCGTATATTATGGGGGTGGTGGGTGTCAAGGCAGCCGAGGAACCGTATGTGTTTTGCTGGTCGTATCCCAGTTGCGCCGAGTTGACGGCGAACATCTTGTGTAAGTCCGAAGTGGCCGTCACAGCACCCTTCCACATCATAAACTTTGACCGGATGCGGGCGTCTATCTCGGAGTCGGGGGAGTTTCCGCGGCCGTAGTACGGGTCGTCGGGCAATATCATGTCCGGGTTCGAGAGCGTGGGCGATGCCGCAACAAACGACGAGGGGGAGGACTGTGACTGTGGCTGTGGTCGTTGTTGTTGGAGCCCACGACGGGGGGTGTGAAGGTTCGCCGTTTCCATTATAGCGGCCATGGCGTACAGCTGGTCCGAGATATCGATGGTGCAGGTGGTGCTGTGCGTTTAGGGCGCTGCTACTGCAAGTAACAGCCAAGGCCCGGGGCAACACGGCAGTGGTGGGTTCAACGGCAGCACCTTCTGGGCCGTCCAAAACTGAACATCCACCTCCACAAGACGCGCCCACGTCACTCCGGAATCCCTCAGTCAACCGATTGTCCTCCGACTGTTTGTTGACTTGTCACCACTCAAACGCTTCTTTTCTGTTTTGTCACTTCTTCTTGGCCTCCGGAGGTTCCCGTGTGTTGTGGCTGATGGCGTGTGTCGAGCGGGAAAGCCGGGTGCGGTGCAGGCGCAACGCACGCGCACTATGCGTCTGTTTGTTGGTCTTCCCTCTCTTTGGTCGATTTGTTGATTTGTTGCGTTTGCCCAAGCGTTGTCTCTTCAGTTTACCCAAGCAAGAAATCGATATCAAGGCCAAGCTGGAAGGCACTGCACGATGAACGAGGGAAAAGAACGATCGGTGATTCGGTATTTCGAAGTCGACTCATTGGGCGTTCGTTAAAAGTGAGCCATCCTGCGACGGCTGTGTGGTGAGACCGTTGATCGAGAAAGGGTCGATGGTAGGAAGGAAAATTGGATCAATGAGAAGGACCACGGAGCAGATGCCGGACTTTGCAGGTGTCACCAGTCCACCACCGACACGTACGTCAGGTCTTTTTGCGACAAAAAAAGGGCAACAACTGAACGGGTGCAGCGAGCAAATCGATAGGAAGAAATTGGATGTTGCAAAATCCTCTCTCCCGTCCACATGGAAGAAACTCGACACTCCCCCCCAGCACACAAGATGGTTAGCCTCTCTTCCCCCTTCCGGTCTCCGGACCGACTTCCTTTGGGCTCTGCTCTCATGGGAGATTGGATAGTCGGCGGGAACCACTCTTTGAGACTTTCAACACTCTCGTAATGGCAAGGATAGGGGCTAATACAGGGGTTTATTTAACGGAGAACCAGGGGGGTCCAAAGAAAACGTGGGCGTCGTCATCCAACCCCGGCCACAAAGTCAATCCAGTCGGATTCGTCGAGTACCTGAATGCCCAGCACATCGGATTGACCGTGGGCGCGGTGACATCCTCCGTGGGGCTAATAATTTATAGGGGGGTACTCGGGTAAGAATTTCACACCTTTAAGCACCGGTCTTATGAACTGAGCTGAAGGGACTCGAATACCTACCTCTATGACATTGGGGTAAAGACCCGCAGAGAGAGATCTGGACTCTCCGAGTCCAACAACCAAGTTCCTGGTTTCAAACCCTTCCATGGCAAATTGGAACATTCTATTTGCGGATTGGCTTGCCTCCCGTCGGTAGTGAATTCTGTGCACCAGGCTTCAAGCCACTGAACAAATCCCTCTTTTCTCGATCGACCATTACCATCCATGGGGTCGGTCCCCTTGACCGCGATGTCGAGTTCCGCAACATCAAGCAGTACGACCACATACATACCTGCCGGCGATCCTCTCTCTTCGTATGCAAGTCAACGATAACAACATCATCCATGCGATCGGAATGCCGTGGGAGCAGGCCGTGCTTGTATAATTGCAGTGGAGTCAAACAGTCCATGCTCACACCTCAGAGACGAACACCATCCATCACCAAACGACTCGGCGCCCAATTGGCCAAGCTTCCACTTGCACAACGGCGCTTCGGCACGATCCCGTTCTGCTGTCAGCGTCTTGCGCCTAGGTAGGCCCCGGGGAGCTTCTAGCGCATATATCTGCCGAACGTTGAAGACATCCAATTCTTCATGAGAGCCGGAGCATAGAAAACCGGTGCGAATAAACGGGATACAGTACAGTATGTACAGGAATTACCCCTGAAAATGCATGTAATTCCGGACGGCACTTTGTATGCATTTAGAGGGCTCATGCATTTACAGTTCCATACCAAGACTTTCTTCCCGCCCTAGTATAGGAATTTTGGGGGACTTTAGAGGGTTGGCATCGCTGTCAGGCCCTAAAAGGTCCCTAAAAAAAGGGCGCCAATAAATGCATATGCACCAATTTGACTGGCAATCTAGTATGCAAATAGCAGTTATGCAAATTCCTATACTAAATAATTGCGGACGGCCAGCTGCTAGCATTTAGAGGGTGTTATGCACTTTCAGGTGCATGCACTGTCAGGGGTAATTCCTGTAATTCACAGTTTCCCTTCCAGGCCTTCTCCAGGGACAATGTCTCCGGACATCCAAGGGGACCCTGACTCTCGACTACCCTTGACTTCTCCGCGTGATCTCTCGCAGTCGCACTGCCGCAAAGGCAAGCAATAAGAACAGCCCGACTTCGCAGCTTCTTTCTCGACTCCTTTGGGTTGGTCTTGCGAAGAATACAAAGAATGGGGTTGTGAAACCATGGATCAGGGGTTCACGCCTTTTCTCAGTGCTCAACTGAACTTCGAACGAAGCGACCGAACTCCAAAAGAAGAAGAACAACTTAGGAAGATCGTTCGGCCCCGCCTTGCCGCAAAACAAGATCGACAAAAGGGGTGTCCACGCCCATTTCCAGATCTCATTTCCATTCATGTTTTCTGTTTCCACGGGTCCCCGGTGATTGGGAAAATCAAAGGGTAAACATGATCTTTTTCTGTCATGGACTTAAGTTGACTAACTCCGAATTTGAAACATGCATCAATGCGCTTTCCCATCAGTGATCGATCGGTTTCGACATTCTCGAGGCTCGAGCAACGCGCGTGGACCTTAAAGAGTTCGTCAGCCTGCACCCGGTGGCGTGGATATGTACCTGCCCCAGCCACTGAGCGAGCAGTGTCGTGAATCCGAAATGGATGATGGGATGTCCTTGCTATACACTCAACGACAAGAGATTAGTTCAATGCGGACAAGGTTGCCGCGAGTCGACCCGCGAGTCGAATCCGATCCACCCATTCATTGAGAGCAAGACAATAGTAACGACCCCGTTGCACATTCTTTTGTTGTCGACGCCATTTTCCTCTTTGTGCTTAAGGGATTCAATGCGCAGGTGACAAGTTGGCAGACGACGCTGGAAGTCAACACCAAGGCGAGGCTCAAGTGAAGAGATGGATGCTGTGAAAAATCGTTTGTCCGCAAATGGGTCTTCATTAACGCCCAGTAACGCTTCAGACGCTAAATACCTAAAAATCTAAAGGCATCATCCTTTTCCATGATCAAACCCCATAGAGCTCCATACATTTTCTTTTTCTTTTGCCTGTCCTACAGAGACCTCTCTGTCTCCTCCACTGCCGAGCCAATGGCCAATTACCGGCGTCTAAGGATATAGGATAGGAAACGAAAAGATGTTGAAGTTCTTTTGTTTTCCCCTGAACGCCGATGCTGTTTTCCTCAAATGTTCGTCACCCTTCGGGTATCGCAAAACGTCATGAATTAGGCCTTCCTGGCTCATGCAAGTCTTTGTTGAAAGACGCCTACCACCCACCGGTCTGACCACCTCTTTATGAAATGTCTTTGTTTATTCATAAACTCCCGAGGCAAACAAGACCAGATGAAACACGTTGGATATGTCTAAACCCAACCGTACGCCCATTGAAAATGCCAAAATGAAAAGAATCTAGAAAAGATAGCCAACAAATTCATGAGACTATATCAGCAGGGGCAACCGAGCCACCTGCGAAAATAGTTGTCCCAGTTTAGAACTTGAGAGCCTTGGGCTTCTCCCAGCTGAAGGTCTGGTTGGTGCCGAAGTGGCCGTTCTTAGCGGTCTGGAGGTAGATGGGCTTGGCAAGATCGAGCTCCTTGACGATGACACCGGGGCGGAGGTCGAAGTTGTTGCGGATGATCTGGACGAGCTCCTCAGAGGTCTTCTCGGAGGTGCCGTAGGTATCGACGTAGATGGAGAGGGGCTCAGCGACACCAATGGCGTAGGAGAGCTGGACAAGGGCACGGCGGGCAAGGCCGGCGGCAACGAGGGACTTGGCGATCCAGCGGCCGACGTAGGCAGCGGAACGGTCGACCTTGGAGAAGTCCTTGCCGGAGAAGGCACCACCACCGTGAGCACCCCAGCCACCGTAGGTGTCGACGATGATCTTACGGCCAGTGAGACCGGCATCACCCTGGGGACCGCCGATGATGAAGAGACCGGAAGGCTGGATCTGTAGGAGAGGTAATGTGTCAGTGATATTGCCACGGTGGCTAGTTCAACACATGTTCAACTTACGTGGTAGACGGTCTTCTCATCGAGGTACTTGGCGGGGATGGTGGTCTTGATGATCTTCTCAAGGATCTCCTTGCGGAGCTCCTCGGTGGTGATCTCGGGAGCGTGCTGAGCAGAGACGACGACGGTGTCGACGCGGAGGGGAACGACGGCGCCGTTGTCGTGCTTGTACTCAATGGTGACCTGGGTCTTGGTGTCGGGGCGGAGCCAGGGGAGGGAGCCGTCACGGCGGGCAGCGGACATGGCGGCGTTGAGCTTGTGGGCGAAGAGGAGGGTCAGGGGGAAGAGCTCGGGGGTCTCGTCGGTGGCATAGCCGAACATGATACCCTGATCACCGGCACCGAGGTTCTCGAGGCGGTCGTCAAGGTGGAGACCCTGAGCGATATCGGGAGACTGCTCCTCAATGGCGACGAGGAGGTTGCAGGTCTTGTAGTCGAAGCCCTTGGAGGAGTCATCGTAGCCGATGTCCTTGATGGCGTTGCGGACAACCTTCTGGTAGTCGAGCTTGGCCTTGGTGGTGATCTCGCCGAAGACCATGATCATACCAGTCTTGGTGGCGGTCTCGCAAGCGACCTTGGAGAGGGGGTCCTCAGCCAAGCAGGCATCGAGAATGGCATCGGAAACCTGATCGGCAATCTTGTCGGGGTGACCCTCACCGACGGACTCGGACTGTAGAAGGAGAGTTAGCGATTGGTCCGGCCATGGGTATATGCAGACTGTCGGCGAAGACTTACGGTGAAGAGGAAGGTTCCCTCGTTGTAGTGCTTCGCACCGTTAACACCGTTGGTGGCCATTGTGTCTGATGTGGTTTCTGGGACGCGTTAGCAATGTGCGCGCAAAAAAGGCAAGGCGCTGAACGAGTGTACCTCGAAGAGAAGGGGGTTGAAGAGATAATAGGTGGATGCGAGGCTTAGAAGATGCAAGAGGACACGGTCAACCAACTGGTCTCCCGAGGGTGAGGTGATGTACGGTACAGGAAGTTCGGATGGCAGAGAGAAAAGACGTGGTGAAGACTACAATCGCAAGACACTTCGCTCGTTCAAGCCAGATGGTGTATTGACCAAGTAGCATGCACAATGGAGCTGCAATTGCCTTGTCCAGAATGTAGAAAGACGCCTCAAAACTTTTTTGGAGGACGCGAGTTTGACACGTGGGGAAAGGGCTCTTTGGATTGGGATTGTTGGGGTTCGTCTTGACTGGAAGTGCAGTGACTCACCTTCTGGTTGCGACGAAGCAAAGGACAGAGGAAGCAAAACCTACAAGAGGGAATGAAGAGAAAAGAGGAGGAAAGAGGTTGAAGGCTAGGAAGGAGCGAGTTTAGGTGCGGGAGTATTTGAGGAATTTTGCATCCAGTCGCGGACCCTGATGGAAAGGAGGCCGGGTCTCGGGCGCCAGAGACGGGATGGCGGGGTAACGAGAAACTTTCAACTCCGAATTGTTGTACAAAAATACAGATTGTGCCAGGGCTACTAGGAAGAAACAGGCAAGAGCTGGGCGGGGCTCCCTACAACAATGGCGAATTATGCGCGGGGATCACCCCCACGGGTACACTTTCACGTGTAGGCACTAGCGTCTTATGGCAATGATAAAGTGACAGCGGGAGAGCGAATGGATCATGATCTTGGGCTCTTGTCAGGCTGGTGAACCCAAGGTGCACTCCAGACGTCCGGTATCATACCGCAAAATCTCACTTATAACGGAGATGCTCTGTGGATAATGCAAGGTTTATAAGCCAATCCAGTTGGCAAGATGCTGCATATGTAGCTAAGAGCAAGCTCAAAACGCCCGCATAAGGTGTGGCCTTCCCCGAAAGAGCATCTCCGTTATGAGTGAGATTTTGCGGTATTGGGTTCCTGCATGGCTCAGCGGCCGACGTGTTCGGCCGACGCCAAATATTTTGTAGCGCGCCCCGTGGAGGCTTCAGCTGGCCGGGTATCGCGTACCTTTGTCAAAAGTCTGGATGCAACATCGGACCCGCTCTTTGGAGAAGGAAAAATTGCGCCATCGCAGCCCGCTCGTCTGACAACTGTGGTGCCTTTTTGGTGCCTTGTCCTGCCCGCGCATGGCTCCCAAACTCACCGCATTTAACGCCATTGACATGCTATGACCCCACTGCGGCGCAGATGTCGCAAAAAAATTGTCGAGGCGCGCTTCACCCGGCAGGCATGTCCCGTGGCAGGGCAACGGTGCCTGCAGCGGCGGCAGCACTATCAGTATCAGAAGTGGAAAGTTTGGCGATCGAGTCTCGAGGCAACCTTTTCGTCACCAGTCGCATCATTTCTCATTGACGGGCTTTTCCTTGTCACACAGCACACAGCATCCCGAGCCCGAATAGACATCGACGACAATTCCACAAAGCTTCGCCCAGACTTCGAGATCCGAGTATCCAATCCTTCCACCAGATCACCCCGCGGTATCACCGTCGCACATCCATTCCCGTCAGTAGGGCTGCAGCTCAGAGTTGACAAGCAACCCCTCCTACTCCCCACCATCCGTATACGAACATCCTAGACGTCGGGGCATTATCGCAGCCATGAGCAAGTACGGCGTGATGGTGATGGGCCCCGCGGGGGCGGGAAAGGTAGGCTAAGCTTCTACTCAACGGCGATTTCCCCGTCTGCGCTCTCCACTGGATCTCTAACGGCTCGCTGTACCAGTCCACCTTTTGCGCGTCGCTCATCACACATCTCCAACTCAACCGGCGCTCTGCCTTCTACGTGAACCTCGATCCCGCCGCCGAATCCTTCGAACACACCCCCGATCTCGACATCAAGGACCTGATATCGCTGGAGGATGTGATGGACGAGATGAAGCTCGGTCCCAACGGCGGCCTGATCTACTGCTTCGAGTTCCTCATGGAGAACCTCGACTTCCTTACCGAGGCGCTCGACTCGCTGACGGAGGAGTACCTCATCATCTTCGACATGCCGGGTCAGATCGAGCTCTACACGCATATTCCCATCCTTCCCACCCTCGTCAAGTTCCTCACAACACCCGGCGCCCTGGACATCCGATTGTGCGCTGCATACCTGCTGGAAGCCACCTTTGTCGTCGATCGTGCGAAATACTTTGCGGGCTCCTTGAGCGCAATGAGTGCCATGATCATGCTGGAAGTCCCGCACATCAACATCCTCAGCAAGATGGACCTGGTCAAGAATCAAGTGAGGAAGAAGGACCTCAAGAAGTTTATCACCCCGGATACCTCGTTGCTTCTGGACGATCCGGCAGACCTTGCCAGGAGAAAGGCCGGCGAGGACACCTCGGATGACCAGTACGCCGATCCCCAGGATAAGAACGCCATGATGTCTGGCGCCACGTTCAAGCGCCTCAACACAGCTGTTGCGCAACTGCTTGAGACCTTCAGCATGGTCAGCTACCTCAAGCTAGACAGCACCGATGAGGACAGTGTCAGTGCGATTCTCAGCTACATTGATGACTGTATACAATACCACGAAGCCCAAGAACCACGGGAGCTGAAGGACGAAGAGTTCGACGAGTCTGAGGAATAGTTGGAAAGAGGAACGATGAGGAGGGCTTGGAAAGGAGAGAGTATCCAGACTGCAACTGAAGCGCACATGGATATGTAATTACCACAGGGGTAAAATGTATAGGGATTCTGCATAGCGACGGCGTCGGGAAGAAAATACAAGCTTGGCTCACCAGAGATTGAATGGGATATGGAAGCAAAGCAATAACGATCTACATGTTCTTTTCCCACTGAACTACCAGACTAAAAGCTCATAAAACGGTATCTTCAATGCAAGGTCGCCATCATTCATATCCTCCGTCCTTCGTCCCTCCCAAGGTCGTAGTTCTCGAACATTGCCAGACAGGAAACGCCGTAACGCCATGGCATATGCGATATTCCAACAGCCAGCCATCCACCCTCCAACTTTTACCGTCGTATCATTGTGATTTCGTCCGTAAAGCCAAAAATCCACCCCGTAGTCTCATACGCAAAGCATCGATTCTCCATCTCTCCTTTTTAGTCGTGATCGTCGTCGTCATGGTTATCATCCAAGATATCTCCACCATCGTTCTTATCTTCCATCCCCTGCCTGCCCCATCCGCTTCGCCCTGACGCCCTGCCCCTCATCCACCCTTCCGTCGTCCTTGTCATCCATCATCAAATCTCCTCCCCCCTCTCTCTTTAAGGGCGGTCATACTTAGCATGACCCCTCGCCTTATCCTGCGCCTCATACCTCTGCCACTCCGTCATGAAGAAATTCCAAATCCCCAGCCCATACCCGCTCGCCCTCGACAACCAAAACGTCGCATCCCTCGCGCTCTGCTCCACTCCGCGTCTATACACCCACGACGCCACCGCCGCCATGCCCGCCCAAAACACCAGCGTGAACGCCAGCCGGGTGAAGAACATGAGCACCCGCCGCATCCAGCTCAGAACTTGCAGCACCATGACCAAGAGCAACAGCACGCCCGCCAGAATCACCACGTCGGGGGAGGCGTAGATGTAAGCCGTCAGTCGCTCGACGAGCGGCTGGAGGATCGGGATGAGGGTGGAGATGAAGGCTTCGATTGTTGACATTATGTGGCGCTTGAGCGATTGGAGGGACGAGTCTGGCGAGAGCAGGTGTTGACGGGCGAGGGAGAGGTAGGGGTCTGGGAGGACGCCTGTGATAAAGAAGAGAGAGGGTGGGTTAGCGGAGGACGGCGGGGTTTTGTCAAAGAGGAGCAAGGACGGAGATGAAGGAAGGGGTGGCGAGGGAGGGGGGGGATTTTGTGGTATTGCGCTTGCGCTTGCTTTCGACTCTTTGAGAGCTGACGGGACGCGCAACGGTTTAAAATGGATGGGAAGAGCAAAAAGCGCCAACAACGTCAGGTAAATCGCGACGTGGCGCTTTGGGCTGTTTTGCATCTTTGGGCTGGCAGGCTGGTGAAGATGGGAAGTTTGGGGAGTTGCGACAGGTTGGCGCAAAACTTACCAGTAAGAAGCTGGAGAGCCCATTCGATGGGGAGGTTGAACGGATCCATAATGTTTGATGGTGATCTTGCCGTGGCTTGTAGAGATTGGTTGGTGGTCGCGCGAAGCAAGGAGGTCTTGTAAAGCTCTAGCAGCGAAGAAGAAGACGTGGTGGGGTAGTTGTGGTGTGAAGTGAAAAAGAACCAGCGACGGCGATGGGTGTTAGCGATTTCGTGGAGGCGAGGGGCTTTATCTTATCAATTGACCAGGCAACGGAGTGTGGGGCTTTGGGTCATCTTTTGGGTTGTCACCCCCTCCTCTTATCACTCTCTCACCACACCAGGCTGCCCGAACTGAAGAGAAACGCATGGCGGCAACAGCGTTTGGCGTTTGAGGCCCAACTGAGGATGAAGGTAACCCCTCAATCACTGTGGGACCTGAATACTACGTGTGCACCTCTAATGGGAGCATCGTTTGTGGAAGAACATTTTTGAGCCTGATTGCGGCTTTCCTCGCTCAGCTTCTTCGAAGTGGCTTGTGAATGTAATTCCGATGGTTTGTTCGATCGAGTTTGGGGTAGACGGGAGGTACTAGTAGCTTGGAGTTCTTACATTGCACAAGCCTTAGCCGGCATAAGAAGCAACGACAAAGCAGCCGCTGTTGGCTCTTATCTGAGAATCAACGATTACTGTTTATAGTATAGACCTACCGTCTACCATTATTACTTCATGATCACTGCTCCCGTCCATTGTCTGCTCCTCATCAACGAAGTGGGAGAACTACTGCTCTCGTTGCCTCAGAATGGCCGTGGAATCTCTCTACTAGCCCAGTAAGCTCTACGGCTCATACAGCATGTCGAGTTCAGTGAGCCTTCTGGTCACTCATTATTATATTGTACAGTAAAGTCCATAGACTATCAAAACTCCCGTCTTGAATCAGACGCTAACCACCACACGCAGCGATCTCACATCTCAACCATGGTACCATGCGTTTGACAATCAAATCTTGCGCTAAACCCCGTAATAAAGATACGCTTCACTTCAAATCCGGCTCAGGCATATTCTCCGCGATCTTGTCAACATGTGAGCACTAAGTTCGAACAAGTTCGAGCCATAGCTGCTCGCGCATGTCGTAGATGTAGTAGTCGCCTGACGTCCTTACCCCTCACACCGTCCCTGGCGTAAATCCAACTCTTTCACTTCGGGGTATCCTCCTAGTCTGCCAGCTGGACGGTAAAGGTTGGCCGATTTCCTTATTGCGCCTTCTTCGCGTTCCTGCTCTCCCGGAACTTGGCAATCTCCACCGCCACAGCCTTATCCACGCGCGTCTTAAGTTCAGGGCGGTATCCAAGCATGAACAAGAGTTCGAGCCAGACGAACAGGGGAGCGAGGAAGATGGCCTGGAAGAGGTTGTCCAGGAGGGCAGGGGCACGGCCCTCGAACTTGCCGTGGCCGAGGAACTGCGCCAGCCAGCTCACGATGTGGACGACAATGGCGACCTTGGTGGTGGAGACCGGGTCGGCAATGCGGAGGTAGTTGGTGAAGGCACAGGAACCGAGGCAGATGAGCGCCAACGCGGTGCCGGCGACCGGCTCGAGGAGGACATAGAGTCCGCCCCACGTCAGGGCCGCAAAGGTGCCCAGGTTGGGCTCGAGATAGGGTACCTGGAGCCAAGAGGGAAGTGTGAAGAACGGTCCATAGTTGGAGGCCTAGTTGTGAATCATGAGGCGTGTGAGAACGGGTAACTAGGGACGAGGGAAAAGGTTCGTAGATTCATACAATTTCAAAGGCCGAGAAGAGGATTAGAGGCACACATATCATGTGGATGATTACGTTAACGTGATTAGAGTGGTAAGCACCATACTACAAGCAGTGAGAACAAGTTAGCGGGAAGTGAACGACACAAGCAATGTGAAGTGAGCGAGACAAGCAAGGGTCGCCCAAGCAGGCCGAGGTAGAGCATGTATGTAGAGGTTGGAATCTCAGGTAACAAAGCTTACAAAGGTGAGCTGCTTTTCTAGGTTGAGAGACATGGTGGAAGTGATGTCTCGGATTTGGCCAGTATGATTAGGTTGGTTCTGTAGAGGTAGACAGCCTCGAGGTTTATATGTGAATGGATGGCGAGATCTCCCTCAGTTCCGTGAGACCCGAGACAGGAGAATGAGAGTGGATTGTCAAGACGAGATGCGTCGATGGTGATCAGTGGAAGAGGGAACGAATCACTGCCACATGTATATGAACGAGCAACAAGCGGAATTTGCAGTGTTCTAGAAGCAGAGCGTGCAGCTAATGAGGACCAAAGACTGGAAAGAACGGGATCTGGTGATGTCGAAGTCCGGTGTTCCACGTCGCATCATGATATTCGTCTTCTTATTCTCAGATGCCTCGGATGTGGAGTCGCCCACCCCCGCCTGTCAGCACACCACTCCCGCGATAGCGCTGTGGCCATCGAGTTGCGGGGCACCTCGCGTACCTGTCAGTGCTCCTACAGACGGTTAGGTGAAGGTCAACATCACAAGTTGGAAGATTGGGAGGCCAACAGCTGATGCAGGATGGTGTAAGTCAATATGACTTTCATAGGACGGCCCTATCTTTGGACTGTTTGAACCACCAAGTTGTTTGCGCTGTGGCGATTCATAGCTTCCTATAAAACTGCCTTTCAAGTGTCTCTTCGTCACATGCTAACAGGAAAAGGGCATGAGCCATGCCTTTGGCCTTACCTGAAACTACCTGGACAACACGATCCCGAAATCTTAGGGAATGTGTCCGACGCTCTACAAACTCGTGCCACGCATAACTGGTAGCCCATAGTCTAAACATCTTACACCCGTTCTGGCCAAGTGATACGATAGAATCAAATGGGGATTTCGGTGTTGAAGTTGGGGACAGCACAGAATCCCGGCAGCGCCAAGACCGCTTCCGTGTGGTCAGTGCTGTTCCTTGCAGATCGTGCACGAGCCATGTGCTAAACGTCAAGGCAGGAGTGGCAGGCAAGGCAAGTCCCGAACCGCGTCCGCGGCGGTCACTGTGTTCGAGGCTACCGCTTCCAGAACCTCCAACCTTTTGTTGCATCAATTATAATCGATATCCATTCCGTCAGCCTTGCTCTTCCCATCACGAGTTATCACCACAAAACCAAGTATCCCATTCGACGACTCCCGCTCCCTTGTCTATCACTACACAAGCATTTTTGCTGCCGACTTTCGCTTTTCGCCCTCACCGTCATCCCATCCCGGCACGCGACTCCAATTGCCCAAGTCTCGACAACACTGCCGCCGCCGCACTTCGACACGAGAGCCGCGCGAAGGCGTCCCGAGGCGCATAACCTCTTCCCAGGGCTTCGAGTTATCGACGTCCACTTTCTACCGACGATACCCGACCCAAAAGTACTCAACCGTCACCATGTTCTTCCTCCACAATCTCGAGCGGCGGGTAACCCTGCATCCATCTTATTTCGGCAGGAACATGCACGAACTTGTCACGACCAAGTTGGTCAAGGACGTGGAGGGGACTTGTGCCGGCGATTACTACATCATCGCCATCATGGATGCGTTCGACGTTAGTGAGGGGCGCATCCTCCCTGGAAATGGCCTGGCCGAGTTCACTGTGAAATACCGTGCTGTGGTTTGGAGGCCGTTCAAGGGCGAAGTGGTTCGTCATGGCCAAAACTCTCGGTGGTGTTCTTTTCCGGGCGGATTGTCTAACGAAAAGTGTGGCTACAGGTGGATGCCATCGTCTTCTCGATTAACCCTCACGGCTTCTTCTGCCAAGCTGGACCGCTCTCTATCTTCGTTTCCTCTCACGTACGATGACGCCTCGGTCTTTTTATTACTCGGTACCTGCGAGCTTGATCGCTGACACAAGAGGATTATAGTTGATGCCCGAAGAAATCCACTTCGATCCCAACGCGACGCCTCCTCAGTTTACCAACAACGCCGATATGGTCATTGAGCCCGGTACACATGTGCGCGTCAAGATTGGTGGCTTGAGAACGGAGTTGGGTGAGATGTATGCCATCGGCAGCATCAACGGAGATTTCCTCGGGTGAGTATCATGTCTTAGCGTGGCCGTTGTGTTGCATGTTATTAACCAGTTCTTCCAGGTGTCTCCAAGCATAAGGGACTTGCAATGTGCAAGGAGGTTTTCTCAACAGAAAGGGTTTGGACTCCCTCAACTACTAAGAGGTGTTCGCTCAGCAGAGTCGTGGTCAACCCGCGGGTCAAAGTATACCCTGGGTTTCTATCGACAGTTCTGGTCGGCTGATAAAGTCTTTTGCCCGATCAAGAAGCAAGTCTTCTGGGCAAAGCTGAAAGCCACCCACATCGAGGGCCGTTTCAGAACCCCTGCGGCGGGTTTAAAAGTATCATGTTTGCCCGTGGCTGCGCGTGGGCGGCAGTATGATCGAGCCCCTTGTTGGATTTCACGCGGGAGTGTGGCGGTAACATGCTCAAGGGCTTCCGAGGAGATGTCTCGTCTGGATGAGACTCAACGGGGTTGGTATTTTTGTTATGATTTACATGGGGTGCGTAAAACCTTTGTCTGTGGCGTTTCGAGGCATTATTGGGGCCACAAGCGGCGCCTGGAGTCTATTGACGTTTTTTTGTGGTTTTGCAGCATGCTGTCTGTGCCTGAGTGTGATTACTGGTACTTGGACGACTGATATTATAAACGTGTTGGCGATATGAAGGCAACGCCACCATTGAGATATGGGTACAGAATAATGTCTCCGGAGGTTTGAGAATCCAATACCTCAAATTTTCTCGAGAATGGATTGACTTGGACTACTCGTCAGGGCTTGAATCGCCTTCTTCCCCTTCCCGCCGAAAAATGGTTGTGTTGGAATACCACAGAGAGCATTCCTTGCGATTGGACTCTTGACTTGCAGTGATAAACGGACACGGCGTTCGGTGCCACCAGCAAAGACTTAACATGGCTCCTCGGTCTGTCCCGGACATCTTAACTCGGAACCATCCGGTCCCGAGCGGTTATGCCATGCGATGGTACCCAACGAGGGGTGGGATGTTATGATGGCTCACTTATCGTGGGAGGGAAATCTTCCATGTCAAGCTGACAACTTCGCGCATGCTATTCGTTTTCCCGTTCAATATTCATGAGGACCCCTAAACACCTTTAGCATCATGTCTCCATCATCTGAAGAATACTATGGCCGAAAGACGTCGGGTGAACTTGAGAAGAGGAAGGTAACAGTGGGGGGAGGAGCCGGCGCATCCCGCTTTGCAATCCAGTTGATGATGCTCATCCTGCCCAGGCAGCCAGACACCTCCCTCCACCTTCCATCTCGCGCAAAAAAAAAAAAAAAAAAAAACCAATAACCATATCCATCTCCACATACTGGAAAACTTGCGCAAAGCCAGATTGGAGTTGAATGTGGTATTATCTATGCCGCTGGAGGCTCAGCCATAATCACATTCCACCGAAGCGGAGTTGTTCTACCCCATAGTTCCCTCATCACACCTTTCAAACCTCAATAACTGTAACACGGCAGAAAGCCATCATGTTGTGTTACCACCTCTTCTCTGTTGTTGGTTTGGGGGATCCTGTGCCGGCAATCATATGTCTCTTTGACGGCTGACGCCTGCCATTGCTGTCAGGACCCGAAGAGGGGGCTTGACGGCCTGTAGATCGTGCTGACGGGCGGGATTGTAGTTTTCGACGTCGACTGTCGGACGATTGAAGATTGAATATTGGATGACGACGGAACAATTGACCAGTGGCTCGGGGTATCTTCGACACTCTTCAGTGCGGTCTTTGCATATCTACCTTACCTAGGTATGCACTTACACCCTACGGCCCAATTCCTTACATCGGTAATCGGTGTATCCAACTTCCAGGACAGTACACACGTCCCACTCGGCCAAGATCCCGCGTCCCCAACGGGAATAGCTTCCACCCAAAGCACAGCGTACTGTGTACTATGTAGTAGTTTCATCATTTCCCATCCTAGGTAATATTCGCGATTTACCGTGCTTTCCCATCCGCATCATCATCGATGAGACGACCACCTCGGTGCCCTTTCCCCCCCCCCCCCCCCCCCCCCCCCCCCCCGCCGGCGTTGGTAAAAGGGGGGGGGTTTTACCACATGGAGGGTTGAGGGTGGATGGCCGATAGCAATTCCCGGGCATTCGGCGAACAAGGCGCTCGGAAAACGGGATACCACGTATAATTTGTCGGTATATCACATATGTACACACACCAGCTCCAGACATCGGATTTGGACATGAACCACACCCTCCTTTTTTGGGTGTCACAAAGCGAGGGGGGGGGGGGGCATGGACACGGGCGATATCAAGCCGGGCACCTAGGTCACTGCAGTTGACTTCACCTCGCGATCTAGCCCAGTATTGGGCCTGAGCCTTCGCTATCTAGGTCTAGAAACGGTAACCTCACTTCCCTTGTCTCCTGCCATTGTCATTATCAATCCCACCAATCCTTCGCTACAGTCGACAGCATCATGTCGTCAAGACCAGTGGTTTTCGGTTTCCGGTCTCCGGTTTCCATCCAACCTTCCATCCACTCAGATTTCTTGCCGGCCTCGCCGGCGTATGTAGTATCATTCCGGGGCCGAGATGCTACTGTAACCGAGCTCACCGAGCTCCGTTTTCTTTGCTTTTCGTCCGGAGAGGTCCGTTAATACCACCTGGCTACCTATTTCGTGCGACCGACCCGAGGAATCACTAGTAAAAGGGCATCATGATCATAGCGCCAACAATGTTTCCGGCCTGCTGCTGTTGGGGTGCGTATCGATCGGATCGAAAACGCCACGCTACGCTCCTTCCTCATAGCTGCCTAGGCTCATGGCCGGGCAGCATCCAGAAGGTCGGGTGTCGAAGATCATGATCATCCATAACCATGACGAATGTGACGAAGAAGAAGAAGAAAAAAGGCGGCCGACCCGGATCGGAGCGGACAATACTACCACATCAAGATACCAAGATCAAGATCCAAGAAGAATACCACGATACTCGTCACAAAATGTCGGGCATGTCGAGATCAAAGAAGCAAAACCAAAGATTAGCACGAGCACGTGGAAGTGATATGTCAGATTCACTGTGTGTGTTGCCCGATACTGTCATTGGTGTAGTAGTAGTAGTAGTGCAACAATGCGAACGCAGGAAGTGCTTGTGAGGCAAGGCAACTGACGGAACGCAAGCAATCCGAATCTGGATAGACATCTCCAGAAAGGTTTCATGGGCTTGGAGTCGAGAAAATCGTAATGCGGAAGCAAAGCCGCTGTCCCTCCCCCCAGACTTTCCAGCTTTCAAAACCACGACATTCAGCATACTACACTATCGCACTGTCACCCATGTAAGTCCTCGGGTTACCACTTACCTTTACTGTGTAAGATCCCCCAAGCTGGATGAGCCGAACGAACCGCCAACCAGGATACGGGGATAGACCAACATGGATATATGTATTGGTTGATCTTCCGAGTACCATTACAGTGTGTTTGACACTATCTCGTACCGCCCTTACAATTCTATTCAAGTGTATATCCCTACGTACTGAAGCTCAACATGGTCATGGCGACTGGTCAAGGCAACTTGTCAAGTTGCCTGGTGGCTGGAGGCTGGTGACGGGCGATGGTGACGGGTGATTACTGACCGATCCTCGTGTACCGAGTACCGATATGACAGACTGATTGACATTGTTCCTCTGTTCCTGTACCTATGTTCTATCATGTAGGTAGGCTAGAAGTAGGTGACACAATATTCCCCTCCTCCAAGCCCCAAAGAAAACTCCGAGGCTCCTTTTAGATAGAAACTGCCTCCAACCAGCCAGCCAGCCCAGCCATAACTCCTAGTTTACAGACAAAAGTAATACATAACTTGTCACTAACCTCGGACAGGATAAGTGTCCGGACCTCGCGAGGCCACGCGGACGTCCGTCACTCCGCCAGTATATACGCAGTATCTAATCTGTCCGCCTGCCAATCTGAATCACAATAGCCGCTTAGATAACATCCCTTCTCTTCTCTTCCCCTCCTCTCCCAAGCGAGGAAGAAGGAAAAAAGAAAGGAAGATATTTTTGATATATTACATATCAGATATGACAGATCGCCGTTCTTCAGATCTTTCGTACCAAGATCCACTGACGTCCCAGGATCACGAACCTCAGGCTAACCATGCAGGCAAGTCCGAAGACCAAGACACCTGCGAGGAAGGCCACGAGGGCCCTGGGGCCGTGTTGTGATAGTATAGCTTCTGTGGCGGGGTTTCCTAGTAGTGTTCTGAGACACGAACGAGAGAAAGAGAACTTAAGTAAGTAATTCCATGTATGGAAAAGGGGGAAGGCAAGTAGGCAAGTAAGAAAGTATGAAATGCTGGAAGTTGAACTGAAAGCTGGAAACCGGAGAGACTCACGCAAAGCTGGAAAATGTGTACACGAAGCCGAGCCAAGTGCCGATTGTCCTGGAGGTACAGAGACCACTAACGCATTGCACTGTTAAGACACGAGGAAGAGTGTCAGTCAGCCACCATGGATATAAAGTACTATGCACCGCAAAATTTGCCAGTGATTTAACGAGCAGGGGATCCCCATTCCATTCTATAAACGAAGTAGAGGAGGGGTGATATGGACTGGACTGGACTGGACTGGACTTACCGCCAAGAGGCACAAAGCTTCCAGTGCCAACTCCCATCAACACAGTGACGACAAACAAGGCCGGCACTGCCATTGCCCCAAAGGGCAACCAGACGACCAGGACCACGAGCATCGTAAAGACGTTCATGATGATGATAGTGTTCACTGGGCCTAGCTTCCGATCGGACAGCCATGGAGGTAGCGTTCTCCCAATAATAGCACCGCTGTTCGTTCGGGTGAAGAAGCCGTTCTTAGGTTAGCCACAGTGCTTTCCCAATCATTCGCGACCATTACAGGGAAATTTCGACCAATCGGAATGCAGCACTTACATGTTGTAAGTCATCATCAGATAGAACTGTTTATCGCCGAAGTTGGTGGAGACGGCGTATGAGGGAATCGATCCCCACTGGCTGAACAAAACCATTTCATATGCTGCGCAACAATGGTGGTTATTTCGTTAGTTATGATATGGCTGCTCGGTAAGGAAAAAGAGAGACACGCCAAGTTGAAGTTGGTTGGGTGTCTACTAGGTAGTAGACTGGGGGGACGTACCGAAAATGCTAACGCAAATTAGCCAGAATTTCGGAGACTTGCTCATCTCCCTGAGTGCCGTAAAGTCCCAAACCCCTTCAGTTTCTGCGCCTGTTAGTTGTGAATCGTTTCTCTCAACAAGCAGGTTCCCAATGGTCATGAATGCCATTATGATGCCGGTGAGAATGAGGACGCCCGTCCTCCACTCATATTTGTTGAAGAGTTCTTGGAGGACAAGTGAGAAGAACATTCCCCCAACTGCAGAGCCGACTGTGACACATCCTGTGGCAAGGCCTTCTCGTACCTTGAACCACTGACTGACGACGGTGAATCCTACCGTCGTGGGGGCAGCTGACGAGCGGGCGGGCGTTAGCTGGCATTATGAAGAAGAAGGTGGTGACCCCCAATTTCTCGAAGAAGAGTACATACCGCATGATATGCCCGCGACTACGAAGCAGGCTATGAACTGACCATAAGTGGTTGAAAAAGCCAAGCCAATAAAGGAAGCAACGTAGATTGTACTGCCCACCAGTAAGAGTAAGCGCGGCCCAAAGCGATCGTAGAGGATCCCACATGGTGCGGCGAAGAAGCAGTCGAGAAATCCGAAGATGGAGATGATCCATGAAATGTCGCTCTTTGAGTATCCGCGAAGCTGCTGTTGCTCCCACTCAGTCTGGAACAGCCCGATGCTGCTGAGTAGCCCGTAGGAAGGAACAATCAGGCAGAAACACCCGATCACGACTTTCCAGGGTCTCCAGCCATGGTCGAGGTTGGTGATGGTCTTTTCCTCTTGGCTGCTTGCATGTGTGCTTCCGTCTGGGGTTCTCGGGATCCAGGAACCCGGTTCTTGGTTCGTGATCGTTGGTGCTGCGCCGCGGGGAGCCAAGATCTCCGGGGTCTGTAGTCTGAATCGAGTTTCCGATCGTGGTCAGATATCACATTTTGAATCGACATTTCTTCAGAAACATGTGGGATCACAACAGATTCGGCGCCGAAGTCTTACTCACTCTGGATCGAAATCATCTCGGGCATAAACCTCAGAGGTTGCACCCTTCTTGGAGGACCAGTCGAAGCCCAACATTGCTATGGAAGTATAAAGACTCTTCACTGAATGTTCAAGTTTGCCGAAGTCAAGATGAAGCCGTGTCGTTTGTGCTGTTTTGTCGAGTGTCGTCTTCCGAAATACTTGCAACAGGCCGTGCACTTAAGGACGAGTGTCAGTTTCCCGATGAAGACCGTAGTGCACTTTTGAGGAAGGGACACCCTAAACGACAGTCAGCATTACTTTCCGGGAAGACTGGTTTAACAAGAGGCAGTCGAGAGACATAGAGAACAGGTAAGAGCAACCCATGCCTGGATTATACCTGTACCCCCGCTAACGGCTGAAATGAAAAGGAAGTTGGAAGGAACGAAGATACAAAGAAGTTCAGTCAACATACCTGCTACTCTCCAGTCAGTAAGTTTGATTCCGTTCTGACCGAGGCTCCGAGATGATATAGGATAAGATGGCGATGATGGTGATCTTATGGAATCCTTGGACTATGAGGCTTATTTCCTGTCTGCGTCAAGCCATCAAGTTTGACTGTATAACTACTTACCGGAATTTCCCTGTCAAGGTTAAAAAGCACCCCCCGACTATCGGCAAACATCAAATGTGAGCGAGTGACAGGTTCCCGGCACTTCGGGCGCGTTTCAAGACCGGTTGAGGCTAATTCGCAGATTTTTCCAGATTCTTGATCTTTGTTGCAGAAGCAAAAAGGTTGTAGTCGTTCTCGAATCTCGCACGGAGTCGACAACCTCTTCGAGGCTCAGAACCTGGAAAAAACACCAGAAAATCCTTGATACCGCCGGACGCCCCTGCTTGTAGCTGGCTGGATGGTGGGTCTTGGGACGCAAGTGAAGAGTCCCGACCTAGAGCGTCAAGATTGGTCACTGGTCTCCCTCAAGGTTCGCGGTCTTGAGCCAGGAAGTTTTCAGTACACCCTGGGAGTGGGACGAATTCCAATCTCCTGGTCTCAAACCTGACTTTGCCGCAAGGTGGCAGGGCTCTGTCTGTAGCAGATACAAACGGGAAGTTTATGGACGAGACGGCTATCCCGTGAACAAAGTGACTGAAGGTGGCTGTTCGAGAGTGAATGGGAAGCGGGATCATCAACCTTCACGCCCCCGCCTATTCACTTCCTCAGGTTAGAAGAGGAATTTCGGAGGCAGCCTTGAAAACCTTAAATTTAGATGGAGTCACCCTGCACCTCGTGGCCCTCCTCTTCCTTTTTATTCTAACATAAAAGCAGAGTGTCCACCGCCTCCAGCAATCCAATTTCAACTCTCGAGTATCGGCTCTTCAACACAAGGGCTACTCCTACTTGGTGTTTTCGACCAAGCAGAGCTCAACACAACCACCACCTCCTCGCCTTGTCGATCATATCCCAATTCGCAATGCTTTCGAGAATTGTTCGACCCAACCGGGTCGTTCGCGGCTCAGCATTTCGGCCCACGCCCGTCTTATCGCGAATGACCGGCTCCTCTCCACGTCTTCAAGCCCAAGTAGGCGATGTCAGCAAGGGCATCGACACGGCTGGCCGTCCTCTCCCGGCCTTCATCGGCAACCCCAACACCCAGAGCGAGCCGTCTGTTGTCGGACCGATCGGCACCCCGCCGGCTGTTTCCTCCGGTGTCGCCAGACTCGAGAGCGTTCTTGCAAGTCCTGTCACTTTTGAGATCCAGAGAGATCGCGATGAGTTTTGGCGCAAGGTGCCTGTTTGGGCAGATGTAACAGCCAAGGACTTCCTTTCATATCGCTGGAGTGTAAGTGATATGTGATATACACTGTCCTAGCTGCAAGTGCCAGCTGCCCACGCTTATTCCTTGCATTCATCGGTCTGAGATGCCGTCCTGCCGCTAACTTATTCCATGAATCGTCAGGTCGCCAACACCGTACAGGGCACGGCTAAGCTCTTCAAGTTCTTGCAAGCCGTCGTCCCAGAGGAGGTGCCTCTCGACAAGCTAGGCATGCAGATGCAGTCCCGTGACAACTTCATCAAGGACGTCCTCGATGGTGTGGCTGCTGCAACTATGGCAATCCGGATGACGTGAGTTCCAGCCCTTGCGTATCGAGAATTTCTTCTTCGCACCAAGCTAACCACACGTGTGGCAGGCCCTACATCCTGAGCCGCGTCAACTGGCAAGACCCTCGCCATGACCCCATTGTCCGGCAGTTCTTGCCAATGAAGTCGATCATGCTTCCCGATCATCCCAAGCTCACGCTCGACTCGCTCCACGAGACTGCCGACTCGCCCGTCAAGGGTCTAGTCCATCGGTACACAGACAAAGCACTGTTTCTGCGTAGGTCTTCCCGTGTGTCGTGCCGCCCCCGGCCATTAACGCCCATCCTGATGGTGAACTTGAACAGCGACTTCGGTTTGTCCCACATACTGCATGTTTTGCACCCGCTCTTACGCGGTTGGAGCCGATACCGACACCGTAACAAAGGCTTCCCTGAAGCCGACCCGCCGACGCTGGGAGGAGGCTTTTGCCTACATCGAGAGCCGACCGGAACTCCAGGATATTGTGGTGTCTGGCGGTGACTCATACTATCTTCAGCCGGAGCAGCTGACCCTCATTGGCGAGCGCTTGATTAGCATGCCCAACATCAAGCGATTCCGCTTTGCTTCCAAGGGACTAGCTGTAGCTCCGACTCGGGTTCTGGACGAGTCCGATGGCTGGGTGAATGCCCTCATTGACATCTCCAACAAGGCCAAGAAGGCCGGAAAGTCCATGGCGTTGCACACCCACTTCAACAACCCCAACGAGATCTCGTGGGTTAGCTCGGATGCCACCCAGAAGCTCTTTGAGAATGGTGTCATGGTCCGTAACCAAACCGTCTTGCTTCGCGGCGTCAACGATGACTACGAGACCATGTCAACCCTCATCCGCCAGCTTGCTGACAACAACGTCACACCTGTAAGTCACATCCTCAACCAACGTTTTGCTAGTGCCGAATTCTAACGTCGAGTCAGTACTACGTTTACCAGTGCGATATGGTTGAGAGGGTGGAGCACCTTCGCACGCCCCTTCAAACCATCCTGGACCTCGAGGCTAAGATCCGCGGGTCGATTGCAGGTTTTATGACCCCCTCCTTTGTCGTTGACCTTCCTGGTGGAGGAGGAAAGCGGCTGGCGTGCTCCTATCAGAGCTACGACCGCGACACGGGCGTGTCAACCTTCATGGCCCCCGCTGTCACGGGCCGGGACAAAGCCGACAAGGTCTATGAGTACTATGACCCGGTTGAAATGCTTCCGGGAGTCTCGGGAGGGGTAACCAAGCCCTCGATATGATGGGCGACTGGTCATAATCCAAGGGGCATATGGCGTAAGGTATTGGAATTTGGCTCTAACTGCCACGGTCACGGAGGTTTATTGATGGCGTAATCAGGTTGCCGGATCGTTATTGCCAAGTTGGAGGTTTTAACTTGCAGTTGACACAGTCCATTGTCGGTATCGATGAGACTAGGTATTGGAGGGCACCCTTTTGCATCGAAGCTTCATGAAGCCAAGGGAGGCATTCATCGGTTTGGGCGGTAGCTGGAGGATATTGTGCGTTCCCAGATATCAGCGGAACACACCTAGGTAGTAGCTAGCTGCTCGTGGAATTCTGACTTTGTAATTCGACGAGAGTCCCTACTAGCGAAATAGTAGCGTACACTGTAAAGTATGCTCAAGGGTCTGAGCGGTGTCTGACAAGATGAACCTGTTGTCGTCTTAAACTCAACGGCTCAAACCGCGTGGTGTTCCATTCCAGCTCAAGCTTTGTTTGCCATGACCATCTGAAACTGAAACAAAATGCGCCTTACTCATGCTTGCATAATGACCGGTCTTTCTCTTAAGGGGGTTATGTCAGTAATCGTTTTCTTCTTTTCTTGGAGTTGCTCCCCTCGGTATTTCGGGGTACATAGATCGATTGTGATCGGTGACCATCGGCTTTCGGCCGGCAAGTCCCTTCAAGCTGTTGTGGATTGTGATTGCTCGACGATGATGCAGTCCAATGTTTGTATCAACCGGCAATACTCGTCAGGCTGCCCACCACTAGTCAGCGGAGATTTTGTATCCTTGACGAGTAGCAAACAAGGAGATGATTGTGCCTCGGCGTTCTGGTTTCCCAAAGCTGTCATCATACGTGGACCACGCCAGTGGGAAGATATGTTGTTCCTCAAGCTTCGGCCGTTTCTCAACATTCGGCCGTTTCTTGATACATGCCCTGGCAGAAGCTAAAAAGCGGCGGCATGTGATGATGTTCATGTCTGGCTCGCTGGAGGAGAAGTCATCAATATGGAGGAGCTGATGTTGCAATACTTTTGGCCACATCCAAACGACAGGATCATCCAATCGCTCTGTCGCTGTGTCCTCTCCTGTCTTTAGACGAAAGAGACAAGGTATCTCGTCGACGATGTTGTTATCATCATAATGCTCCCGGTCTCGATCATCCCAGCAAACAATGGTGTAGCAAACGCTGTTCGAGAGACAGCATGTCCCAAGCCATCTGGAAGCAAGAACAACTTTGGCGGTCTGTTGGCGCAAAAAAAGACGGTGCTGGTGAGCCTTCTGTGAGAACCGGCGTTTAGGAAAGGAGCCGCTCGCATAACTCCCCATCTGCCGGGCGGACAGACTGGCCAGACTGCCAGTGACTTGAAGCAGGTGTGAACAATATTCAAACTGACTTTGTTGGCAACGCTTACAATGTGCAACTCTGTTAAGCAAGCCTTGGTTCGGTTTCCGAGAAACGTGAGAGCTGGTCTGTATGTGTCCAAAGTCGAGATTAGAGCAGAACATCATGCACATTGTCAACAGAGGCCCTCAATCGCACGGGGTGATGATGGCAGCTGGACCGTTTGGTACGACCAAAGCAGGAGTTGCTGCTTGATCTACATACCGAACAATGCATTGGTGCGACCTTGAAGCCGTAGTTTGTTACTCTGTTCAAGAGAATGCTCTCATAGGCTTTGTGTAACTATTAAGGCCGCCAGCCGAGTCTGCAAGGGCCCGGGATATGGACAAGCCGGTGTATCCGATATGGTGCTTTGGTTCTGGAAGGTGGTGTACCGGATCTCCGAGGGCAACGCAACGGCGATAAACATTTGGAAGCCAATAACGGGAGATCGCGTTGGGAGTTGAAACGGGCATGCCATATACATCTCAGGCTAAAGTCGCCAAACTGATCCTAAGCACCTGGCGCCGCTCGTCTCGTTCCATTGTTCATATGAGAGGGGAACGTCGATAGGCCGTACTGACCAAACCTCAAGGGGTCGAAGACTCTAGGCCTGAATAACCCGGGGATGTGGTTGCCGTTCTTGACCTTCCGTCTTCCGTGTCATTACCTATCCTCCGTCCCTTGGCAGAATCCACGTGTTCGGCTCTGGTTCTGTGGTTCCGTACTGCACCGTCATTGTGTGTTGATTTGTTGCGTGTTCGCGATTCGGCCTCGTTAACTCCTCCTCGAGGGCTCGCTTCGCGGCGGTTGCTAGGGACCCTGATCTGTGCACCAACCAGCGGAAATGGCGAGAAGAAAATCAGGGGAAGGAAGTCGCAACAGCTGCAGCCACCCCCAAGCGATCTGTTTGAGATAAACACACGACAAGCCCGAAAAGCCTGGGTTTGCACGCCTGGTTTGCTGAACCCTTATTTTGCAGCCCCCGATCTGTCAGCGGCACCCGAGATCGCACGCTAGGGCAAAATCCGATTGCCGGAACCACCGAACGGGAACGGAATGAGATGTCAAACAGCGACGGCGCCAACTCGTCGGACCTCTCTGGCCTGGAGAAGGAGGACGGACCCAGATTGCTGGTTTCTGGAATCGCGAGGAGCCGCTTCCATGAGAAGGGACAGCAGAGGCCACAGTGTCTGCGTCTTGTAATGAGCGTGTCTAACCGTGTCTTTCCACTGGCCTCATTCATTAGTCAATTGAAGTGGAAGAAGTAGCATGTTTCAGGGACAAACTTTGGGGCGTCACCGTACGTCAGGCGCGAAGACGGTGAAGACGGTGAGGAGAAGGCGCATTGACGACTTGGATGTTGAAAAAGTCCAGAGCACCTGGCACGGTCTGTCTTGCAGCTTCCATGAAAGAGCGAGATTCGAAGGTCGGGTCGAAGGAGCGAGACAAGTCGAAGTCGAAGACGAATTCTGTGTTGGATTGTCCCAAGTTCTTTCCCTTTCAAACAATTGGTCGGTCGAATCCTTCATTTCTCAGCCTACATACAGCCAGCATTTGATACAGCAGGTGCGCAGCCCACCACGCAATCCACGCCGCCTATCTAACCCTACGTTCCTTCCTCCAACTGAGCTTAACATCGAGTGTCATCGGTCCCGAACACTGGCACCGAATCACCGTTTGGTATTTACGTTTGAGAACCCCTCAGAGAACCCCCTTACTTGTACCCCATCTGTTTCGAACCGAGGAGACCTAAACAAAAGAGGAAGGGTGGATTCAGGACGAGTTCATCTCTCATCGCAGAATAATTTCAAAGTGTTCTTTCTTTCTTTCCTTTTCTCTTCGTCCTTCATTCAATCATCCTAGACCCACTCTCTTACAGCAGTGGCTCTCTCCATCAAAAGTCAGTTGCAACCGAGTTAAGCGGCGACTCCAGATCAATATCGACAAGACCCTTGAAGAGGAAACGATCATCGACGGCAATTGCCTCCTATCACATCCATCACATGATACCGGCATCGGTACACTACGGTTAATACCGTGGCGGTTGTTGGATCATTGGATGCCAGGTGCGATATTGCTCCATTAACAAATTACAAGCAGAAGCCTGAAGCGATCTCCATTTCTCCACTGCCACTGCTGCCACTGCTGCACAGCGCCCGCATCCGCCATCACATCGGCCATCCGCCATCCGCCATCCACTGCGGCGCCAGAGAGGCTCCATTCACCTGCATCTGTCACAACTGAAGCAGCAACTCAGCGGTCTTCAAGCACTGCCCCTGGACCCCGTATTGAATTTTTCCTTTCCAACCAGAAAACATCAACTGTCATCATCTTCGCCGCTATCTTCAACGATCAACGACGACAACGTCTCTCATTGAACAGACAGAACCAGCACATCAGCGGAACCATCGGACAGAAGCCCAGTCCAGCAAATTGGACTGATCGCTGTGATCTTCTACTCTGAGATTGCCGTTTGCGGTTTCGCTTCCTCTTGACCTGGCATCAGCCCATCTTGATCCTAAAACTGGGAGCAGCCCACAGAGACCTCGAAGCTAGGAGCGCTAGGAGAGCTGTGGGAGAGCTAGAAAGGTCGGAAAAAAGGGACCTGGACCCTGCAGGAATAACGACGGACGTGGAGAGAGGAGTTGGGGAACATTTCAACGTCTCATCAGGTGCCGCCGTCAGGATCCCCATCACACTAAATCACAGCCTCGCTTACGCTGTTCAGGCTCAATTGGCGGTGGTTGCTACGCTCGCGGTTTGTGACTGAGTTGGCTGGGTGGTAGCGAGGTAGCGAGATGGGCAGCCTTGCAGTTGGGCGGGAGTCTCAAGGCGCTATTTCCGCGGCCGCCTTCGTGATGCCAGATGGCCAGCAACATGTGCCACACGTGCCTGCGAATGGCATTGGTGCCTTTCACGCCCTGCTCGACCTCGATGACATGTCTGTCGACCGCAGCTTCTTCATGCCCCTGTCTCTCCTGGAGCCAAAGGCTAGTCCGGCAGGGTGTCCGGCAGGGTGTTCTGGCTGTCCGCCAGGGGATTCGACCCCGTTCACTGGGGCAGCGACACCGTCACCGACTCCGCCAGATCACCATGTTCGCCAGCGCCTAGAACAGCTAGACGATGAGCCCCTTGTTGAACCATGGACATACGTTCCCCAGACACCTCTGTCGATAGACAACAGGAGTCCGCGAGATTTTGCCTTCCACCTTCCCTTCAGGTTTCTCCCAAACGCAAAGCACGACCAAAACACCAACATCGGCACTTTCCTCGACGACTCTTCATATCCCTATACCGGCAGTAGCGAGCGCCATCATCTACCCGACCTGGGCCTAGACGAGTTCGGTCCATTTCACGTTGACGTCGATCTTCCAAGGAGTCCTGTCTACCGCTCATTCTACTTGTCTCCCTCAACTTCGACAACCAGTCTCGCCTCCGAACCTTGCACATATCACCATTATTTCGATAATTCCAGCACCAGCTTCTCGAGCATCAAACACGGTGCCATAATGCCTGACCCTACGGCTGTGGCTTCGGCTGATGGGGCTGGGCCCTCTGGCCGGCCTAACTTTGCTGCCAAAACCATCGCTCAACGGCGGCAGCGGCCGCATTCGGCTCACAGCGAGCAGCTGGCCCGACTTCCCAGTCCGTTCTTCTCTCTGTGGACAAAACGACATCATCATCAGCATATGGACCATAACGGCAAGCCACAGCAGCCGTTCGAGTATCCAGGACATGGTTTCACGGACACCAAGCCGACGACACACAAGCGATTTACCCATTCCAGATCTAGCAGCATTGGGACACGACAAAGTCAGGCCAATGCGGTTCCACAGATGACCCGGGAAGAGTTTGAGGCTCTGCCATTGGCAATACAGCGCAAGGTGTGTACCCGAAATCCCCAAACTCTATATCTGATGCCGGCACGGAGACTTGATGTTCATGGTGTTTGAGCCAAGTTCCCTCCCAGTTTCATTGTTATTTTTTTTCCCTTCTGGGCATCACCCCTCTTTCGCCTGTCCCCTTCCGCTATTGGTTCCTGCAGCAAGTGCTAGATCCTGCATATTTCATACAAGTCATGTCCAATTAGAAGCCTCCTCACCTTTACTTCTGTCTGGCGATGACACCCACCCGCGCGCACCACCATCAGAGCATCACAGCCGCCCCGTTAGTGATTGGGGAAGTGGGGAGCTAGCGCCTCGAGGCGTTGAAACCATCTGAGCTACCCCAGAGATTGGCAGAATTGGCAGACAGATGGGATGACCGTCCCCCACCAATAGTTGATATTACCGGGCCTGGATGGCCTGGTCCAGCTCTTCGCTGAGCGCTTCTCGCGCCTCAGTAAGCAATTGAGATTTTGCTTCTTTGAGGCTTCTCATGCCACATTGGTTGACGAGCAAGTGCCTGTCAGCAAGGGCAAATCTCGGTTGGCTTTGATTTGGCCAACAAGACTGCTTTCATGACGGCGGTACTTTCCCAGATGCATACTCTTTCGGTCTTTCTCCAGCTGCTGAAGTGAACAACGCAAGCGTCGAGCTCCATAGGATAGGCTCTTTGGTACCTAGCTTAACCTCAAAGCACTGCTTGCTGGGATTGAGCAATGTTCGGCAGAGAAGGTGGTGCAGCGTCTCGTATCGTTCAGTGAACACGGGATGTCTTGTACCTGGACAGGGATCCTATCTCAATTCACTTCCGCACACTTGCAGCTTCATTTGACTCTCCAGCATGCAGGTCCAACGCCTGCCAGTCAAAGCTGCTCAGGGACCCCTTGCCCTTGCCCATGCCACCTTAAAACTGCCCGTCATATGCTGGTGATCCATACACGTTATATTAGATGGCTTGATCAACGTTTCTTATGATTTTGTTTCTCAAAACTGCTTTTTTTCTTGAAGCCCTGGCTAAACAAAACCTTTACAGTACTTCTCAACACTCGAAAGGCTACGCTTTGCTCGGGAGTCTTACCTCATCGACGGCATCACACGACACTACGACGAGATATCCAACTTCAAACGCCAAAAGGGTCACAAACAGCAAAGTCGCTCGGAGCAAATTGTCAGTCGTAACGGGCGGGGACCATTAGGAGGAGAACCGAGCCTGCCATCTCCTGTTCTCGAAGTACCACAGTCACCTCTCGACAACATGCGGCAACAAGAGTTAACCCGGGAAGAGCAGGTTGCTCTTGCAAGGCGTCTCCGTGCCAGCGTCATTCTGGACGCAGCAGACGAGGCTATTTACAAGATGAACAGGAGGACCAGTGGCCACCCAAGTGTGAATAGGGAGGGCCTCATGTCGTCGCATTCATCTCTGCAAACTACGACGGAGCCCAGAGACGGCGTCCAAAGCCGTGCTGAGCAACCCATCAGCCAAGAACTACCTCAGTCGTTTTATGATAGCTTTCGATGGATCGACGAAGAAGACGACCTGGACTTGCGTCTTTTCCTAGACGATTACCATAAAAACCTGAGGGATAGCCTTCCATCTCCAAAACAAACGCGACCGTCTTTCCGCAGGCAAATGTCTGTATCCAAGCGTCCATTCGGCCTATCATCCATGCCTACCCCGACGAGCAGACCAGGAAGCCATAATGACCTGGCAACCGGGTCGCCAGCACCTACCTCGGCAGGTAGTGTCGCTAACTCGGACGGACACACAAACCGGAAGGCGCGCACTCTATCGCTCATCACACCAAAGCACAGCTCACACGAATCGGTCTTCGACCCATCTGCAGCCCATTATCAAGATCCTGAAGCTCGACTGAAACTACGCGTTTATCTTGCCTCTCCTCAGAAGTTCGATGAGGCCATCGAGTTTGGCTTCCCCTCTACGGACGCGCTCGGCGCAGGGCCTATAATCCGTACAGAATTCATGGAGACGCCCCTTGGCCCTGGTCGAAGGAAGGTTCAGTCGACGCAAAAAGGAGAAGATACCTGGGCCATGGGTACATTCTTGGCTGATGACGACGACGAGCATGTCTCTCTCAACAGCGATCAGCCATCACTTGCGGATCCGGAGTCGCCCAAAACACCCCAAGCATTCGAAAGCAGACCCCATCCTCAACGCGCTACGTCGAGTGATCCGACGTTTCTAAGAGACGGATGCGGCATGTTTGCGGAGGGAGCTGGCGGATATGCTCAGGCGCCCGCAAATTCCCGCGAAATGACACTGCGCATGACGCTGACACGTCCCGATTTGCGGGCGCACGAGAACGAGATCTACGGATGGCAGCAAAAGCCCGTGTACCGGAATACCCGCAAGTCAATGTCCTTGGGTGGATTCGAGAACAAGGGCATGTTTTACGGGGAACCAATACTCAACGAAAGCTTGGAAAACCAGGCAAGCACCACCTCGGAGAAGGGCGTCATGAAGCGAATCTGGAAGCGGGTTCGACGGACGTGAGAGGAGGACAACCAACACCCTACAGACACACTACGAAGGCTTATCACAAATTCGAGTTCGATGCCTGTTCAAGATTTCTCTCCACGAATCTTTCTTAGATCCATATTAATACGTTCTACGAGAGGTTGAAGGAAAGGGGGACCACACATAGCAGCTGACCGACTGCTTTTTCTTTTTTTTTTCGGAATGCATCAGTGGCAATAGTACTGCGAGGCGTTCCAAGGGATATTTGGCTTTTCATCATTGAGCATTTCAAAGGCTGGCGAGGAGTTTTTGGTGTTTTGCTTTTTGAAGGTTATAATTTTACACCGACGCGTCCATCGCGTTGCCTGGATCAACCAATTGGTCCCAACAATTGAAGCTACAATATCATAGCTGGCGACAGCAACATTGACCATGCTTAAAGCAACCAAAATAACCCCCCCTTTGAAGCTATTTCTGTGATTCCTTGTATGTTCGTTTCAGATGCATCCAGCCGCTTATCTGTCTCTGCTCTCCCGTTCTTACCGAACCTTCTTTTCTCAACCGTGCCGGGACGGACGGAAAGACGGGAAGGGGAAGGAAGTTGAGGCTGAGTACTTGACTACGTACGAGGCATTCTAGAATAATACGGGACGTACGGGCGAAGTACGGGCGAAATACGGGACGTACGGGCGAAGTACGGGCGAAATACGGGACGGGAAGTTAGAATCTTTTCTTTTCATATAGACGGGCTGAGACGAGATAGAAGCGAACAATACCCAACCGAGCCAATATCGGTGCGTACGGACGTACCATACATAATACACCGCGCCGTGGCATTTCTCTCGAGACTGTATCATTTTTGTGATCCCAAATGGCCATTATTCACTCGGTTACCGGGTAAAGAAGCAACAAGTACAAGACGGGCCGTTTGGGATGTTACATCGAACCATTCAAGTTGGAAGTTCGGTACTTGGTGATGACAACAACAACAATTTTGACGGAGACGCCGAAACGTCAAGTTTGGTTGGGTGGGTTGTATTGCATATCTTCATTCTCGTTCATCCCGAATACGTCTCGATGTTGCGGACAGGCAGGCGACGATCTCTTATGCATTCATAACATAACATACAGCAAATAATTCTCATTGCTGCTGATTCAGCTACTACACTCCAATAAACTTGATCAAAACATGATCAGCTACGTCGAGCTTATAGCCGGTAGCGAAGATGTCTCTTAGTATACTATGCAAGGGAGACGAGCTGAACGAACATCTTCATCCTCATCGTTCCTCGGATGTTGCCAGTCTGTCTTATAACTCGAGAGAAAAGAAAAGATAATAAGGAAGCAACGTATCGATCATCGGAAACAGTACAGTAAGGTATCCATGCAAGGACTTCACTACCTACCTATTTCCCGCCGTCGTCCCCATCCCCAGAAACTGTTTTATTCTCGAAGAAACTTGATTTAAACTACTTAAGTTCTCGACATACACTAGCCATGTAGGTAGTCCAAGTGTGTATGTATATGTCACTCACTCTTCTGATACTTGTCGACTAACAAAGAGGCTTACATTATGATAGGTGTGTTCTGTGTTCGTGCAGGTACCTACTGGAGGAAGATGATGATCGTCATTGGATTTGAGCCAAGAAAAACATAAGTACAGAGCGAAAAGAGGAAAGAGCGAAAGAAAAGAAAAGAAAAGATGAGAAAAGAAAAGGGCAAGCAAAGAGTTCCCTAGTCCTCGGGTCACCAACTCCCCGGGTCCGTGGTCTCGGGCGACCCGACGGGAACATACCTACAGAACCGAAATCAGGGGTAGAGTTGAGGCTCGTTGCTCGTTACCTGTTGCTTGCTGCTTGCACAGTTAAGTTAGGTTTGCACCGTAGGAGTGGCTTTCATGACTGACAAACAACATCCTGCCTGATATTGGATCGCATAGATAGGACATTGTGGGAGAGCCAAAGATGACTGAAGTGTATTCAGAAGATGTGCACGCATAATTGTCAAGTTATCATAAAAAAACATCTTGGAGAGGGGACGCAGAACAAGGTTCCAATCGAACATGTGAAAATGCCAGGAGGATTTGATAACAGTGGGCCGAACAAACATGTGTATTTTTAGACTACTCCATTTTGTAATTTGAACCTAATCATATCCTCTTCCCCGCATAGTAATAAAGATATGTCCGCCCCTTTTCATAGTACATAGCAAATTGTCGAGGCCATCCATTTCCTTACTCCCCCTTATCTGCCTCTTTTAATGAATGTGGAATCCATATGGTATCAATCCTCCTCCCTTTCCTTCTTCACCCACCTCCACCTGTCCCTTATCCACTCAAAATCCTAATTCAGAATCTGCATTTCCTCGATTCTTTCTGGGGCAAAACCCTCCTTGTAGCGCTCCCACATCTTCTCCAGCTCCTTCAAATAAAGACCGTGTAGCTGGTCAATTTCGCTTGTCTTCAAGTCGCTCTCGGCCCTCTGTGTAACCCTGATCGGCTTGCCAACGACAATGTTCAAGGGCCGACGATACGGCATCAGGCCCACGTCATAGTTGAAGATGCCTCTTCCATGCAAGAACGGCAGAGTGAACTTGAGAGTTCGCAGCACAAACATTTGAAGCCTGTGCAAGTTCGGATGACTCTTGGGGCTGACTTGATCGTATAGATCGTTCTCGCCGAATGCGAGGACGGGAACGATGTCGGCGCCAGTGCGCATGGCCACCTTGACAAAGCCCTTCCGCTCGCCGAGCACGAGGCGCATTGTACCGGGTTGAGCCTCCAGCGACTCTCGAGCACCACCGATCACGATGGTAACAGCACGACCCGCACCGTGACCGTCAGACCCGCCGCGGCTGAGAATATTGGTGATTGACTCCTTCGAAACCGAGCGGAGGCCCATGGCAAGGATGTAATCGCGGTAAATCGGGATGCGGAAGTTGCTGTCCAGGGTAAGGAGGCTGTTGGTGATTCCAGGGAACTTCTCAGAGAATCCAAGGGCCTCGGTGGCAAAAGCGGCGAAGGCGCCATGTGAGATGATGCCATGGGGGTGATAGCCAAAAATGTACTTCCTGTCAGCGGGAAGACCATGCGTCTTGTGCAGCTTAGCTGGGAAGTAATCCGCAAAGAAGCGCCAGATTCGAGAGTGCCGGAGCCGTTCTGAGCGGAAGCGCAACTCTCCATCAGTTGCTGCTTTGCTAAGCAGCATATGAAGGAGGTACGGGATGATCAATGGCCAAAAAAGAGGGATGGCGCACAAGAAAAAGAAGAAAGAGACGGTTGTGGCAATACTCAGCGAGTGTAGCAGAACCGCCAGGGTCTGAAGTCTTCGCTGTAAAGGTATGTTGAATGGTGCAAATCTGATGCCGGCGGCCTGGTAGGCATTGGCTCTATCACGCTCCAGTTGCGCCAGCTCGTTGTCATTGCCCTCGAAATACAGTGAAGGATATTCGTCGTATAAGGCTTGTTTCTCTCGTTCGGCATCGCGGTCTGCGTTGCTGGGTTTCTCTCGAGTTGTGTTGTCATGGATTGGGAGTGTGGTCATCTTGGTAGGCTTCTCGGCTGGCTCCTCGCGGGTGCCCTCGACCGGAAGATCTTCAACGTTTTCCTCCGTTCCTTCCTTCAGACCACTTTCCTTCAAGCCATCCTTGAGAGCATCAGCGTAATCAATACCGGTACTATCGACTTGGGTGGAGGAAGGTGAAACCGGGTTGGTAGTTGCTGGCTCCGAGATCGGAAAGTCGGCGGACTCATCCGTGACCCCCTTCTTGTCGTTGTTTGACATCTTGGCCGGTTTTTCGTGTGAGGCTGTATTGCTAGAACCCGATGATGCGCTGGCGCTGGCAGTGGTAGTAGCACCAACACTGGTTAGGGGTTTCAGGTCCGGTATCTTGACGGGTATTAGTATGTGCGTGGTGAGAGTGTTTCTGGTGGTAAACCTGGAACTGAAGACACTTACAGAAGTCTTGGTGTGTAGCTGTTTCTCCTTTTGATTCGACGGAGTGCCGGAAGCCTGGCCAGCAGAGGCTGGGGCCGGATCTTGACGAACTGCGTTTCCATCGACCTCTTTTAGCACCGGTATCACACTGCGAGCCGCTTTCTGGCTGTTCTTCTTATTCTTCTTGCCGGATTTCTTCTTGGACAAGGAACCGCTCGGCGAAGGAAGGGATCCCGAGGCGTCTGCCATGGCGAGATATGTGATGGAAGTTTAAGTAGTTGGTTACTCACCTCAGTAAAGAAAATCAAGGGGCGGTCCTTGACTGAGGATGGACCGGACGGGTTTTAATGAGGCGTGGTAAGACTCCCTCGGTGGTCGTAGCTGAGGTACCCACAAGAAGGTACGGTGCAGAGTGGTGGTCAGATGTTTAGAGTTGACGACAGCGGACGCTGTCAGGCTTAACGTGTGGCGAGAAATGGTGACGCGCCTTCCTTGCTCATAGAGAGTTCATACAGTCAACATGGGACATTCGACATGCAGCGAGCATTGGGCAGGCAGGAGAACGGGCAGGTAGCAGGGCAGGGGCTTGAATGGCAAGAAAGAAGTGAAAGACGGCGAGGGGTTCTCCTGATGTGGCAGCCATGGTTCATGTCATGACTGAGGAAGCTATGACGAGGAGAAAAGTTGGAAGGTGCTATGGAAATACGTCTTCTCATATCTCGAAGCAGGAATAAGATGAAGACCGTGGTGAAGGATTGATAAGTGTACAGTTTGAGCAACGCACATACCTTTTCTGACTTGGGGCTTAACAAAGCAATGTTCACACTTCACCAGTCTCTCTGGCAGCTGAACAAATGGGACCAACCGAGGTGAGCGATGAGATGCTCGAGTCCGTCTGGTGGTTTTACGATCATAATGCGCAGGGCATCAAATGAATGGCTTGACAACTGGCAGCAGCGAGGGGTTGATGTTCATGACGCCCTGGAGCCCTACCAGCAGGTGCGAATGTAACTGTTGCAGCTTGCACTAACACTTCCCACAGTGTATCCAGTGCTTTATTGTTAGTGTTGTACTTGTCAGGTGCCCATGACGTTTTCGGTGTGGGGCGACCTCGGCAGGGGCCAGGGTCCCGAAAGCTCCCGTCGTTCCTGCTCGTTTCTGCCGGGAACCGGAGGCTGCACGACGGGACTTCAAGACACCCGGAGCCGAGAGCGGGGCACCTTCCCTCGGCCGGGGAGGGAGCTTCAGATTGTGCGACATGTTTTGTACAATTCTCTTCATTGTTTGTAGGTTATGCAAAGGAGCTTTGAAATATCATTGTTTAATGACTAACAGTTAGTGATGTTTGCTGGGTCTATCCAGAACTTCAGGAAAAGACATGACCATGGACCATGGACTACATGTCTCAACGCTGGCACCTTGAACATCAATCCTGACCAAGCGCAGTGGCCTTGTATCATACATTACCGAGCGCATGTTTTCCTCCCCATGCAGTGCTTCTTGCCTTTCGACACTTTCGCGTTTCTCCGGTCCCTCCGTGTTGTTCCAACCGTCTTTGTAAATCATGGCTCTTGCTGAAGCCTTTGTTACAAACCTCGCTCGTTTACATATCGCAAAACTTGTTTGACAGAAGCAAGACAAAACGGGCTTGTTAGACGGACAGACGGACAGCCTCAACTGCATCATGCTTCACCTCGGCCTGAACTCAACGTGGGCCACAACCATCAAAGCGCGGTTATGTTGTTGATTCCCCTCTTGGAGCCATCCTCCCACCATGTAAAGATTGTCGAAGCCGCAGAGATGCCAGTGATACTACCATTTAGTAGGACAAAACACCCAAAATCGAGAACCAAAAAGCAACACTTGCGAAACCGATTCTAGATTCCGGACCAGACGTCACCTGGCTACGTCAAACCCATCAAAACGCCATGCCGGCCTCCTGTTCTCCAACCCAGAAAAGATGCGAGTCCTCCGTTTCCATAAGGATATCACCAAGTCATGTCCGACAAAACACTCGCCTTACTCTCCACTCATATACCCCCCATCACGCCTCCATCCATGTTCCATATAAATATAAATGGATTGGTCACTTTCCAGCAACTCCAATCATGTGCTGAATCCATGCCTCACTCGCCCAAGCAGCGACCTCCGGAGCGAGTTCGCGTTCCTATTGCTGTGCTGCAGGCGGGGGTTCTTGGGTCTCGGTAGGGACATGTTGTTGCTGGTGCTCTGGCTGATGCTGATGTTCTTGCTGGTGCTCTGGCTGATGCCCTGGCTGATGCTCTGGTTGGGGCTCAGGTTGGTGCTCGGGTTGGTGTTCAGGTTGGTGCTCCTGCTGATGGCCCTGTTGATGCCCTTGCTGATGCCCTTGCTGATGCCCTTGCTGATGCTGAGGTAGGTGCTCTTGAAGATTTGCTTGCTGAGTTTCCTGATGATGATGTTCTTGTTGATGCTGGTGGACTGGGTGTTGTTGCTGATGTGGATGCTGCTGCTGTTGCCGAAGCGCCGTGACCTCGGCAGTCAGGACAGAAATGTGCTGTTCGTGATTGGTGCACTTGGCCGTCAAATTCGTAACAGTCTGGTTCAAAGAAGAGATGTGTTGCTCATATGCGTTGACCTTGGCCGCCAGCTCGGCACTGTTTTGATTCAAAACAGAAATATGTTGATCGTGTGAGTTGAGCTTAGCTGCCAGCTCAGCGTTGTTTTGGCTCGTTGCCTCCACCATAGACTGCAAGTGTTTGAACTTGTCCTCCATGTGCTGCACGTAAGACCATACACCTTGCTCACCAGCGGCGAATAGGTTGTTGCCGTCGACCACACCGGACCTATTAGGTCCAGGAAGTCCGCCTGAAGCACGGCTCCGTCCACGAGCCGCCGTTTGTTGGGTTGCCGGAGAAGCGGGCGCACTAGTGTTGCCTTGGGACGGATCTCGGTCAGCAGGAGGGTATTGGGAAAGCCAGGCTGATTCAGCCGCTGGTGACATACCGTGAGATGGCAGTGATAACCCGGAAGCTGGAGCTTGTTCCGCTGGTCTGAAATGGGGCTGCTGAGGCGCCGGCCGTTGGCGCGTAAGGGCATCGTGACTAAGCGCAGTGGGCTGAGCTGCCCCCGGACTTAGAGGTTTAGGACTCTCCGTCATCCCAGTCTGCGAATACATGGTCGTGCCACCCGCGCTAAGGGGCATGGATGATATGCTGGTGTGAGGAGTGTGGTTGTTAGGCACGCTTGGAGAAGTGGGCGGGCCAGCAGACCCGCGATCAACGTTTGGAGGATAAAGACCGCCAGGTCGGGGACCTGCTGGGGGATAAGTGCTTGAGTGAGCAGCATAACCATCGGGAGCTGTTTGACCGGGTACATGTTGGGCTTTGATGGCCGGCAAACTTAGACGACGGCGCTCCTCCTCCGCCGCAGCAAGTTCACCTTCAGCAGCACCCTCGTACATAACATTCGACAGCCCCGATTCATCTGCTCCGGTCGGGTTCACACCATCGTAATCCTCGTCTCCGAAATTTCCCATACTGGGCCTGCGACCGGCACAACCACCAGCTCCTTTACTGTGTCTCGCCAACGCATCCCCACGAGCAAACTTCCTGTCGCACTTTGGACATATGTGCGGCTTCTCGCCCGTGTGGAGTTTGCTGTGCCGCTTGAGATCGTGTAATCTTCGAAACCTCATCTGGCACGTGGAGCAAACATAGGGCTTTTCTTGGCTATGTGTGAGCAGATGGCTTTTGAGGTTGTGGTGTCTGGTAAACTCGGTGGAGCAGTAGGGGCACTTGTGCTTCTTTGAGCCTGGTGACCGAGGCGTCACATCCGCACCCTGAGCATTCGATATGGGCATACTCATTCCTCGAGGAGGAGGGGCCGGTGCTGACATAGGAGCGCCATGCGGAAGGACTCCGGGATAAGACAGCGATGATGGAGGCTTGTCTTGAGGTTCCATCTGCGCATCAGGCTGTGGCGCATAAAGCCGCTGATCCTCGCGTGAGTCAACGTCCATGGGCACAGGACTGTTAACCACCTCGCTTGACGCGTTGGCGAGACTTGGGGCGCTCGGTCCGCTTGGCTGGTTGATATCTTTGAGTTCATTAGGAACCGCACTTGGCGTTGGGATAGTAACGGCGCTCAGTGCCCTAGCAGCAGCATCGGCGGCGGCATCCAGACTCGACATTGGCGGAGCGCTTGGCGCGTCGGGTGGTCGGGCCAGCCCCGACGGCGCTCCGGACATGAGGTCGGCCAGAGGGCTATGGGTCAGGTTTTCGGATGCCGCCACCGATTCGGCGTGGTGCTCCTCATCTCGTCGGCGTCTCTCCTCATCGTGGTCGGCGGTACCATTTAGAGAGGGCGGAGGCGACCTAGCAAAGCCGACCAAGCGGGCGATTTTGGAAGGGGACAGGTCGCCAGGAGAAGAGGATTCTACGGAATCCGGCGATGGCGGGGTCTCCTCACGGGACCTCTTGAGCGACTTGGCCCGGGAGATCTCGGCGGCGAGGGCAAAGGCGGCGTCGGCAGATGTGGCTGTCGGCGGTGCTTCTGGGGCGGACGAGGCTGCCGCGAGCTGTGAGGGAGCGGGTGTCGCGAGAGGAGTCTCGGTCGCCGCGAGATGCCCTTTTTCCGAAGCCATGAGGTCGCCTGAAGCTCTAGACGACGTCGCTTGAAGCCGTCCAATCGAAGGGTAAGATGGTCCAAATAATTATATGCTATCACGTATTAAGCTCACCGTCGTCCAGGCAGCATCACCAAGCGATGATGTGTTGGAGGCTTTGATGTGTGGCTGGAGAGCGTGGCGAGAGCTCCAAGTTGGAGACTCGCGGCGCGGCTTGTTGGAGGAGTCGTGGATAGTAGTCAGTGGCGGTTCGCTAGTCGGATGCGAATAAAAAGCACCAACTGGAACCGTAGGATGCTGGGGCCACGTCAATGGGTGGGATGGAGAGCTAGACAGAGAATGCAATGGCTACAGCTAGCAATCGACTGAATCGATCGTCTTGATGGCAAGAGCACGCTGTGTTTTGGGAGAGGTGGAGGTGGAATCCGGAGCTGGGGGTGCTTCCAAAGTGGTGAGCCTCAAATGCCAGCGGTTGAGAGGAAAGGCTGTGCTGGGAGACCGTGGGGAGGAAGGGAAAAAATGGGCTGGGTTCGTTGTGTGGAGGTGCACAGGCTGACAGACCGCCAAGACTCAGGAATGGCCGAAGTAACCCCACCAAGACTGTTTGCTGTCCAATCGTAGATTGACTGGCAGCTGCCGGACCTCATCCTGACAGCTGGACATTGCAGCCTTGGCGTGTCTGGCTGCATCTGTGCGCCTCCGTCACCTCAGCCCCCCCAGCGTTGTTCAGCTCTTCCACCACCGATCATCAAGCCAATTGGTCTCACATGGAAAGCTTACGTCTTGCCATCTCATTTACTCGAATATGGCTTCATCCAGCACAGTATAAATCAGATACGTCTCCTTACTGGTGTTTTGGCGCTTTATTAGCAAAATACTCCAAGTCATCTCAGCTACTCGGCGCTCCAGCTATTGAAGTGGGGTCGGCACTGGACGAGAGGTCATTGAGCAAAGTCCACGGCCAACAACAAGCCAAAATAGCAGGTTTATCCAGGTCTCCTTTCGGATCGCCAACTGTGGCCCGATTCTGGAAGCGGTAGAGGTCAAGATCATTCATCGCTTACGGCTGAGCGGTGGCTGTGTTGTTTCGTGTCCGAATCCTTCAGCTGAACACCACACCAGTTCTTCCACGGCGCCGAGGCGCCATCAAGAGGTATCGCGAGATCAAGTGGCGCAGGCATCCGGGTAATGTAATCTTATTCGCTTGACGTGGGATTACGTATCTTGAAGTATGCCTCCATCGTCTTCACGAAACCGACCACAGCCGAGCTGTCTGTATTAAAACCGACATTGAGGCCCATTCTCAAACATTCGTGCGTGGTGCGGTCACTGATACCACATATTACTTACTAACTGCTCGCTGTGCGACAGTAGCCGGATTTTTGGGTGGTTAGCTAGGCGTCTGCTCGATGAAGAGCCGCTTCCCCATCTGCTTGATATAAACCATGATACCGACCCAAAACGTCCTGCTGCTCTTCAAAAATGTAGACGCCAGGAATGATCTCACTATATCAGCCAGTATTGATTATGTTGGCAGACGTACGGTTTGCAACTCCTGACAGTGTCTTGGAGTCAACACCTCGAGAACGTTTACCTGCCCCCTTTGCTATTCGCATGTTCTGGTGTTCCGCATCAACCAAGTTGACTCGCAGATGCCACATCGGCATGGCCAAGCGTATCATATAACACTTTGACCAGGTCCGTCAAATTCTCTGTTGACAGTATAATGTTTGGACAGCTACAAAAAATGCCAAAAGCCGGCTGCTGAAGGTTGGTCGGAAACACAGAGGCAGAGCAAGTGCTTTTGTGTTATCTAACTGTCAACCCGATTACACACGTGTGATCTGAAGATGACAGTTTTGGTCGGCCGAAAATCGAGTGCCGTATTGCTGAGTGCTGTTCATGAACTGCCAACTTGTATGTTGGTGTTAGGCGTGTTCGGACTATACCTCAGTAACCTCACACCACCTGTCCATGTAGTGTACTCCCGTGAGCCTCTGACCGAAGAAGTTCAGCTACAAATTATAAATGCATCAGAACTGATCGACATTAGTGGACCAGAGAGAGATCAAGTTTCTTGAAAAGTGGTTGTAGCTCCTTCTGAGTTCTGACAATGTTGCGCCCGGCCCCAACCAATATCGAGTGCTCAGAGATGATGATCGGCAAACACAAGACTGGCCAGACTCCGGGCGGTTCTTGTATCGGACAACAATGCGGGATGTGTTCGATTCCATCCTGGGGTCTGGATATCTTCACGAGGTCGATCATTCTCGTGTCTTCATCGCTTCGACGATCAAAGATCTTGCTCTCGCTCATGCGAATGCCAAAAGACATGGAGCCAGCAATGACATATTTTATGCTGATGATAGTCAGAACAGACAGCTCCTCATCTCCCCTGCTAGCACAATCTCGTTCTTCGATCTATCGTATGGGGCTCGGGTCCCTCCTAACATTCCTGACGATCTGGAGATTGTTTTGATGGGCATCATCTGGGCCATCATATGTGGCGTTCCAGAACCGCGACATGTTGAGACTTGGCGTAACCTGTCAGTTTCCATAATGCAGTGGAATGTTCGTGGCATCCCGCCATCATGGATGCATTCCGACGGTTGCTATAACAATTTATGAGAGCCGCTTTCATAGGCAGTCGTTCAGCCGAGATTAGGGGTTTAATCAACCCGAAGCTGGAGCGAAAGATGGCCCGCAGGGTGTTCAAGGGCGATAAATAACGGTCAGTTCTTCAACTCGAGGAATGGTGTTGAGGTTACAACCAAGCTTGACAGCCATCCATTGAAGGATACCTATACATAGTATACGCCAGGATTTCATGGACCGTGCGATTTAAGGACAGGGAAAACGCTTGAAGCAGTGCATGAAAGAGCAGCCCTTCATCAAAGAGAAGAAAAAACAGCGCAATGTCCAGCAGAATACTACCATTAGGCAAAATTTGATGTTTCGATTCGAGGCAAGATAAAGAAACAAACAAGAACACATACCGTGTTTTGTGGTGATCATGCCTGGATTCGTCCGATGTCACTGCCGTCGGACGCAATGTGCCTGTCATCCGAGCGTTTCTCATGCAGCTGGACGCTGGGAAAGCCGGCCGCAGGTCTGTTTACAACCGGACTGACCGCTGTCATCTCTCCTTTCCGACAACCACCTCACGTCGACAGGTCTGCAACGACAAGTGACCGAGACCTCTCGCCAGAAGTCTTGGAACTCGTACAGCAGCACCGTCTATTATCAATAAAAGGTCCTAAGAAAAGGGAAGCGAAAACACAACTTGATGAGGTTCCTGGTTGTTGCTGGATCGCAAGTCGACCCACCATTCCCACCCTGCCCACAAAGGCGGAGCCCGCTTGCGAATGCGCCCTAAACCATAGCAGGTTAGTCAGGAACAGAAGCCTTTGACAATATTCAGCAGGGATTCAATTGACGATGAACGGGATCAGGCCAAACCGCGCTGTCTATCCGGGTCACTCCTGGGGACAGTTGCCCGCCTTTTTGGAGCATATGAGAGAAGGCCGAGAGAAGCAGTGATTAACACAATCTCCGGGGCCGCCTCTCTCATGGTGACAAAGCATGGGACGGTCACAAATGCCATCGGACAACAGCCCAGAGAATGGCTCTGTGTGGGCTGTCACTGTCACCGCCGGGGAGGACAGAAATACATTTCTCGGCACTTCAAGCGACGGGGGAACGGGTCGGCAAGGCCTTGTGTTGGTGCAACTGGGGAGAACCGGGAAGCCCTGACTTTATACGAAGCAGAGTTACGTAGAGTTTGCGTATGTATGCTCTCCCCCCTCTGGCTGGCATCGAAGAGTGGCGTTAGGGGAACTCATTGTTGAAGAGGGTATTCAAGGTATGTCCACTTCATCATCCGTCGTGCTTGCGCGGCCGCAGGGCAGTGGCACAGCGTAATGAAACAAACACCGAAGCGGTGGAAAGTTACTGATGAATGACGTCCTCTGGCATCGTGATGGAAAAATAGAAGCCTCTGGCCAATCTTGGCCAATCTCCATCTCCCCGTCGCCCATGATGGAGGGTGGCCTCTGCTCATCTCCTCCCCTGTTGATAAAGTGAGACCTCAGCAACACTCAACAGAGCTCCCGCCAATCACAGCGAACGGTTCCTGATTCCTCTCTCGCCAAAATCCAATGCTGCGTTCCTGCCGAGGTTCCGGTTCCTGTGCCTTGCAGTAGCCGCTCTGGTTGGCACACCGGGCACGCCTTCCACACACACACAGAGACAATGGGACATTGTTGAAAGCGCAATCTCGCCAAGGAAGAAGGGATCTCCACTGGCTGTCCAGCGGTCCGGTGGGAGACCGTGGAAGGAGGGCGGGCGCATCCAGGGCAGGTGGCCCGAACTGGCAGACGACAGGAGCCAGACCACCAACACGGCGAGTTGCCTGGTTGTGGTTCCCCATGTTCCTGGCAGGAAGCGTCTAGGGCGTGCCCTGTCACGGTCTTCATTTTGTTTCGCTCGAGTCACTTTCCTTTTCCGCCCGGCGTCCCACCGCAGCCCACCTTGTCCACCGCTCGCTTCGCACGCCTTCGTACCACGCTCGTTCGGGTTCTAGGTCTGTCCAAGAAGGGGGTACAGCAGTCGCTAGTGGTGTACAATACTTGAGGGGGCCCGCCTCCTCCACTTTCTTGCTCCGGTTCCTTCACTCCCTTGGACGGTTCCTTCAACTTGGTTGTTTCCACTTCCCACATCATCGGTGCCCTTTCGCTTTTTTCGCGATCAGGATTTCCATCCAACAGAGAGTCCTCGATTCTCTACCACATTCATTTGGAACAACAGCGGTGTCACTCTTTTAGAAACTCGGATTAGGTTGTTGTCTAGTATAGACGCCCATCCAGACCAGCAGGTGAGTAGCTCTGCAAAATGTTCGACTTCGATCCACTCTTCGGCGCGGGCGGGATCAGGTGTGCCTGGTGAACGATTCCAGACAATGGCGATCTTTTTGTTCGCCTCAAAGAGATTCACAAAGGGTTTAGAAAACAAAGACTGACAGGGACGGTTGATAGTTAGCAAGCATTCAGTTTTCTGTAAATAAAGCCCGTTACACCAATCCCAGAAACCCTGTCCTCGACAACATCATCCCGCTTCAAAGCCAGTGAAAATGAAGGGAATTATTGGACTCGCCCTCGCGGCCGCCGTTTCCGGTGTCGTCGCCCAGCCTCACAACCACCACGGTCACCACCACGCCAAGAAGCACGCTCACGCCGGGGTTGACAAGCGCGCCGATGCCGCCCCTGCCGGTACTGTCGTGGTCACCAAGGTAGTTCCGGGTCCCGTTGTCGTCGAGTATGTCCTAGACGGAAAGAAGGTCGATGCCGATGAGGCGGAGAAGGGCATCAAGGAGGGTGGCTTCGTCGTCCTTGGCTCCTCCAAGCCTTCGTTCGTCGCTCCCCCGCCCGTTGCCTCGACCTCGATCGCTAGCGTCCCCGGCGGTGCCCTGTTCCTTGAGCTATCGACTAGCTCTAGCTCTACGTCCACCTCCACGTCCACCTCGTCGTCCACCACTTCGAGCATCCCGACCACCTCCTCGAGCCCTATTCCCAGCTCGACCTCCAGCTCGGCCCCCGCTGCCACCTCGTCGGCGGCTCCTCTTCTGGACCTCTCTGGCGGTGGACTTGACAGCGAGTTCCCTAGCGGCAAGATCAGCTGCGACCATTTCCCCAGCGATTATGGCGCCCTCGGCGTTGACTGGGTTGGCTTGTCCGGATGGACCACTCTTGCCAAGGTTGGTAAGCTGATGAAGGGCGTGGCCATCAACAACTACGAGCAGCCCATCTCCGGCCCCTGCCAGCCGGGCATGCTGTGCTCTTACGCCTGCCCTCCGGGCTACCAGAAGACTCAGTGGCCTGAGTCGAACCAGGGTGCCACTGGTCAGTCTATCGGTGGTCTCTACTGCAACAGCGACGGCTTCCTTGAGCTTACCCGTGAGAGCCACCCTACCCTTTGCGAGCAGGGTGCCGGCGGTGTTTATGTCAAGAACATGCTCCCCAAGAACGCTGCCATCTGCCGTACCGACTATCCCGGCAACGAGGCCATGGTCGTTCCTCTCGATACCAACCCCGGCGGCCAGTACCCTCTCACCAACCCTGTGTCCTCTACCTACTACAAGTGGAAGGGCCAGTCCACCACCGCTCAGTACTACGTCAACAACATGGGCATTCCTGTCGATGATGCCTGCACCTGGAACTCCAAGTCTTGCCCCGACTGCGCCGGTAACTGGGCGCCTGTCAACGTTGGTGTTGGCCAGAGTGACGACGGCATTACTTATATCTCCATCTTCCCCAACGCCCCCACTTCCACCGCTATCCTCAACTTCGACATGGAGATCACGGGTGATGTCTCTGGAGAGTGCTGGCTTAAGAACGGCCAATACTCTGGCAACAATGGCTGCACGGTATGTTCTGCAATGTTTTCTGTCTCTTGTGACACCGCAAATCACTAACAAGTTGAATAGGTCGGCCTCAGTGCGGGTGGCACTGCTACCGTTGTCCTCAAGCCCCGTGGCAGCCAGTAAATGTGGTCGGAATGCGAATGTGATAAGACGTGAAATGGGTTCGGGTGGTTTACATATATATGCTGGATTTCTTTACCTTGTCATTCTGTGCCGATGTAGGCAGCAGAGTGACCGGGGTCCTTTTATGTCGCTTTGGGGAGGTTTCTTTGCTCGGCCAGCTTTGACAATCTGAAAAGAGGACAGGGCTATAGAGAGGCTCGCCGAATTTGGGTGACAGTTCTTTATAATCTTAGATGTGTATATTTGCTATTTGCTGTTCGGGCATTTTGGATGCAGATATGGGACTCGGGTACGTAGTTAGAAGACCAGAAGCTTTTGACGACCCGGCTCGGCTCCACGAAGCGTACGATGTAGTGTACCTAAAGGGAGGCTTGCAATGGATTTCTGATTTTGAGCGCGATTCTGCATTTTTTGAGTCTTGGATATTGATGAAGTCTTTGTTGTATATGCTTTACTATTGTGTGATTGTGTAACCGTGCGAAGACTATGGAAGAGCGGCGGCAATCGAGTGGAAGAAAAGACACTGCACCAACTGATGATTTGGTCTCTATAGGTGTACAACGATTTTATCTCCATGTGTTGTTTGGGGGCGATCTGCAACAGGGAAACCAACAAAAGTGGAAAGGCTGACGCGGAGGCCAAAGTGGCGCGAACCATGATGGGGCCCGACTGCTATCCGAATCATTGGCGAGTCGCTCCCCAAACAGACAGGCGTCTCAGCTTGCGGCACAGGCAACAGGGCAGCATTGCGGCTACAGTATCAGCAACTCCATGTCAGAATTACATTCTCGTCCTGTCTTCTTCCTGTCATATGCAGTCTTCGCAATCAACAACTTTTCCAGAATAGCTTTTCATCCCATTGCTGAGCTCCGACCTCCGTTTGCTATCCGTAAGTAGCACAGCCCGATAGCCTGACAACGTCACGGTCCATCTCTCCCCACGCGCCGATGCCCCTCCCTAACCCGCCTTAGCTAGCTTGGTTGTTGACTTTGCGCGCGCAACAGATATCTCGACGACAGCATCGCCAGCTACCCACACACTCGTCCGCTTGATCCGTCGAAACGCAACGCACGATAGACTGCCTGGCGACGCTTCATGATTGACGGACCTAGAAGCCCCGAATCATGAGGGTCAGGGGAGCTCTGCAGGCGGCGGCCTTGCTGGCGTCTGCCCTTTGGGCGACACCCCTCCTAGCCAAGGACCACCCAACCTTCAAGACAACCAAGCTTGATACTCAGCCCAACAATCTCAACTACTTCGAAGGGTCCGATACTATTCTGTTTCATGACCCTCACAAGTCCAACCTCTGGCGCTCCGATGACGCAGGCGCAACATGGTCCGTGGTCAAGGATATCCCCGACGGCAAGGTCGCCCGGCTATATATGCACGACTTCGATTCGAAGCGGGCCTTCGCAATCACTGATGGAAGAAAACACTACCGCACCACGGACCAAGGCAAGACGTGGAAGACATTCGAAATCGATGCCGAGTGGGACACGGAGCGGTACGATATCCTGCACTTCCATGCTACGGATCCCGACCGCATCATCTTCAACGGTCTAAACTGCCTCGGCTTCCTCTGCGAGGAGGTCTCTCTTTACACAATCGATGGCTTCGACACCCCTGCCAAATCTCTTCGTCCCGATACCCTTGGCTGCTGGTGGGCAAAGTCTTCCCCCGTATTTACGACTGGCGACTCAGACCTCGACAAGGATCGCATCCTTTGCATCATCATGGGCGTCGATTCCATCTTCTCAGAGGACCGGCGCCTGGTCATCTCGGACGACTTTTTCAAGGCAGATAAGGAGGGGAATATCCAAGAGTTCGAGCCAAACCTAGCCGGTGATAAGCCCGTACGTGGTGTCGTTAATGTCGCCGCTGTGAAGAGGTACTTCATGGTGGCTACGACATCCGCCAACACCGACGAGATGGCGCTCTTTATCTCCACCGACACCAAGAAGTGGCAGCGGGCCATGTTCCCCAACGCGCATGATGATCACGATCACAAGATTGTTCAAGAAGCCTATACTGTTCTGGAAAGCACAAACTACAGCATCCAGCTGAACGTCATGACAGGCTCAAAATCGGCACCCATGGGTATCATGTTTACCAGCAACTACGATGGCACGTACTTCAGCGAGAACCTCGAGTATACCAACCTCAACATGTTTGGCCACGTCGATTTCGAGAAGATCGCCGGCATCCAGGGCATCTTCCTGGTCAACAAGGTGGATAACGGCAAGGAGGTGGACGAGAAGCCTAGCACCAAAAAGAAACTCGTGTCGGAGATCACCTTCGATGATGGCCGAACTTTCGAGAAGGTTACCGCGGACGGCAAGAGAATTCATCTTCACTCGGTTACCGAACTTAATAACGTCGGTCGTGTCTTTTCAAGCCCAGCACCCGGTCTGGTCATGGCCAACGGCAACACTGGTGATTACCTCGGGGACTACTGGGAGGATGCCAATCTCTATGTCTCTGATGATGCCGGCAAGACTTGGAAGAAGGCACTGAAGGGGCCACACAAGTACGAATTCGGAGATCAAGGATCTATTCTCGTGGCTGTCCGCGATTCAAAGGAGGAAGATATTTCAGAAATCAGCTACTCGCTTGACCATGGAGAGAACTGGGTCGACGAGAAGCTGCCCGACGATCTGAAGATCCAGCCTTGGATCCTCACAACCACTCCTGATTCGACTGGCCTTCAGTTCGTGCTTATTGGCAAGGCTAAGGGTGCCTGGCAAGTAATCCATATCGACTTCGAGGGCCTTCACGAAGCTACCTGCAAGGACAGCGATATGGAGGACTGGCATGCCCGGGTTGACAAGGACGGAAAGCCTACTTGCATCATGGGACACACTCAGACCTATGCCCGCCGCAAGAAGGATGCCAAGTGCTTCCTCAAAAAAGAGTTCAAGCTCGCGGAGGTGGAGGCCAAAGACTGCGACTGCACAGACCAGGATTACGAGTGCGATTACAACTTTGAGCGAAACGACAAGGGCATTTGTGTGTCTAGAGGACCCATTCCCATCCCAGAGGGTGCTTGCAAGGAGGGTGATAAGAATGGTAAATTCCTAGGTACTTCGGGGTACCGCAAGATTCCCGGCAACACCTGCAAGGATACCAAGGAGACAAAGGACAAGTATAAGGATGTTGAGCGGTCGTGTGGTGATGGCATCGGTGCCCCACCAGATGAGGCTACGGGTGAGCTCCAGCAGGTCGACACCAAGGGCAAATTTGGCCACTGGACCCATTGGGAGAAGCACTACCTCGAAAGAGGCGAGTCTAGTAGCGATTCCAGCGAGACCATCATCATGAGAGGGATGAACCGCACAGTTGATGATTCAGGGCCAAAGGTTGGTCCTATCTGGAGGACCACAGATCACGGCAAGAATTGGGAGAAGATAGACTTCTTCAAGGACGAGGAGGTTATTAGCATCGTTCCCCATCCTACTGTTAAGAATTGGGTCTTCTTCCTTACTGAAGGCAAGAAGCTGATCTACACACCTGATCGTGGTAAGCGCTTCCGCACCTTTGAGGTGCCGCAACCCGCCGATTTCGAGGCTGCCGCCAACGGTATCTTCCCGCTTATCTTCCATCCTGACAAGCCAAACTGGCTCATCTGGTTGGGGAAGAAGTGCGAAAGCAAGAACGACTGCTATCGGGTTGCATACGGCACAAAGGATGGAGAACGTTGGGAGGCCCTTGCCCGCGATGTCTACCGGTGTGAATTTACGGGAGCGGAGGCTTACGGGCGCAAATATGCGAACCGTGCTTTGGAGCAGATTCTCTGCCTCAAGCACGAGAAGGAAGGTGACAACGACAGCGCCCTGCAGCTTGTCTCATCCAACGACTGGTTCAACAAGGATGAGAGGGTACGTCTGAAGGATGCCAAAGAATTCGCCACTATGGCAGAGTTCATCGTTGTTGCGACGGAAGATACGGAAAAGAAGACGTTGCGGGCCTATGCTTCTCTTGACGGCAGTTTTTACTCCGAGGCCAAATTCCCTTTTGGATTCGAAGTTCCCCACCAACACGCATATACTGTCTTGGACAGCTCAACCCATGCCGTCAATCTCTTCGTGGCGACCAGGATGGAGGGTGACAAGAGTCTTGGTACAATCCTGAAGAGTAACTCCAACGGTACATCGTACGTCGTCAGCGTGAAGAACGTCAACTGCGACCAGTATTTCTACGTTGATTTCGAAAAGATGGTTGGTTTGGAAGGTGTTGCTCTCGTCAACGTGGTCGCCAACCCGGACGCGAAGAGCAGCGCGCCCAAGAAACTTCAGACCAAGATCACGCACAACGACGGCGCCCAGTGGGCGTTCCTCCCTACCCCTAGCAAGGACGAATTTGGCAAGTTCCCGTGCTCGTCCAGCGGTACTGAGAAGTGCGCACTTCATATTCAGGGTTACACCCAGCGCAGGGATCGCGGCAAGACGTACTCATCTGAGGGTGCCGTGGGCGTCATGTTTGGATGGGGTAATGTGGGCGACTCACTTGGTCCACTTAAGGATGCCGACACTTTCATGACTACAGATACCGGGATCACCTGGAAGCGGGTCAAGAAAGGCAGATGGAACTGGGCTTTGGGTGACCAGGGTTCTATTATCGTCCTCGTTCCTATCAGGGGACAGAAAACGGATACACTCGAGTACTCCCTTGATCAGGGTGCTACTTGGAAGAAGCACACTTTCTCCAAGGAGAAGGTGGATATTTGGGATCTTACCACCACGCGCTCTGGCAACTCGCAGAATTTCTTGATCTGGGGTGAGAACAGCGATGGTCTTCTCTTCACCACCAATATCGACTTCACCAAGTTCACCGACCATGTGTGCAAGTATGATCCAGAAAACATCAGCAAATCCGACTACCAGATTTTCTCGCCCAAGCACCCTCTCCAGCCTGATGGATGTTTGTTTGGACACGTTTCTCAGTATCTGCGCAAGAAGCCTGGCCTGAAGTGTTTCAACGATTTCAGACTGGATCCGCTGTACAGCAAGCAGAACTGCACCTGCACCAGGTCGGACTTTGAATGGTTAGTATACCTACTCTCGCTTTCCCCCCCTTTCTTAAATCCACCAGATTACTAACATGACAAAATCCTACAGCGACTTCAACTACGAACTCGACAACCACGGCCAATGCTCCCTCGTCAAGGGCCTCAAGCCCCAAGACCCCAAGCTCTGGTGCAAAGAACACCCCGACGAGATCGAGTACTACGAGCCCACCGGCTACCGCCGCATCCCGCTCACCACCTGCCAAGGCGGCGCCGACTTCGAGAAGCAAGCCGCCGTCCACCCGTGCCCAGGCCACGAGGACGACTTTGAGCGCAAACACCGCGTCTCGGGCGTCGCCATCTTCTTCGCTGTCGTCCTCCCCGTCGCCGCCGCCTCCGCCATCGGCTGGTGGGTCTACCGCAACTGGGACGGCAAATTTGGCCAGATCCGCCTCGGCGAGCACGGGGCGGCTACCATGGAGTTCTTCGACGCCGATAGGCCCTGGGTCAAGTACCCCGTCATCGCGCTCAGCGCGGTGGTGGCGCTGGCGGGCGCCATGCCGCTTGTTTTGGGCGTCCTGTGGAGGACGGCCAAGAACACGGCGGAGAGATGGGGTATCGGAGGCGGTGGTGGCGGCGGGAGAGGTGGCTGGAGCCGGCTGGACGGTGGCGGCGCGTCGAGGACGTTCAGGACCAGGGATAGCTTTGCGAGGGGGAGAGGGGACTATACTATTGTGGATGAGGATGAGGGGGAGTTGTTGGGGGAGGAGAGTGATGAGGAGGTTTGAGGTGTGAAATGTCTCAAGACAGGAAGTGAATTTCTTGGTGGAAACGCGGTGGGGTGTTTGGGTTAGTGAAAGAGATGGTGAGATGGATAACTGGTTTAGGCATCCCCGATGTGAGAGACTAGTGAGTGGACGGATGACTGGTCAAGTGGTGGTGATGGTGGTTGTGTAAGGGTGATGGCTGTATGCAGTGTATTCTGTGTGATGTGTGATCATGAACTAGGCTAAGTCGTGGCCAGGAATCTGGCTGGCTGGGAAATACATTCAGCTAAGATGTACCCTCGCGTGAATCATCCACTGTGTACCTTCCCCTCATGCCCTGACAGGTTGGCTGAATGTTTATGTATGGATATGATGTGATGCGATGCGATGCGGACATGTAGATTATGGGACTGGTTTTCTTTTCGGTTATTTTAATATGAGTGTACTTTACGCCATGGCGCTGGTGTTATTGTTCCCTGGAAGCAGCCGAGAGACAGCAAGCATCTCTGGCCTTCCTGATAAGCGCCCATCGCTTCATTGGATACTCACAGTATATTATATGGTATGGATAGGCTATATGATGTGTTCAGCAAGATGATGGCATAGAAAACTGGTGCTGCCCAGTGCTTTTTCTCGAGGTCCTGGCGAGTTTGTCGCTTGCCCTACTCCTTTTCGACTCGGAGATATCACATATACCGAAGACTCAGTTGTGATAATCAATAATTCTTGACCTGTAAGTAGTTGTCGACTGCTAAGTATGGAAATGGCCACTATTGGAAGTAGTGGTCTGAAGTGATTGGTGAGTTGTCATGTTCATGTGTCTATATATTGGTGTCACTTCTGTGCCTTTCTCTCTTTTCTTTCCTCTCTCTTCCTTGATCCTAACCGAGTGTGGCTAAACAAGACGGACTAGATATTTGAGTGAGCGATCTGTTTTGAGAACCGGATACTGTCAGCTCAATGTTCATAGTTCGGGCCACCCATCTCTGTATAATTTGTGCAGACAAGTCTTTAACCCTCTAATGAGAAACATCTTCCTCTTCTCGACCTTTCTTTTCTCTTCAGAGTCTTGATTTTCTCACATACTCCCTTCACCCTTCGCCTACTTCATGATTCCTTTACGGCGGCCGTTTGAGCTGTGTGCACCGTTGAAATCTTGAAATCGACTGTAAACCCCGACCTAGGTAGATGTGATCTTGATACAGTCAGTACCAGTGTATAGCTTCCCGGTCCTCGACCATCAGTCTTTCTGATTGCTATACCTCTCTCCCTAAGCACCACTATATCCCCCCCCCCCCCCCCCCCCCAACATCCGCAAGTCAAGACAACAGCAATGACCACCTCGTAGTAATGCCATAAACTCTACCTAGTTAGCATAGCACCTTCATGAGCCTCCGTGCCTTCCTACCTACTTAGTCACCACTCACTCATGCTCTATGATGCTCCGTGCTCACCTTGTCTTGTCTTGCCTGTCTTGCCTGTCCTGTCCTGCCTGTCCTGTCCTGCCTGTCTCGCCTTGTCCACACGGCAAATTACCCAGTCTATCACGGGACCTACAGCTACAAGGTGCTACAAGGTATACACTACACTCACCGTAGACTCTCGGGAGCCAGTTAAGCGTCCCAGGCGCCCAGCCCAGGCGTCCAGGCCACAACAATCACGTGGCCGAACTTTCCGAACTTTCCGTCCTTGGGGTTCCGTCCTTCCTTCCTTTTTTTTTCTTTTTTTTCCCCCCTAGTCACCGTAGGTCAGGCGAGAATCTGGCCCTGGTCGCGCGGAACATTGGAACATCTAGCCCCAGGGTATGCTACCCAGACGCCAGGAACCAGGGCGCCTCCCACCGCTTACATAGTGACCCAGTCGATCCAGGTCCCCGCCGGGAACTCCGAGAACTCCGCTCATGGGATGGAGATTTTCTAACTACTTGTGGTGGTGATGGGGACTTTTTTCCGATTTGGCTAGGGGTCTGTTCTACTGTGTAGGGTATAGAGTAGAGGGTAGAGAGGGTCCAAATAGGCAAGGCCGCGCGGTTCCGCGGTCCCATCTTTTACCGTACCGTACCGATTCTTTGGGTGGGAGTCCATCTCTTTTGGTGGAAATGATGATTGGCGGTGGAATGGGGTAAAATGGATCACGGACGGATTATAGACAGGTAGGGCATAGCATAGCATAGCATGGAATAGCATAAGGTAACGGAACGGAATTTGGTGGGAAAGAGAGAGAGAGACAAGGCTAGGAGCTGGAATATGAAGCATGAAGCAGCATGAAGAACAACGACGTATATGAATGTAAACTTGGAGATGGGCAGACATGTTGTTGAGCTGTAGCTAGTCGACTTTGATCCGCATCATCATCATCATCATCATCAGCTTCATCGTCATCGTCGTTGTCGTTGTCGTTGTCGTTGTCGATACCATCCCGTCTTCGGCAAGCCGGGCAGGCACGCCAGATACATGCAGCCTGGAAAAGTTTCGAACCAGCAAAGTACTGTAGAAATACCAAACCAAACCATACGGCACATCACAACCCCATCCAGCATCATCTGGTTGGTAGGGAATAGTACCCAGCAACGGGAGAAGTGGGGAGTAAGGTAGGTATGGCAATCTTCCACGACTCCACGAGACCGAAAACGACGACGGTCGACAATGGACGATGCGGCGCTTGATCCGGTGATGTTCGTCCGGCCTGTCTGCCTGTCTGCCTGCCTGCCGGGGCAGAACAGACCAGAGGAGGGTAGCCGGTGGAGAGATAGGCCTACGTAGTATACATCAACCCTTAAAAGTTTGTTAGCGCGGTTCTTGTGACAGGGGTCTGCAAAACTTCACAGGAAAATAACGGGACAACCACATTCAAAACGGAAAATTGGATAAAGTGTATAAAGCCTCCAAAACGCATCTGGTTGATACCAACTTCTTGCATGAAATGTGGTGGAATGGTGGTTGAGTTGCGAAGAGTGCGTAGTAAAGTCCCGCGCTAACGAACTTTCCAGGGGTGATGTGTAATCTGCTTGCAGGGCATATTCTGCTCACCGCGATTCCAAATTTTTTGTATGCATGCATTGTGCATGGCCGGTTGGCTGTATGTGCGTGCTATGCTACCTAGATAGGGCCGTTTCGCTTCGGTTCCGGGTGGTCGATTCGTTCTCGAGTTCGAGCGAGTCGGTGTCGGGTCGGGCGGTGGGTGTTGGACCACCCGCAGATGAAGATGAAGATGAATGGCTGGGCAGGGAGCTAGGGTCCGGGAGGCCCGCCGGCCGGCCGGCCGGGGTCCGGGTTGGTTCACTTCGGGATCCACCTTGAATTTGACGAAGTTCGACGGCGCGCGCGGCGTCTGTGTGGGTTATTAGCAGTCCGCTAAGAAGTCGCTAACAGAGCGGTGGGTAGACGCTTAACCTGATCACGGCTAGCTTCAGTCGCTGTGGTGAGGGACAGGCGCCAGGCACACACAGGCTTTGGGGCTCTGAGAGCCTGAGGAAGGAAGAAAGAAAGAAAGAAACAATAATGGTGGCCGGCCGGCCAGCTGGCACGGTAGTGATGTTGGACTTCCCCGGGCTTCCGGGCTTCCTCCCGCCGGCTGGCAATGGGGCCCCGACCGGATGAATTCATACCCATGTGCCCCGTTGGGTCGTGATGTTGGCTGGGCTCAAGGGCCCACTCTCACCACTCTGAGGCTCTCTCACAGAGTGGGATCGTACTGTGCAGAGGTACCGCTTCTACTCAGTCGTAAGAGATTTACTCCCCATATTAATTCCAGAGCCTAACCTTCTTACAGTATGGTTAGCTCCCTCATACAAGCCATATGGATATGTAAACGTGGCCATACAAGGGGTACACAGGGGTGCCCAGTTCTTTGGCAAAAGAGGGGGTTCTGGAGACCGCCAACCTTTTGATTCCTGTTAATTTCGTCATTTTATCCCTTTTACACATCAGCCAACAATACTAACACTAGCCATAAAAACGATGATATTTTTAATCCTTTCTTATAAAACTATACCTCATATTAACCTTGGGACTATCGATGTCATTTGTACGTAAATGGCTATACAATTTGCATTGCTGACTGGATTTGATTTCCTATTCTTTTTTCTTTATAGATGTGATAAAAGATTTTGAGGATGTTAGAGTTTTTATTGTCAACGACGAATATAATATTATTTACTGGCAACTTTCTTCCCCTGTGTTTATATATATTATTGGTTTATTCCTTAAAAGTAATAACTATTATTTTGGTTAGGTTCGAGAGTGGTAAAGGGATATTATTGAAGAGTATATTTTGAATGAGAATTATTTAGTTAAATACTTTATAAAATCGAAAGGGAGCCGATAACGAAAATATAATATGTAGGGTATTGAGAGAGAGTGGTAAGAAGGTAAGGCATTTATATAGGTAGAAGAGTTTATCGTTATTAAAAATAAAGACGAGGATTAATATTAGTAATGATGTTAATTAATTAAAATTAGCGCTATTAAATTTCCCTCCTCCTCTTTAAATACTAATTCTATATTATTTACCCCCGATTTAGCCGTAATAAGAGCTTCTTCGTTAGCCGTAATAAGTTTAGTAATAAATTCGAGCTTTTTAAGCTTACTAAAACTAAAGATTTATCATTATTTATAAAAGGCCTTTAATGAGATTATATTATAGTCAGTATAATTTATACTTAGTTCGTTGAAGGTAATTTTCGCATTTGGTTCAATATAATTATCGATAACTTCAGTATTAGTAGTTTACTAGAAGTTAAAAAAATTAATATCCTACTAGTTAATACTTTTAATTTTCATTTTCCAGTCTTTTAAACCATTAGGGTATATAGAAATATTATAATCGATAAAGGATTTAGTTACTAAATTTAGGTTTTTTAATTTAAAACGATCGATTACCTATATAATAATATGTGTAAGTATAATCCTCTTTTTACTAGGGTTCTATTTCTCAACGTTATTATTAATAGCTTTTTATTCTTTAATATATTATTCGTATTTATTGAAGAGGTATACCTTAATGGATTTATTAATATAGGTATCGAGGGGTTATAATAGGGGTATAAGACCGCTAGGGATTAGTATTCGGTTAATATTGTATTTATTAAGGGTATCGAAAATTTCCTTTATTTTGTAGAAGCCGGCCGTATTTAGAATTAATAATACTTTATTA